CAAATATATATTAAAGTCGAACATGTATAACACTGTCACTGTGCTGTTGGACTAAAAAAAAATATCGCCTTCCTTTTAGAGCAGCCTGTAAAGTAGAACGAGTTCTGTTGTCAGGACCAATATCAATAGTGTATATTATATACATATTAATATAGGAACTTATACGAATTATATTCTAGTTTCTTACATATGTATGATTAATGTTTTGGTAAAACCTACTTAGCGGCGTAGTCATAGATTTTTAATCGTTAATTCCCGTATTGTTCCCAATGTTTTGTTTCTTTTGAGAGGGGAGAGCCCAGAAATTTAAACAATTTACCTGGTCATAAAATCAGAAATTTATTCGACTCATACCAATAGTGGTATAAAGAATAAAGGAAAAACTTTTAAAAGGTCATAGACATGTAAATAGGCGCTTCGTTTTTATAGTTTTATAATCATTACCGTGTTATTCAAGTTTGTCTCATACATTTAATACGAAATACCAAAAATATATAGAACAAATCTGAACGAAGAGGTCAGATTTTTTCATATGTTTAAAATTTTGTTAAATATGCAACTTAATTCACATCAGAATTACAGATAACAAAGGTCTTGGGTTTGATGCTGCGAACTATACGCAAACACTGTCTATAGTTTACGCGAGTAGTACACATTTAAATAAAACACTTTAACGGTTTAAAACTGGATATATTAGTTAAACTAATTTGAAAACTATTTTAACTACGGCCCGACGTTTCGGATGCTTTGCAGCAGCCGTACTCACGGGAGAAACGTCAGGCTGTCGTTAGAATGATTTTCAAGTAAGTTTAACTAATATATCTCGATTTAAACCGTTAAAGTGTTTTATTTAAGTCCGTACTACTCGCGTAAACTACAGACAGTATTCCATAAAGTTGTTTGTCCTCTGTTATAAAAAAATAAAGTCTCACAATTGCATCTCATGAATAAATCATGTTGTCATCTCGATAATTATATCACGACTGGAAGTCATAGAAATACGTGTATCCTTCGGTAAGGACGAGGCGTTTTCCTCGTTTTCTAGAGCCGTGATCGGTTCCTGCTGTGGCCGCATAGCGTGTCAGAGGATGCGCTGTAATCTTGCGCATCACGATAAACAGCGAAATCGGATTTTCGTACTACACAATAGAGGACCTTTCATAATTTTGTAGCTAAACATTTTTTAATACAACTTCGTACATATTATATTTATAAATCCTCCTTGTAACTGTAACAGTCTGTTTCATAGCCGCTAGCCAAAAATCATGTTTACAACATTTATTTTCCGTCTTTCCCCACATCGGTTCTTATCACTAATGGATTGTATTTACCAGTAATAAAAACCATTCTAATTATTTTGATGGCATTTGTAATATTAACCCGGGTTTTGAACCAAACACCTGTCTGAGCCAAAGCTTGTCCAGCCTGAAGCCTTGCAACTGAAGACTAGCGTATTAATAAAAAAAATATGTTATGAAAATGAAGGATTGAATATAAAGTGCCATTATAGTAAAATCATCAAACCGAATTTAAGAATAAACATACGAAAATAGTCGAACACACTGAGAAAGATATCTTATCCATGATTATGTTTTTACAAATGAGTAAAATAGGCACGACCCTTACTGTATTTGTTATTTGGGTCAAAATTTTCTAATTTAGACATATTGAACTTCCCGTTGTCAGATTAATCTTTAATTCGGTACAAACATATAATTTAAATTATAATATAATATAATAAAATCAATAATATAAATCCAAAATGGCCGCCGATACAAAATGGTGGATTACATATTTTTCCTTAACACCCTAAACATGGGTATCAAATGAAACTACACTAGTAAAACACTATGATTATGTCAAAATTTAAAATATTTGTATTTTCAGTGTACAAAAAATAAAACCGTTTAACTGAAAATGTTTTTTAAGTTGAATCTTGTTACAATGTCAGTGTAAAGTATACGATAACTAGATACAATAATTTTACTATTGACTACACGAATTATGTCATGTTTCAAACCACTATTATGTTTAAAAATGAGTAGACCAGTTAGTCTTACTAACAACGTACTGGTTAAAATACATTATGTATTTTTAACATTGCTCTGTTTAACAATTTGTAGACAAATGTTTTAAAATCACTACCATGAAGTGCAAACATCAATACGTATTTAAATAAAACGGTTTTACGAGGTCACGGCTGCTGCAAAGCATCCGAAACGTCGGGCCGTCATTAAAAATAAATAAGTTAAGTGATATATTTCACGTTTGAAATTGTTTAAAGTATATTATTTAAATGCGTAGGTAATTACTTAAATTACAGACAGTACTTCGACGTAAGTAATACTAGCAAAATATATTTAATGTTAAGGTTATAATAATTATAAGCAGTTGAAATTTATTTTCTATTCATTAATCGCTTAGTACATTTAGATAAGCAACGAGTAAGAAATTGAATTAATAATAATGCTCAATGAGAACAAAAACTTTAGGAGTAAAATGTTGAGTGTCTAAACAAAAAATGTCCCATAAATAATTGAAACATAATATATTCAATATTATTTGACAAGATAGACTTAAACAATTAAATCTATCAACATATTTATATTGAACAAAATTTATGTCACGGCCGGGGCTCGAACTCCGACTAACGTAGCTCAGTTAGTAAGAGTATTGGCACTTCTCCTATCCGTTAAAAATATCAGGGCACAACCAATTTTAAAATAAACTCCAGGTACGTACATTATAAAAAGGGCGTCGTATTTAATTATCCTCGTATTAAACCGTTTCAACATTCAGAGTTATTTAAAAGTTACTAGTTAATGTATCTATTAACACAGTTATTCCGGCTGAGAATCAAACGCATGCGTGCAAAACGGAAAATATGAACCGTAATTATTCGCGTAAAAGTGACAATCGGCCATTGTTATTCAAACAAGTAGAACGAGTTTATCTGTAGTTTACGCTACTTTGAACGGCTTGAAACGCGACTTATTATTTCAATTAACTATGATATAATTTTTGCTAGCAACAAAACAATGAAGCAAGTTTTACTTGTTTATATCAATTTAATAGTTCGAGTTCGAGATTACAAAGAAGGTAGTCTCGTATATTATATTTATAAAACAATTCAAAAACGTGTTTTTTACGGGTCGTAGATTCGATGAAAACAACGTATTTTATCGTATACATACATACATTTTCGAATAATCAAAGCAAACATAGGTCGACACTGCATTACCTACCATCTAGTGAACATCATGCTTATCTGTCCTCTTCGTTACCTTTCGGATGCTTTGCAGCAGCCGTGGTCACGTCGTTGTCAACTAAATTGTAACTAATATATTTCGCATTTTAAAACGTTGAAAGTGTTTTGTTTCAATAAATAGATACTATTCATCTAAACTAAAGACAATGCTTAGTTGTTAACGCTCTAATCAATGTTATTATTTCTCAAAGAAACTAAACCTATGACTTCAATTTGTCTATGTAATTAAAATTTTACTTAAAATAGTCACATCCATACTACGATATATATTATTTATATTATGACGGTGTACAGATAATATTTGCTTTAGATACGGAAAACGATATATTACGCGCGGATTTTGTGAGTAAAAACTGGTTAATATTAATAAAGAATAGAAAATATCTGTCTGTATATTTATGCATTCACAGATTATGTTAAGAATAAAATGCATTTGTTCCTGTTGACATTATAGATATTGGGCAAAAAAAATACAACAAAAAATACCGTTTTTTATAAGTGATTACCTTTAGAATGTATTATACGTATAGGTTTGATTATTTTAATTATTTAACGATATTATAAAGACTATCAGTTTAACACGCGAATATATTTATTTACTAATATTCTATTAATTTTACGTGACCGCGCCTGATAAGCGACCCGTTTGGTTCGATCAATTTAGTAAATTTCGCGTTTTAAACCGTTAAAAAAGCTTTATTTAAATGTATCTTATTATTTTTATACATTTGGCATAAAATGGACATAGTTAAAAATTTACACGTCAGATTACCATTTTACATATAGTTGCTTATTTATTAATATTTAAAATGCACCTTGACTTTTAAAATCACATGCATACCAATAGCGTTCCTTTAATATTAGATTTTTGTGTTGTACATGTATTGCGACATCGGCATAACTTCAATTAGATAGTAACATTAGAACCTTGACGCAGTCAGGGTCAGAAAACACGAATTATTAAGATATAACGGTCGATAGGTATTTTGAAATTCGTATATATGATCTAATTGTATATGTTTGGTATAAACTTCGTGGATTAAGCAATGTTTACCATACGAGGGACGAAGATTTTTAATGCGTTCATTTTTATTACGTTAAAACGAATCTGCCTCCATAATTCACGTGTGTTGATTTCAAGAGATCCTCAGTTCGAATGGTGATGGGAAAAATTAAAACCTTTATGCTCGTTTTCACAATAAAAACTTGCTTTATATACAACAAATGAGACAAACGAGAAAAAGAATTTCTCTTTTTTTGGAAAAAGAAAACAAAGAAAAAAAAATAACCAAAATAAGTTCTGTGCAATATGGCATTGTTATAAATCTGTTTTTCTTTTTTTTATGATTGAGTAAGAGCATGTGTAGACCTATTTTAGCTTGGATATTCGGAAATCCACAGACTATAACCAAAACACGATTATACTTGCCGACTTTATCGTCTGTGGACGGACGGTGGTTCGTGACCCGGACGGGATTTTGATATTCCTACCGCCCATTTTATATCCAGGTTTCCAGACGTAGTCCAACATGTTTCAGAAAAACAATTATTAAGTTAGAAAAATGCTAGGCCCTGTGGGGGTCGAACGAACCTACCATCGCTACCATTAAACGGGCCAGTAAGTTATTAGTGATTGATCTGAACCTATGTTTAAAGGTTTACCTAAGTTTTTCAACAATAGCTCATTTCACTGTTTGTTCCCAGATATTGAAAGACAACAACGCGATACAAAATGACGAAATTGGACAATTGGAAGCAGAATGCACCAGATCACTTCTATGGCTGCTGCATGGCCAAGCTCAGGGCTGGAAGCGAGCCACCAGAACTGTTCGCGAGTTCGTGGAGCGATAAGATCTCACCCCTTCTGTGGCGGGTGCCGATATTTGTATGGGCCGCGATTATTATAACGTGGTCCGTCGTCTCCTTTTGGGGACCTCGGGAGATGTTCCTCCTTTATATGACTCATTGGGGATTAGTGATGATTCTATTGGAATCGCTCTTTGGAATCCTCGTCTGTTTTAGGAAGAAACAGGTCGAGTTCTCTGGTGAGTATTACCGAGATTATATCGTTTCTCCTATTGGAGTTACTAAATGCGTCATTCCTTACGTTTTTACTTGCAGTTATATGAATTGAAACAACAAGTTGTGTTTGTATTTAAACAAATGTACGTACTAACTTTTTTCTCTAATGCTATACTGTGTACTTGATATCAAAATATATACGAAGTTAGTTGATCTTGATTTTTAATGTACCAAACTTATATATGTAGTTATTTTTCTAAATATGTACGTGACAAATAGCTGTAGCGCTAACATTACGAGCAAATAATATATTTAAATAATACTGAGAGAGATTTTATTGCTACACTCAATTAAAAGTAATATCTAATTCAACTATATGAACGCGAAAGTTCTTGAGGACCTTTTCTCCTGTGTTTGAACGGCTCGACCATAATCTTTAGTATGTGTCATCTTGAAATATCAAATGTGTAACTGACGAAGATTTTTGATTGAAGGCTATTGTACCACGGATAACATCTGAAGCGCATCTAGTAACTTATTTAAAATGATGAATTAAAATAAAACACTAACGGTTTAACGTGACACACTGAGTAAAACACTTTAACCCGTGGACACCCTCCGACTTTAAGCCGACTGTTACCATAATTACTGCAAAACTTCCAAATAGTGGGACCATTGTTAATACAATTTGTTAATGAGTTTAATTAATATAATATATCGCGTTTCAAACGTGAGTGTTTTTTAATGCGTACTACTCACGTAAACTACAGACATTATCATTCGTATGCAGATTGATCATTTTATAATAGTGTTACCAACCTAAATTAATGTACTTGATCATTACCGTAACAATCTTTATAAGTGTTAGAATCAGGCGTCCCGCCAATATTAAAGACAAAAGTAGCACAATGTATCGTTAACCCCCGCAGCCCCGCTGCCATAGCAACTAATGACAAGAGCTCTTAACAGAAATACATTGTATGTGCGCATGAGTGCATCAAATGGCACGACCTAGTTGAAAATATAATTAAGAACGCTCCTGCTGTTTTAAATATTACTATACTACCAAGAACTATCTCCTCACTGAATCATCCATGTACTCAAAATTAAGGCAACAACACATGGGGACTGACAATACAAGGCATAGGGAATAAAAGATGGAAAAAATATTTAGATTCTACAAAGAAACCGTCAGGTTTGAAGATACTCAGTGAGAGTCGGATAACCTAATGTACTCCGCAAGGGGAATGGGGCAATGGGTGAAGTGTCCACAATAGAAAATTCAAAAAACCAAAAATATGTATGAAATAATGATTTCTCATAAAATTTTCTTTAAAAATGTCCGCGACAGTGTTAGACTATTTTTAGGATTGACTTGCAAGAACGACGGGAACCGGACGTCGTCGTGTGAAATTGCTAGTATTATATACACAATAGAATGTATGTAACGTTAGTTATGTTGAAATTATTTGAATAAAAAATAGCGATTATCAAACACTAAATACTATATCTAGACAACGTTACAAGCAGGAGAGAAGACTGTACTTCTCATTCATTTATTTATTTAAGCAATATAATTATAATAAAATTTGATTGTACAAATGTTTGACACCTCATTCATTATAATCAGCTCAGCATTTTAAGCGCTGGAGTAGAAGATACAAACTGACAAAATCATTGTTTTCCATTAGTTTCGGATCGTCGGTTTATCGCATGATTTTTATCGAGGTACTGTTTAAACCATGACCTAGTGTTATTGTGACGTTTCATGGTTATGATTGCTATGACGTGAAAAACTCGTCGTGAGTTGTTTTGTTAAAACCAATTCCACAGTACAGACTTTTTAAGAACTAATATACTCTCCTTAGATAGGAAAGTTTAATATAAACGTAATTATACTATAAGATAATAAAGATAGTTATCCCACGAGGCTTTTGAAGGAAAGTATATATCCACAACGGTGTCTATTAATAATACTTTAGCGGATAATGATAAATGGCACAATATCAAAGAATTATTTTATTATGGATTGGTCCTTCAAGCCGGAAGAACGAATTATTTATCCTTTAGTATATAGATGTTAATTTTTTATAAAAACCTAAATATATATATAATTTTTATATGAGATTTTAATAAATTAAAAAAAAAATATACTTAAAATATTCTATTTAAAAAATTTATATTAAATATTTCCATAATAACAAAATTTATTATATAAAAATTAAATTAACAAATAATGTACCCCAATTATATATTAATTTGAAATATTTATTATATATTAAAAACATACTTAATTAATATATTGATGCAATTAATATAATAAAAAGTAATAATATTCTAATATTTATTAATATATATTAATATACCTAACCATCCAATTTAAATTATTTATATTAATAAATATAGATTTTAAAATATTCTAAATTAATTCAAAAATTAAAATTAATACCTAATTCCAACCACTTCCACCTTTAACACTTTTATAAATAAAAAACACAGTTTATATATCGAATAAAGAAATTACTTTTAAATTTTGTAAATACCCGCATTATACATCACAAAAACAATGATTTATACTACGTTTAATTATATATATATACAAAATAATTCAAATAATCTGTCACATGCATACTAATCGCATGACAAAACATTCTTCTATCTCGAGTACAGTCAGCACATACCAAAATGTTTGATGCATCAAATTATACATAACCCCAAAGTGGTATAGAAGTCCGCTCTTGGATTTTGTAATAAAAACATATACACGTTAATTGGATCTTTTACAATGAAATATGCGATATAAACTCCTAATATAATTCATATCTTAAATGACCTTGATTGGGGAAAGCACAAGGTCTCATAATCATCTTCAAAGCGCAGGTGACGCAACGAGCGGACCGCACAAAGGTTTTTCGCCTTTGACCCTGAATTCAGGCGCGTAATTCTATTTTATAACGTTACATTCATTTTATTGAGTGTCGCAACTCATAGAGCGTGTAAATATTTTAATGTCATGAATGCAATTTGTTATGACTTGAGTATGAGTGATTGATTATGTCCAATCTCATACTGATTTATTTGGATGAGTTTTTGACTTTATATGCTGCAGATATTTTTTTTTATATACTGACGCTATTTCTATTGTATTCAGTGCCGTAGCTATCGTAGGGCCAGGTGGTGCAGTTTATCAGGGCTCCGGAACTTAGGGGCCCTCTAATCTTAACTTTAAGAAGATATAAGCGTAGAAAAAAAAATATTTTTTCACGTTCTTGTTGCTATTTGTATATTTTTTGAGGTTGATTTGATTGAAGCTATACTAAATGAGGTGATCAGGACCCGATTTTTTCTTGAGCCTTAGGATTAGATAGACCGGGCCCTTTTCCACCTAGCTACGCTACTGATTGTATTTATTTAAATTGTTATTGAAGAGTTAAAATTTGATTTTGTTTGTAATATAACCGATTATACATGTATTGATTGTTAATCAGCTGATCACTGAATTGTTTAATAATCTTTACCAAAACAAGTAATCTGATTTAAAATCTGACTAGTTTTGAATCAAGAATTCTTAAGGAAAACACTTTTCTCTGAAATCCTTGAAGTTATCAAACCATTGCAGTAACACATCTTCCTATTAGTTGTTGGAGGAAAATAAGCAATAAAATGTCCTTTTCAGATGCGGCCGAAGGAATGCCGTTGTTGGTGAAGACGTATTGGGTACTTTACAATATTACTGTACCTCTGGCATTCCTTATATCGCTATTCTATTGGGGTGTACTAAGAACGCGTAAGTATGAATCATTTCAACAGATTAATGATTGATAGGCTTAATTTATAATTAACACAAAATTACCAAACTTACTGAATTTCAATACGAACCGAATTTACGCTTTTTACTAGTTTTTTTTATGATGAATACCGCTTTATACTTGTATGGTTCCGGACTTTTTATTAAAATAAAAGATAATACTGTCGGTAGTTTACGTGAGTAGTACGTGACATTAAAATAAAACCATTTGACGGTTAAGCCATGTTTACGGTGAGACAGCCTCCCAGTGACCACGGCTGCTGCAAAGCATCGAACGTCGGGCCTTAGTTAAAATAATTTTCTAATAAGTTTAACCATAATCACGTTTTAAACTGTTGAAGTGTTCTATTTAAATGTGTAATATTCGCGTATACTATTATATTATGAATATTTAAAGCAGATAATGTATAAAAACATGATGCGCCTGATGGTTTTGTAGTCATCTCGGGCACCGAATTCACGACCTGTTGGTTACCAACTTACCAGCTATAAATATATTTATTACACTCACCCGTGGTAATTTCTAGATGTTCTAGTACACGTCGAATTCAGGTTTTAAAACAGGAATTCACATTTTATGTATTCGTAAAGACCCTTCAACTTGAAAACAGTGCTTACATAATGTTTCACGTCATTACTGTTTATTTAAGTAGGCGGAAGAAATGAATGAAGTATTTTAAAAGTTGCAAGAGCGAAAAATATAAGCAGTGTGCGTTGTATGGAGAAAGAGTAATGTATTTATTTACTGGAATGAAATTTAAAAGGAAGCTGAAATATTTTTACGAAAAAAACAGGCTCGATAACAGAACTAGCTCGATTCCCTTGGTTTGTCGTAGGTCCCACCCACGTATTTAGATTTTTATTCTTTAATCCATAGTTTATGAAAGACTGCGACGTCTATTCTTCTGTTTATACAATGTAATTGACGATACAAACATCATTGTTCTTATTAAAAATAAATGTATAAAATTCTATTGTCTGTGCTAAATTATAATGGGGTAATTCTTATAACGTCATTGTTGAGACACTAGGAATTTTATCTATAGAAATACCTACCGCTTTCGATACTTCTAGGAAATTAATTTTAAAAAAATGCAATATATGACCAATAATAAACGGGTCGTGGATACGATTCCTACCGGGTCCAATATCTTTCTATATTTATAATTTTTTAGAAACATTTTCGACAAAAAACCATCGCGATTAAGTTAGACGCGTTTCGGTTTCAGTCTGTGGGTTTCCGAATATCCAAAGCCAACATTGGACGACATCGCGTCTTGTTTAGATTATATGTTATATCGCTGGGCTATTGCACCAACCATCAAGCGACCCATATGCGTTTCCGTTCTCCTCTATTATAAAAAAAAAACTAAATCAGTGAGTTTGGTAACTAATTTGTACAAATGTTCATTTTCTTCGCACTAATTGATGAATTATCGTAAAGAAAAGTCCTTTCTATACCGTTAGTTCAAAATTATTTAAAATACGCGAAGTATTTTAGCTAAAAATAGTATATAGCAAATAGTTCTAGTAGTAATTCACCCTGAGTTTACAGCGAAATCCTTAGAAATATTTATAGGCAAAGTACTGAAACTTTTTCGTTTCAGAGAGTGCAAGGAATATAAACTATGCACCCGACCCGATCCTGGATCTCATGCTGCACGCCCTTAACTCAGGATTGATGCTATTAGAGCTGGTGCTATCCAGACACCCAAGCAGGCTTCTCCACGTCATGCAACCACTATACTTCTCGGGAGTCTACCTTCTATTTACTCTGGCGTACTTCTTCGCTGATGGCCACGATCCGTGAGTGGAACTAGCTAACTATCCTCTCGATTAATAGGATTAAATTGCAACAATTCTGATAGCCTCGTTGATCTAATGGTTAATAATCAACGAGTCGTGGATTCGATCTCCACCGAGCGGAATATGTCTCTCAATTTACAACTTTTCTAAAACATATTGGACTTCGTCTAGAAATCTGTATATTAAGTGGTTGGTAGGAATATCGAAATTTCGTCCGAGTCACGAACCTCCATCCACAGATGGAAAACCGTGAAGTTTAATCGCGTTTAGGTTTCAGCCTGTGAATTTACGAATATCCGAAGCCGAAATATATCGACTGCGCATCATGTTTAGTTGTAATATGGTTGCGACTATTTCACCTCTCATCAAGTGAAATATGAGAAGGTTAACAAAAAAATTTCATTCTATAGAAAAAAATAATTAGTGTTATAATTTTTGCTAAGCTCGACTTATCTGTAATATAGACTGCACAACATGATTAGGACAACACAGATGCATAGAAAGAATTGTACTAGTGTTTTTATTTTTACTAACTTGACTAATCTGCAAAATGCACTAAAAATTCGAGTGATTCGAAAAAATGCTAGAACTCTTATGTTAATTTTGTATCCTTTAAATGGTAAATATACGTATGTGCTGGGCTACCATGAGCTATTTAGAACACACAAAGTTGGACGGTTTATCGGCTTATATGGAGATTTTTAAGAGTTCATGGAGTTTAGAAAGTTCTTTAGTTTCAAGCCACGTATAACTGCGTGAAGTATTATATTATGAATTATAGATAAATTTTAATCGAAAATAATAAACTTTTCCAAAAATAAGTATGATTTAAATTTATGAATTACCAAACATACTTATCCAAGTAATTCTATATATCCAAGTAATTTATTATAAAATTTGAGATTCGTAATTATTTATTATATTTTGCGACTTTCCAAAATGAAAAAATTACGAGTTTCAGTAATTGTTTGGACAACAAAAAATATGAAGTGTTATTGTGAAGAATTTATATTTGCGCTAAATGACGTACGTGTCAGAGAGTAAGGTTATAAAACTGAAGACATACCTCCACGACAATAAACAAAAACCTTGTAGATGTTTACCTTTGAAACTAAACTTAAACAGATTTTGTTTGTAAATATCTTATGCACTTTAGTGACACCTTTAAGTTAATAGAGCAAGCAAATAATTATTTATACGTATATAAAATTGATGCTAGTTGAAAATATTTCAAACCGTCTATATGGATTGTTACGAGCCATAAAATTTGATATCTATTACAAAAGAAGAGATTATGAATTTAAAAGTATTAACAATGTTTAAATTTACAAGGTTACATCATTTATTTACACGGTTTAATAAATTTTGCAATTTGGTGTATTTTTTACCCACTCATGGTCAAAGATTGAACGCATTAATTACCATGCATTGCATTGTTGGTGAAAAACACTTGAAAATGCATGCAAATGCATTACTAAAATTAACAAAATTGTGGTTAAACAAACAAAAGGCTATTCAAAACTGCCTGTACCTAAAAGTAATCGATGAAATGGACACACAAGTGTCTATCCTAAGCCTATGTAGAAAGTAGACTCCAAAATCGTTGCATACATCAATATATTGTATATTAACGTGTAGTCCATCATTATAAACACTGGGAATATATATTTTTTTCATGTGTACCTCTAGGACCTAATCTTGGCCCTATACTTTTTTTTAATTAATTGTCAGCTACAGCACAATCATTATATTTGTAATTTCAACCATGACATTTCGGTCCGATGTCAAAAGTTTGAACAAAATTTTGATATACATAATTGGAAATTGCAAACGCAATCATTGTTAACGACTAGAAAAGGAAGGAAGTTACAAAATCTGACGCATATTAAATTTACATCATAATAAATTATAACGACACAAGGTCTCGTGAACTTCGTTTGAATTATGATGCTATATTAACATAGACTTATTCTAATGTGATTTTCAAAAAAAAATATTTCACAAGCGATAAGATGCGCCCCGCGGTTTTACTCGAATTACGTGAGACACATAAAAATCCTTACTTAATGCATAACAATAAGATACGATACACGCAAATCGTAAGTGAATTGGATAATAATAATTTCAGCAAAGCCATCTCTTTTTTCAGATAACATCATAAAATAATAAAGTCTATTAGTTCTAGTCTCTAGAAGACTCTAGAGTATATATAGAAGATCAATATATAGACATATTGATGTGTAGTTTAGCACGTCCGTCAACCTACAATCAGTCAGTCGTCTAGGACAAAGCATATAATAGATATATATAGATTAACAACAAAAATACAAGCAATAGAAATTGACGCTATTTTATTATTGGACAATTAAATATTAAGGTCCTTAATACCATCTTATACTTAGAGAGATGTAACTTCATACTTCAAGGAAGAAATATAAACATTAATCATTTATCGTGTAAACAACGTTTGAATATTAATAGCACTATAATCAATTCGTAGCGGTTTGATCCTTATTTAGCAGATTATATGCATTCTTCTATGTTTATGTCTATGAATCCTTTGTAACCGAGCATAAAGACAAGACTTAAGTCATCAACCTTCAGGAGTACAAATCATTGTGAACAAAGTCTAAATGAAGGTTGTAGAAATATATTAAAATATTGGCATCTGTAACAAAGTCTGCAAACTGCAAACTGCACTGTATTCTTTTCATACATAAAGTCATGCTCGAGCGCCAACGAATCTACAGTATGTTTTTTAAATTACTAATGAAACTGGTCACAGGTATCTTCTCATCATATCATCGTATCATAAGAAAATTATAGCTTAAACCCACTCCAAGATGCAATGCCTGGTGGCCATAAACCACCACCTTTACTTAATTCCTGATATCAGACCTATGGCTGTGCTATACGAGAATTAAACGTCTTAACACCTACATTCAAACACCTGGATGGTACGAGAAGAAGTCTGATACCAAATCCGTACCCAGGCTGAATTCAGGACCTGCTATTGTATATTTCTAAAATCTGAAATCTTTCTACTAATACTCGATTATATTACTTTATTATAGAGCTTCCTTGTGTCATCTAATGTATTTTAAATTTCTTTACAGGTGGGGCAACCCTTTCATCTACCCCGTTATAAATTGGTTTAAGCCTGTGGAAACCCTGGTTGTCTTGACGCTTACTGCGTTATTCTTTGCACTAATGCACATTTTAACAGTGGGCATAGCAGCGGTTCGTGATTTCGTTTTAAAGAAATGTACACACGACAAAAGCGGCCTTTACAATGATGCTTTTGAGCCCTAGCTTAATATCGAACTAAAATTGACATAAGTCTGTAGGCCTATTCAGACTCACGAAACGACTTGGCAAGAAGATATGATCTGGAAACTACTCGTTTCCACTCTTCTCTCCTGTTTTCGCCGTGAGTCTCGAGGGGCCGTGTATGTAAGTGGAGAACACTTTCAACGGCATGAAACGCGAAATATAAGATAATATTTTACCACGTGACCACAACTGCTTTAGACCATCCGAAATGACAAGATGTTATAAGCAAAAAAAGTTGCCGTTAAAAGTGTTTTATTTAAAAACATGATATAGTCTGTAGACTATAATTGTGCTGGACACTAAATTTAAGTGTGAGACTATTTGTGTAATAATATTATAAGGTGTTTCATTTTACTTGAATACAAATCAAATAATCTTGCACGAATGATAATGCCTGTTTACAGTAAACGTCAAAAAACATAGGAAAAAAAGTAACAATGTTAACTCTACTTAGTGTAATGCTTAAATTATTTTTGCATGGAGTTTAATTATTATTATCTTTAATATTAAGATGGTAATACACGAGTAAATATTTGTAATGTCACTTTAAAACAAAATATAGATATACCAAAGACTCTAGGAATATAGATAGAAATTTTAACTTGGATAATTAAATCTCGTCTTAAATTGTACAAAGATAAAATTTAAGCAAGATTACATATTCAACACAAGAATTGTTTGCATACTGTGATTTGATATAAGAGTTGGTGATTCGGTTTAGTATCTATGTATTTACGTATAAGTTTTGTACATTAGGTATTATATAAGTTTCTAAATATAACAGAGAAAGAAAAGCTGTCTTTTTTTCACCTGTTCCCAACCAAAGACAAACTGTATAGATTGCAAGACTCGTTCTAATATTTATTCTGTAAATATAGAACATTGTATTATCACACATTATCTAGGCATACTTAACAACGACAGTTATCAGTCAGTTTATTTCTATTCTGAATTTGCAGAAGCACGAAATCACGTACTTGACACGTTTAAACAACAAAAAATCAGTTTATCAGTGTAATCGGAAGTGCACAAATACACTGGACTGTTCGTGAGGGTCGGAATTCGATTTCCATTGGTGAACCAATCTTAGCATATTTTCTGTTACCAAAGCCACGACGTAGCCAGCCCTATAACTTAGAAATCTCACGACGTAGTAGCTTAAGTATAGAGATACTTAAGCGAACTACGGGGAAAGTAATTTAAGTAAAGGCAATTTAATAAAATTGCCACGTTATCGCTAATTTATTTTCTTGATAAATGATAATACTGCTGTTTAAATATTGAAGTATCGAGAAATTGTAATCCATATAATTATGATAACAAATTGCTAATGTCTTCACTTATAAGAACGATTTTTTATCCTGTCCCTTTTTGCTGTAATAATTAATTAATAATTATGTTACATAACGCGTTACTAGTTTTAATATTAGATAGTTTTACTTAGATTATTACGGTAATTCATTCAACATCGACACGGTTTTAATTCATCGAGTTTTGGTGCTTACTTTACTGAATTTGATATGAAACTTTTTGTTGTTTGGTGTTTTATTGTTGCAAATCTTTTTTCTTATATTTTTTTAATAAACTTTTTTGAATAATATATAATATAATATTTACAGCATGAATTTACACAAACACCCTAGGAAATTTATTAATTAGGTTAAAAGTACATTTAATTAATGTCCACCTTTGCACTCTGGCACAAAACGAACACTACTCGCCTTAAAAACAATTTTGGAATATCTCGTACAATATAGATTTCGGGTTATTTTTATTTTATTACATGATAACGGACATAGTAAAACATAAGGGCAATAACGCATTATCGGTAATCTAATCGGTTCAGCAGGTAAATCTCATTGTGAATTCGTCCGTGGTGTGAGATTGCAGTATATTTTGTGAACATACTGGCAATCTAACGAAAATGGGCGCAGTAAAAAAGTATTTTAAACGACAGTTCCAAACTCAAAAATTTAAATTCGAATATGAGAACGGCTCGGACTTCTACATCGGATGCTTCCAGAAGAATAAATCTTGCATCCCGCTCTTACTAATAAGAGCTTTATTATTTTTTGGATCTGTGGCTATAGTGGTGTCGTCTATAGTGCTGGTCGCTGAGACCGGAAAAGGTGCATTCTGGCCAATATACTTGACGCATTGGGGGATATTTCTAATGATGGTATCTACTGGATTTGGTTTTGCCATTTCGTTGATATCGTTTTTGCGAGGACCTATTGGTAAGTAACTATTTAATATGTTCATCAAATACACGGCCTTTATTTCACCATCTTCCATTTGCTATAGTTCTTCATCGGGGTTGGTACTGCGAGTGTTCGTCATCTTTCGTTCGTTCGTTAACGCCAATGATTTTTTGTTATTCACTACTTATACAAAATAACATGTGACTGTAATGGAGATGTTCAACTATTTGGTTAAAGTAAAAAAAAATATTTAATAAATTAGTTTGTGTATCTGCTGTTTAACACCAAATTAACTTGGTCGAGTGGTAGCTTTTCATCAGGCGAAATTGCGATCACTTGAAGAATAAAGCGGTTGCTTGAAAATGTATACATATATCATATTTATATATATGTATATCATTATATCAAATAATTTAGTGTCATTTCTGGTGGATTAAATGGAATTGAAGCCGTTAAGTTTGAATTATGATATCAATTAGTTATCGATGTTATCTTTATTAGGCAGAAATTCTTTGAGTCATATTTTCATAAGAATTGTTGTGATATCACAAAATCTAAGAATTTACTTGGTTGTTTCCAGATACGACCTTCAAGTTGCCTTGGTATGTGACAGTGTATTGGATCCTTTACAATATTGCAGTACCACTGGCTCTTTTCATTACAGTCTTTTACTGGGCATTCTTGTCAGGGCTTGCAGATTCCGAGGAAGCCGGTACGTTGTATAATTATATCAAACACGAATAGATCTACACGACATTTATAGGTTAATAATAATAGATCGCTGGCAAATGAGTACAATTTGACAGTCTTCGAATAACAACTACAAATTAATTTTAATATTAATATGTCGTTCAGAAGGTAGATTAACAACGTTAATATAATGTTCAAAAATAGCAACTTAATGTCCTTAAATTCTCTTTTGTTAAAACTTTACTTCTCAAATTACATAACAATATAATCTTCTCGGTTCCTTAACAAAATCATTTCTATATATATCCATGACGTACATGGATATATAAGCATATGTAAATCCAAAAGACCATGTTGGCATTAAGAAACCGGGATCCTGCAGTAGTTTTTCATTGCAATCTACTTAATTATTAACTATTATCATTTCAGAGAATTTGGAATTCGCCCCCAACAAAGCTCTGGACATCTTCATTCATGCTATAAACAGTGTTGTGATGATGCTGCTGTTACTAACAGCGCGTCAACCCGTCTATATCTTGCATTTCTACAACGTGTTTGGATGTGCCCTCATCTATCTGTTCTTTACTGTTATTTATTGGGCCGCAGGTGGTACTGACCAGTAAGTATTTTGTTTCATTAAAATAATCAACAGTTTTATGCCCTGCCCGACTACAACGTTTATTATGCTACAAAAGATATCCGACCCCTCGCGTATATTATGGGGGGTAATAATAGTATTCTTTCACATAATGCCACTTCATGATTCACAATCTATTAAAAGGGTCTCCGATTTCTTTTAATAAACGACTTGGATACCAGACAATACTTATTAAGTATCCGAAACTCAGTTTTGCATCCTCGGCCACCGTCCTCACCGTCTACAAAACATGAGAAACAGAATGCTATCTAAGACCAGTTCTTATTACAGATTCGGACACTCTTTCATCTATCCCATGATTGACTGGAACAATCCGGGAGTAGCAGCAATTGCAGTCGTCTTTTGCGCGATTCTCATTATTATACTCCATGTGTTGATCAGCTTTTTAACTGCAGGAAGAGATGCAGTTGCTAAGTGGTATAGAAAGGAGAACGCCATGAGCTTCGTAGAGTAAATGTGGCCTTAGTGGGGGCTTTTAATTTAAGATTTGAATTTAGAATGGAAATTTTAACAGACATTTCCATGCGATTGACATAAAAATAATTCAAATTCTTCGTCCTACAATATTGTCAGGTTAATGTGATGTGCATTTGTTTAATATTAATTCGTTTGTTATACGCCGTAGCTGACTTGACAACTAAACGCCATTAATGTACACTGGCTTATTGTTTTAGTTTGTTTATTCGCGTGGAGATCACAAGGTCCAGAGTTACCTTGGGTCGAACGAAATGTTCGGTGTTTGGAATTCTTCTAAGGTAATTTAGTAACATACCAGAATTTGGAAGTGGAAGGAATAAAGTAGAATCACCACTAAATTGAAGGTCTAGTCCCTCCCTATATGAGAGAGTAGACCCCTGTCATTTCTTGGCAATGAGTAGTACACGTTAAAAAAAACACTAACGGTTTTATAATTTTCAAATAAGTTTAATTAATATATATCACGTTTTAAACGGTGAAAGTGTTAAATAAGTTAAAAACCATTTTTGCCAAATATTTGTATCTGAGCTGGTCTCAAAAAAATATTTGTTAATATTTTTTATTAGTATACACACAGTTACGTTAAGGCAAACCTTACGTTTAGTAAAGTAAGCGCCTTATTTATTTTAGATAATATTTCACTCTTTAAAAGGATCTCAATATACTATGAAAATTAGTATAATTTGACTCCTTGAGATTATTTGTATAAAACACGTTTTAATCCATTTATGTATTGAAATACGTGAAATAAGTATAAAATAATTTGTAAATATTAAAAATAATTAAGCATGTACTTTTTTATTTTAATATAAAAATATAATATAGTTCGTTTATTGATTGATTTTTATTGTTGCAAATATAATGCTCCTGAAATAAATTTTGCGTGCCATTGATGTAATAATTAATTAAAATTTTGACTTTGTAGGCTTTCATGTGTTACATTAACAAAGTGTTAATATTAAAACAGATAATTAAGAATTTAGTAAATTTAAGACTGTGGTAAAATTATTTTTTTGAGGCATTTTTGAAGAGCTTGTCTAATGTTAGCAACGTTATCGACGGGTAGTGGCTTCGACCGCCGCACTGTCCAACATGTTTGTAATAACGAGTAATTTGTATTTTTTCTGAAGCATATTGGACTTCAGCATTTTTTTTTTTTTGACGTTTCGCCATCACTTCACATCACATCACATCATTTTCTCGATTGCAGAATTAATATTTCTCGAGAACCTCTTCTCGCTAACGTCGGTCGAAAAACAATATGCTGAACGATGGCCGTGAAAGCCTTACACAATATTGGACTCCATCTCGAAATCTAGATGTTGAATGGATGGTAGGAATATTAAACAGATAAAGTTTAATTTGGTTTCAGTCTGGATTTCCAAAAACCCAAAGCCATAATAGATCGACAGCAAATCTTACTGAGATGTTATATGGCTAGAGCGCTACACATTCCATGACTCACCATGTTTGTCAGTCTTCCTCTATCATAAAAAAAAAAATAGGAAGAGGAATTTTAATCTCAAAGGGTACAGAAGATACCAACATTTGATATGACACACAATAATTACAGCACTATCGTAAATCTAATCAGCTCGAAGCGCTTATTTCGTAATCGTCCGCGGTTGATTGCACAGTCCGTGAATATATTGGCGATCTATAAAATGGGCGCTACAAAGAAGTATTTTAAAAATCAGTTCCAAATTCAAAAGTTCAAATTTGAATATGAGGATGTGTCGGATTTCTACTTAGGTTGCTTTCAGAGGAGTACTTCGTGTATCCCTCTCTTGCTAATGCGGACTTTGTTGTTCTTCGGCTCTGTGGCTATTGTGGTGGCGGCTCTAGTGATGAATGTGGAGAGAGGGCGTGGCGGCTATTGGCCAATTTATTTGACCAATTGGGGGATTTTTACAATGATGATTTGTACAGGATTCGCATTTATCATATCCCTTGTTGCTTCCATCAAAGGATCCCTTGGTGAGTTACAAATTGATAGATAAATGACTCATCGTTTTAACGGCCTCGTTGGCTTATTGGTAGCAGTGTATAGCTAAAGATCAACAAATCACAAGTTCATATCCACGTATGGATAATGTGGACAGAATGTGGATAACGGTTCACGAACCAATATAGAAAGGCGGGAAATGTACATACGTCTTAACTTTTAAGTTAACATTATCGATCAATCAAAATAGGACGACAGCACATTTTAAATAGATGTTACATTTTACTATCCATTAATTGAACTACTTGGCCCTCTCTCTGCCCCTGTCATAAAATAATATAATTTAGCACAAAAGTTCGCGCTTTCGTGACACGTTTAAGTAGTGGAGAGAGAGGAAAATTGCTTAAAATATTTACGTAAACCAGTGCAGGGATTGAATATATAATATCTAAGTGTCGATATATTATTACTACTTAGTAACAATATACAATTAATAATATTTAAAAAAACGATACATCTCTGTTCCTATGTTAACAACTGTTAACATTGATGGAGCATAATTTTCTTTTGTTTGATCTTCGCCTATATTAAGATCAATATATGTAGTATATATGATTTCATATATAATAAGCACTGATAATTCTAGGTACAGAAGTGTCGTTTCGTTTACCCTGGTACGTTACAGTGTACTGGGTTCTTTATAATGCAGCAATATCTATGGCAGTATTTGTTACAATTTTCTATTGGGCATTTTTGAGTGGAGCTAGATATTCTGATGAGAATCGTAAGTACCTAGACTTAACTCTTCTTCAAACTGAATTTGTACTGCCCCATACCAAAAAAATGGGGACTCTGTTTATTTGACTTCGCAATCTGACTGTCTGTCATCAGACAAGAACCGTGATGCTAGACAGCTGATGTTTGCACAAATTCAAAATTCATATCTATAGCAGCAACAAAAATATTGAATTGAAGGAGCTATATATACGAATTGGATGATGATCCCTAACACGCAGGAATTAATTTTGTTGGATACTCATAAAAATAAGAAATACGTTACAACGTGAAGTTTTTTTATTTCCAGTTATGTAGTTTAGCAATAGGTACTTATCATTCAAATTTTAAAAGTAACGAACAGCTTTTACTAAAAGACAATACCTAAGTGTAAATGTGAAATACTGGTTTCCCCTGTAGGGCGAACACATTTCTGTGTTCGTTTCACTGATCGCTTTTATTTACCAACAAGTAGTTGATCAAACCTGTGGCTTGCCCAATCGTAACAATATTATTTCCGGAATTCGAATTGAGGACCTCTCGGGCTTAACTCAATGCTAGGCAACACGTTTAACCATTTAGCTTTAGAAGCGATACATTAGAGCTTATAAATTATTATTTTCAATATTACAGAAGACTCAGAATTCGCCCCAAATAAAGTGCTAGACATCTTCATCCACGCTGTCAACAGTGTGGTGATGCTCCTATTGTTGCTGACTTCGCGTCAACCAGTCTACATTCTGCACTTCTACATCGCCATTATTGTTCCCCTGGTATACATGATCTTCAGTGTCATTTACTGGGCAGCGGGTGGACTGAGCCCGTAAGTGTATTCATTTATATAGAAAACGTATGGTACTGCACCAATCGCGCGCAAACAACAGCTAATATAATTTTCCAGATTGAAAAAAGAAACCCGATGACAGGTTATATATCCAAAGCTGTAATAGGACGACAGCGCATCTTGTTCAGATGTTATATGGCTAGCGTATTTCACCTACCTTTACGTGCACCGATTGCCCATCTGTTCTCCTCTTAAAGAAAAAGTCTGTGAAACAAACAAAGCCAGTCTGTCTTATTTTGGGTAAACGTATGTTAACGATTTTTCCTTTAAGGATACTTTAATTTATTATTTATAGTTTAAATCTATCTCTTTAAAGCTTGGTTTACATTTGAAATACCATTACCCAGCTGTGTATGTCAAGAAGAATGTACATATGTCGCATATGTTTATCGTTGTGGTAGGTATAATTATTGGCTAAATAAATCTTGACCTTTAAGTGAACGATAAGTTGGTCTTTAAGTGTGCCTACTTTGAGGAACTTAACGATTATAAATACCTAGCACGTTCGAAATCGTTAAAATTGAAATCCCGTTTTCCCAACTTAAAACAGACCGTCTCACATAGTTTTTTTTTTTATAGATGAGAACAGACAAGTGATATACCCCAGCCGTATAACATGTAAACAAGATGAGCTGAAACCGAAACGCGACTAAACTAAACGGTTTTTTCATTTGTGGTTTGGTTTAATTTTTCAGATTTCCAGACGATGTCCAACATGTTTCAGAAAAATTATAAAACAATTGGAAAACGGGGTTCGAACCCATGTTCAATCAGTTGATTGTTAGCTATACATAGTTACCATTATACGAGCCCGTAAAATATCTATGGATTTATTTGCCTTATAGGAACTTGTATGTACATCTCATCATCATCATCTTCTTGACCTCACATGTGGCCTGTCCGACCGTAACTTTTATGTATCAGAACTCGAACCCTTGACGCAATGTGTTTTACCACTAAGCCAGGGATGCAGTAAAAATTATTAACTCAATTAATTGTCTACAGACGTGGAAACCCGTACATCTACGCTATGCTTGACTGGAGCAGACCTGGAGTAGCTTTGATAGCTGTTGCCCTATCAGCCGCTCTTCTTATTGTTGTCCACATCTTAATCTCTTTGCTAGCCCTAGGAAGAGATGCTCTGGCTAAATTGTATCGAAAAGACAAATCTTTTACCTTCAGCCAATAACCTTAAAGAAGACTCGTAGTGTTTAGTCAAATTGACTGTTTTGCTAATGACATAAGTGAAGGCGAAACTTTTTTACGTTATAGTAATTAAAATAAATATATTAAGGTTGCCTAAATAGTTTAATTTTTATGCAAACTGATTAATATATATATATAGATAATTAAAATAAAACAACACACAAACGCACAACCATGTGGCCACGAGTTTTAGGTTTTCAAACCAATTTATTAAAGTTAAAAAATTATCGTATTCTTTAAAAAAAAAATATTGTCTGACTTTTGTATAGCTTTTAGATGCTGTGATAATTTTAAATAAACTTTAACGGTTTAAAACACGATATATACTTAGTTAATCTTATAACTAAGTTAAATCGCTTTTAAACCGTTATGGTGTTTACTTAAATGTGTACTACTCGCGTATACTTTAGAGAGTATGCTGTGATAATATTTTCTTAATAAGAATCCTATTGTTTTTTAGATTAATGTTGTCAAAGCTTGGTCTCTTCAATGTTTTAAACCATCGGCCCTACGGCCTCGTTTGTAATCCTTAACTGGAAGTGATTCCGAGTAAGATAAAAATTTTGGAATGAATCAGTTATCACTAGATACGATATCTGTTAAACGATAACGGTTATTTAGGTTATAGAAAAATCAGTTTAAACCGAACCACAATGAGTGCAATAAAGGAGTTTTTCAAAGCCGAGTTCCAGCTTCGTATGGTTGGCTTGGAGCATCAGAAACCCTCGGACTTTTATTTGAGTGCTTGGCAAAGTACAAGATCAGCTTTGCCGCTTTTAATATGGCGGGCTTTACTATTTTTAGCCGCTTTAGGCATAATTCTAACATCAGTGATAATGTATATACTTAGTCCGATACCTCTGGGGTATTGGTTTATTTATTTGACGCATTGGGGTCTTATATTAATATTGTGTTCCACTGGATTTGGTATGGGAGTTTCTGCGCGTTGTTATTTTAAAGGACCAATCAGTAAGTAGCTTTTTTTTTACTATCTTAAACAATACAACTTTTAAAAAAAATATGCATAAATTTAAAACTCTTAATAGTAACATGGCTGTTTTGGTGATAGAACGAATGCTTTTTTAGGACAAAGATCTTTTACTGGGTCCAGATCTTTATTATTAAATCTGTCAATAAACAAATGTGCTTATAAGTTATTTTTTTTTTTAATCCTTATCTAAAAGACGTTAGTGCTTTGAAAAGCTCGTCGTCTATGTCACATAGTGTTGAATATATAATTGTATGAGAATTATTTTAACGATCCTAATTTGTAGCTGGAATGAAAGTACATATTTAAACAATCGGTTACATTAATTAAACTTATTATTTTAACTCCGACCCGCGTCAATACATTTCACTTTTCAAATCGTTATAAGTGTTTTTCTTTGTTTTTTTTTTTGGATTTATGTGTGTACTTTCATAAGCTACAAACAGTACCTGATAGTAACATAGATAAAAAAACCTTTTTATCACAAATTTCTCGAAATGACTGTAAATACGTAAATTAAATCATTTTCGCCTTATTTGTTTATAGAAAAATTAATCGATTCGAAAAGTATAAATTGTGCTAATACTATTTAACAGGCCCTGATTTTGCACTGCCATGGTACGTGAAGACCTACTGGGTTCTATACAACATATCTGTTCCCCTGGCTTTCCTTATCACTGTGTTCTATTGGACGCTGCTGTATGAAGGTTAGTATTTTTCTAATAATATTATATGATGATTTTTTTGGCCAAGATGTAGAAAATATCTTACGCTTAGTCAATGCCAAACTGAAAGACTAGTAACCCATTAATCACCCATGCTGAAACAACTTTAAAGGTCTTTAAATTGAATACCTTTTTAATTTTAATAATTGAATTGATTTTTTTTTCTTATAATTATTTTTCGTAAGCTTTGATTACGGGTGTTAACAATAAAAAAAGTTACAATATAATAAAATCCCAAAAAAAACCAGACCGATAGTTCCTAAATCCTAGTCCTAATCTAGTGTTATTTTAACTACATATACATTAGATATAATTTAATGTTGCCCAGAACCTAATTCCTACAGCACTTACTCTTTGGGTGAAATGGTCAGCTGATGGTGTGGACTGATCAACCGGGTGTCCCTGATAGATAATAAATAAAATGTATATACTTTTGAAAACTTTATTATTTTTTACATGTTATTGCACATGAAGGCACTATATGATTTAAAAATCGAAAAAAAATTTTTATTTTTTTTTTTAATTTATTTTCGTTTTTTAAAATATATACTTTTGGAAAATAAAATTTAATATGTAAGTTTGTTATTTCTTTTCTTAATTAAGTAGTTTACTCAAGTATTCCTAGTGCTGCAGTTTAGACTTCTATCTATGCATATTTTTGCAAATTATGTATAGTTATTTCTATTTTAGTACTTCTACCCTAATACCCTAATCTAATAATTTCAATTTTTTTTTGCCTCGAAGACACCCTCCATCTTTAGTCTTCCGTAACAACGGCTGCTACACAAGCATCCGAAAAGTCGGGACGTAGTTAAACAAATATATATCGCGTTTTAAACCGTTAAAGCGTTTTATTTAACCTTTTTTTTCAGCCGGCATACAGGAGGAAGTGGGTCAAGGTCTGGATATCGCGATACACGGGCTCAACTCCTTGGTGATGTTCCTTCTTCTTGTCAGCTCTTCGCACAGTACACGAGTCGTTCACGTCGTGCATCCGATTATCTTCTCGTGCATTTACGTTGTTTTTAACGTATTTTTTTACGTAGCCGGTGGAACTGATCCGTAAGTATACATCAAGGTAGATACGGCACTTTCAATAGCTTAATGCAAAACGAAAGGTCAAAACACCTTAAATAAATAAACTAGAAACAAAAACAGTATCAAGTACATTTGTGAACCAAAAAATTATTGATTTTACAATTCCAACTTATACCCTATATACCATACTTATTTCCAAGAGACAGTAGTTGCCTTTTTTTTACTGATGGTGTAAATGCCAAATGCACGCCTACGTCGGGCAAGTGTGACGTGAGGAGTGTGGTAAATGGAATAGCCGACCAGAACCCTCTATGGTGCTTTGAGGGAGCCCTGGGAGGGCTTTGTAGTTGCCTAGCATTGTGTTAGCATTGTTTGAATCCCAAGGAAACAAGCGGACATAGTAATGTGATAGCCCCATTCCCGCGATGGCAACTGTACAACACTGTTACGAAGATTTAAATTTAAACATTACTTACGTATTTATTTGAGTAAGGTTGCTTTACTTTAAATTAAATTAAATAAAACAAATAATCATTAATTTAACTTATAGCATGTTACTTGCACTATTTTAAATCATTATTATCATTATATTTGTAAGTAATAAATTATATTTATGGTCACCGATCCTTCAGAATAAATCACAACACTGCGTCATTAACTTGAAACGTACGCATGTGAAAAACGATAATAGTTCTTCATTTGTTAAATATTTCCGCGAAGAAGTAGGTCGTGATTCATTTAATTGCTCTAGTATATATCCTTTATGAATATTGATAGATAAATAAATGGGCTAATAATGTAGGTTACTAGAAGTACATTTTATTTAATGTGTGAAAACTATGTTTAAATAAAAAAATTTAGTATTAATTGCATACACAAAAATACTTGCCTCTTTCGTAGTTAGTACTCTCGACTATACGTGACGGCTATAACCATTAATTTGTAGTGGTAGAGCCCACCAACTCGCATTGATACAGCGTGGTGGTGGGTTTTTTTTTCAGTCTAAAATCGGTTTTTAATTAAATGTTTTAAGCTTACATTTTTAGTTTAAAAACATAAATACCAACTTTTTGTAATTTACTATGACTGTCCAATACGTTACCCCAAATAAAATTTCTCTAACCTATTCATTTTGAAGTATTCGTTATGAGTAACGAATACAAAGTAACGAATACCATCGAACTCATTAATTGTACTAAAGGCCATTTTTATCACAATACTTATCAATTCTCATTCGGCATGCATGTAGTCTATGCACAAATAAAAACAATGAGTAGTGAATGTTAACAGTGCAAAACTGAAACTCATTAAATTTTAAATCATTAAAAATTACGCAGCGAACGCGGAAACCACAACCAAAATATGTCTAAAGGTCGCTTGAATCAGTGAATTGTAAATAATTAGTCATAAATCTCTCTGATAATAATCAGATAAATAATTACATTTACAAACTAAAACATTTGATCGATAAAAAAATTAAAACTTTCTTTTGTACTCTTAATTGGAACTGCAATTAGAAGGATACAAAAATTTTGTTGTTTTTACTTAAAAACTTACCTGTGAATCGATGTTAATAAAAGATGATATGTTATCTGTGACATGCCTCGTGTGTGTTCCGCGGGCTTCGGACCCCTTATGGTCACCACTAGCATAAAATTTGATCAGGTAACGGAAAGCTCTTAGTCTGCAGTACTACAGTGCAGTCTCCGTTTGTCGGGCTATCGTGGTCTAATAATAGCAATGTATGCTCATAACTGGCTGTGGGTTCGATCGCCACCAGATCCAACGTTTCTCTAATACATTTTTAATTTTTCTGAAACATTGGTTATCTGGAAATCTGGATATTAAACGTGCAGTAGAAATATCTGAATTCCGTCCGGGTCAAGAACCACCATCCACAGATGAATAAGCCGCGTTTAATCGCGATTCGGATCCAGTCTGTGGATTTCCGAATATCCAAAATCAAAATAGGCCGACCGCGCATCTATCTATTAGATTTTATATAGCTGGGTATTTCACTATCCATCTAGTGAACCACATGCTCGTCTGTCTTCCTCATAAACAAGCCACAGAACAGTGCCTTTATTTCTTCCTTCCAGACTTGGAAACCCATACGTGTACCCAGTGGTAGATTGGACCAACCCTGGAGGGGCGATACTAACAATCTTTATCACGTTGCTGCTGCTTATATGTCTGCATCTTGTCACGTTAGGGCTGTCAGTTGCTCGTGACTCACTTGCGAATCGTATTCTACGCCCATCAGTCACCGTGCACGTGAATGAGGATATAGCTTTGAGGACTAGGGGAGAAGCGACAGTATCAGAACCTTAAGCTAGGAAATAAGTATTGGAAAATGTTAGTCGAATAATATTGAAATGTTGTATGTAAGAATCCATGGACATTACTTGATAACATTGCAAATCAGCACAAGGATTGTTTGTTATTTGATAACCTGTAGTTTACGCGAGTACACATTTAAATAAAAGAACTTTAACGGTTTAAAACGCAAAATATATAAATTAAACTTATTAACAAAATATTTTTAACTACGGACCCGACGTTTGGGATGTTTGCTGGGTTTGGTAGCATTTGCCGTAATCAACGGCGAGTTACCGTTACAAGTGCGTAAATTGAGGCTATTTTATTTAAAAATTCAATTTGCATGTAATTATTAAGTGATAATATTTCGGGTATTAAGCCGTTTTATTCTAGAACTAATTACTTTTTGTGTTCAACGATTTTAAGCTTGTATTCAGGTCGCTGCAAGTTTTAATTCATATTAATATAAATTAGATAGACTTCTTCGTATATTTAAATGTGTTACCATATATACAATTACTAACAATAATGAAGTTAGTTAGTTTAAGATAAATATCTTTTCATGGAATGAACGCGTTTCAGTGACAGAGTTTAAACATTGTTTTAAAATCTCCCAACGATTAGATGTTATTAATTTATTATAATGTTATTGTATAACATCGTACTAATTAAAGATTTTTATATTTCCTATAATGGAGTTTTATTTTTGTCACAATGTTCGCTGCCTACATAAATATTTTATTCTGCCATGTAACATTTTATAAGTAACACACAGTTACGCAAAACAGTGTGACGAAAGGGAAATTAAAAATGCAGGCCGGTCCACTCGATATTTCTACATAGTCTACATACTATCTACATAAAATAGACGCATACATGACACATATAGTAACTAAAATATACTACTCTATACTAGTAATCTTAGTAACTATATAGTAATCGTTTTTTTTTCATTATGACGTCGACTTCTTTCGTGTTAAATCAACAACATAGAACCTTTTTCATGTACAAGAAGAGATTTCATCTACAACTGTGTAGGTACTAAAGTGTGTAATTGTCATTGTTCTCTCAACATTAAAACTATTGTGTGGTACTATCTATGGATTTTTATTGAATCCAACATTTCGCCTATAAATAAAGTTAGGTTATTTTTAGAAATACCTAAATTAAAACCTTCTTGTATTACGTCACTAAATCTAACTGTCAACAATTGACTGATATTTATAAACGAATAAATAAGGATTTTAAATAATATTAAAAATGCTTCACAACACCGAGTATGATAATTACAATACTTCAATGTACAGTCTCTTTAGGCAAGTATCAAAGGTCAAATTGTATAGATACTTCAAAGACAACCTCAGACCTCACAAATTTAAAATTGTATTTCCTTGTCATAACGGCTTTCGTAGTCAAATAAGCAGAAATTAGCATAAATCTTACTGTTGCACTAATCGTCCTAAATACGACTTTTCAATAGCATTGCGTTAGACTCAGAGCACTTGACCTCCTCCAGCTGACATTGAGTCATGATTCCAGTTCTCTTATAATTACATAAGGCTCGCAGTCTGGGGAGGCATGCTATACGCTCATTTCGTTCTTACCACCGCGAAACGCACGTCGTTCCCCCCCTACATAATATAACTGAGCACAATTTGATTCAATATTGGCATGTGATAAATCTTATCGATAATCTCGGAATCTGTTAGTGGTTGTGAAACATTTATCTGGACATTCTTGTGTCGTGATCCACCGTGTGATGTTTTGTCAGTGAAAATGAAATGTTCCAGGAAGAGCATATCCCTTGGGGACCTCTGGGTCCTGTCTAATGAGAAGTTGAGTGATTTCTATTTGACGTCATGGCAGAAGGGGGAGTCGCCGGTGCCTATGCTGGTTATCCGCTTAGTATTAGCTGGTGTAGCTGCTGGGATCTTCGCATGGTCGTTGTATTCCGGTGCCAGCCCGTATTGGTTAATATTCTTGACCAACTGGGGGGTGTTACTCGTATTCCTGATGACTTTTAGTGGATTGAGTGTCTCCTTTGTTGCTACTTTTAGGAAACTTCCCGGTGAGTACCGCATATAAATATACATTAAATAATTAACATTTAACGTTTTAAATACTGTCTATAGTTTACGCGAGTAGTACACATTTAAATAAAACACTTTAACGGTTTAAAACGCGATATATATCAGTTAAACTTATTTGAAAATTAGTTTTAACTTCGGCCCGACCGCGCCGTTTCGGATGTTTTGCAGCAGGCGAAGTGTTATTTAAATTAAACGTTTTGTTAATGCCGTCCCTGAATTAAAAACATTGCTGAATTTAAATAAAACACTTTAACGGTTTAAAACGCGATTTTTTAGTTTTTTTTTTTTTAAAATTTTTTTTTCCCCCCCCCCCCCCCCCCCCCCCCCCCCCGGGGGCGCCCCCGGGGCCGGGGGGGGGGGGGGGAATTTTTTTTTTTTTTTTTTTTTTTTTTTTTTTTTTTTTTCCTTTTTTTTTTTTTTTTTTTTTTTTTTTTTTTTTTTTTTTTTTTTTTTTTTTTAACATTGCTGAACCAAAATTAAACCACTATTAAGTGAAGAGAGTTTCAATAATACATCAAGAAATAGTTTAAGATATTCCACCGTTTTCAATCGAAGAGAATGTTATCCTAGCCTCCCTGTATACAAAATGAAGTAAGCTACAATTTCTGTCCTAATAATCAACGAAAATACGTGACAAAACGTATGATAACACAATCTCGTACTTTGAACACATGTTTTGTAGTTATATCTTTTTATTAAAACTAGTATCTTCTATTTTTTTAGATCCGGATCGGATCCGAAAAAGCATCCGAAACGTCGGGCCGAAGTTAAAAATCATTCTCAAATAAGTTTAACTAATATATCGCGTTTTAAACCGTTAAAGTGTTTTATTTAAATGTGTACTACGCGCGTAAACTATAGGCAGTATCTTCTAATCTTTCTCATGCCTGAGAATCAAACACTCTGATTTAGTTATTTTCAATATTTTTTATTAATTACAAAAATAGTGGCATTCTTATAATTTACACAAGAACTTCATAATGAACATGAGTTGTATGCAACTGAATTGTGTGCATTGAAAACAAATATCGATGGGGGATCTCTGCGGAAGCTTTTACCACTCAAGTTGCTATTATACATGTAGGTATATAAAATTCGTACAATGTTTACACACTACCCGCATTATATTTTTATTAAAACAAAACCCCGACCCCATACCTAAACTTCCTGACTTCCGTTCAAAAATTACAAGTAATTTTAACTTGAATATAGGTTATTGGGTTTCCTGGAAGATATCGCTGATAGCGATAGCGCCTGCTGCACTTACTTTTTAAGAGTCCTTTATTCCTGAGTTTTTTATAAAGGACAGACAAGTATGGCGGTCACTTGATGGAAGATGGAATACCCCAATATAAGGCATACATAGCTATCATATTTTTTTTGTTAATATAGGTCAACGAGCTCATCTAGAGTGTGTGTTAAATTTTCAACGGTTAAAATCGAGAAATATATTAGTGAATTTAATTTCAAGGTGTCCAACGTTTTGGGCCCAGTCATAAGCCCTTGTATTATACATCAAAACACTATAGGTATACCTATAGAAGTTTTAGTAATATGTATCACTCGCGTCAACTACAGATAAAATGTATTTATAGTATTCTTCACGTGTAGCTAATGCATTTATATTTTTCCTTTTGATCGAAGATTGTTCAATTATTCCGTTGTATTAAGAAGATAATTATAGATTCAGAATGATTTCAAGACAATGACGCTGTTACGTAAAAATCTTCGGAAGCAGGTCGACAACTGAAACAAGTTATAAGTTACAGCTTGTGGAAAAGTTGTTCCACATTTCGTTCGTTGGTTCGCAAGTTGGTCTATATGAGCAGAGAAAGTAAATGATCGATAATAAAGACTTTAACGCTTCAACTAAATTCTTATAATTACGTACATATCTTACTTAGTTAAATGATTTTTCGTCCAGATTAATGTGATATTACATTTCTTTGAAAAAATAAATTTAAAACTCATTCGAAATACTGACTGTAATTCACATGAGTAATACACATTAACATAAAACACTTTTAACGGTTTCAAACGCTAAATATATCAGTTAACTTATTCAAAACTACAGCCCGACGATTTGGATGCTTTGCAGCGGCCGTGATCATGGATAGTTTAAATTATTTATAAATAGAAATTGAAAAAATTTTCGACTCGGGCAGGACTTGAGCGTCGTCAGCGTTAAATTAATTGTAATTATTTAACAATTAGTTTAAATTAATTGTAAATAAATTAGCTAATTTATTATTATTATTATATATTTTACGAGTTTTAAACCAGTAAAAGTGTTTTATATAAATAAGAACAATTTGGATGCTATACAGCACCTGCTATTCACGGATCGCACCATTGTTAAATAAATTAGTTACTTTCGAGTTTTAAACCGTTACAAGGGTCTTATTAGAATACGCGAAAATTTTAATAAAATGTTTATGGATTATTTTTAATACTTTTTTACCTTTTTCCTAAATCCAAAAATTTTTAAAATTCCCCCCCCAAATCCCCCCCCAAAAAATATATCTCTGGGTCTCCCCCTTTTTTTGAAAACCCCCCCTTCCTCCCCGAAAGGAAACCTTCCAAAACCCCTCCCCCCAACCCCCGTGGTGACCCCCCCGAAAAACCCCCCCCAAACCCCCCCCCCCTTCCTTTTTGCAAGTCTAAGTCAAAAATTTGGTTTTGATGAACGCTAATACAACTTAGAATTATATATATATATATCTGCTTTCGCGGGGTTTTTTGCTCAAAATTGTTTTTGCCCACGACGTCGGTCGCGTGCTATCATTTTTTAAGGATTGTATTTTTAACGTGTCACGATATTTTCTTAGATTATAAAACAAATTGTGCAACTTGTTTAGACTTTGGTATCGCGAACCTTCACCCCACCTAAACCCCCAAAAAAAAAAATCCCCCCCCCCTCCCCCCCCCATAATCCCCGCACGGGTTTTTAACCCCCCCCCAAAAAAAATCCCAAAACCAAACAAAAATTATTTTAATAAAAAAAAAAAAAAAAAAAAAAACAATTGCAGATTTCGAGGTTCACAGTTCGAATCGTGGATCGGGTGAAATGTTAATTCGGTAGTTTCAGTTTTTTCTCAGAAATTATCTAGAACAAGAGATTGGAGGCTTGGTACTTGTCCATCGAGTGATTAAACGCCTGAAACTTTCTCTTCTAGGATCTCATCGTACGTGGAACTTTAATTCACTAAGTGGATCAATAGTTTAAATAGTTGTTACGTATTGACTAGTTCACGTTGAAGTTTTTCTATAGACGACAAACTTAGATATGAAACTGAAACGTTTCCATTTTGGGGCATTAGATGAACACATTTCCGTGTCTGTTTCACTGATTGGTTTTACATTTACAGTTCAGTTTAGTAGTTGATTAGATTCATCGGGATTTGAATTTAGGACTCTTACGCTTAACGCAATGCAACACGTTTAACCATTTAGCTACAAAGACCAAGATCAGAAATTAATTGCATTTGTTTAAATAAAACACTTTAACGGTTTAAAACTCGATATACATTAGTTAACTTTTTGAAATTTATTTTGAGTCTTCCCGTGACCGTTAGTGGTTTATTTAGATGTGTCCTACTCATGTAAACTACAGACTCTTTGCATTCGTTTTTGCAAAAGCAAAGAGATTTTGTTAAAAATAAAACATTTATTTTACACGCAGAGGAATAGTACTTTAATTTGTGAAGTTTCTACTTTTTTTCGTATAAGTAATAGCAAAATATTTCTACGTTGAGTTTGTTTGCGATCGTCGCTTTTCGATAAGCCAAGTTGATGAAGTGTAAACATCTCTTTATTTGTGTCCGCACTCATGTGGAGTCAAGCTCGTAAGGACTATACGATATGGCACTAGCTTTTACACGCAACTTCGTTCTAAATTAGAGTCTGCGAGTTTAAAATACTAACAGAGCTGGCAAACTTTTTTGCAATAAGTCTTTCAACTAAATTTGATAGCCATAAAAACGGTTGTTGTGAGTAAATCATAAAAGCTAGATAGATATACTGGCGAGTTTTTTTTAAGAGCATAGATATAAAGAGGAATTAATAAAGTTATAGTCTAAAGCCTTCCTTGATAAATAGACCGGCCAACACAAAAAAAAACATTTTGAACCAGTAGTTCCGGAGATCACCGCGTTCAAACTAACAATCTCTTTAGCTTTATAATATTAGCATAGACAATAAACATGGTTTACTTGCCAAGTTCTTATTAAATACTTGGTAGAACCAGCAAACGTCATACAAACATCGACCTAACAAATGAGCACACACAGAAATTCCCGATTATAAATGCCACGTTATTTAAATAAAATAGTTTGAACGGTTTAAAACGTTAAATACCTAGATTGGTTATCTATCCATTTGTTAGCATACCTTTGAATAATAATTTGTGAATAAGTTAACCTAATAATAATAACAATATTTCGGGTTCTAAACCGTTAAAAGTGTTTTATTTAAATGTGTACCTACTATTAGCGTAAATTACAAAAAATACTTAGCCATGTTATTGCTTGAAAATACTACCGCAATCAAATTTATTATAAGAATGCATACGAATACATCAATGTATTGTGTCTATTTTTTTTTATTATAGTGAAGACACTATAGCTTAGCGACAATGGTTGCGAAACGTAACAATTATTAGCTATGATAAATCTATGATGAAGCCTCTAGCCATAATAGGTCAATTGTTATGCCAGGTTTATAACATATATTAGATAGGTATCACAATATAAATACTGGAAAAAGTTAAATAAAAGTCGGTGTGAATAATAAGTCAAATTACACATATTTTGAACTGGACAAAATTTAAAATTCCCCAAGGAACCTGTGTGTGCGAACGTATTGGGGATTCACAACTTTTCCAATAGTCTATCTATGTAGGTTTTTTAAAGGATTTGTAAATATTTTTTAGAATCGTTAATGTTAGGTACAACATGTTACAAGTATTTTTAGATATCTACTGTAGACTTTCTTTTAAAATTTACTTTAGATATATAATTACAAATAAAACTTTAGTGGCTTAGCTTTTCTATGTATGACTATTAAAAGAAATAATTTTAAAGGTTTAAAACGTGAATAGTGTTATGTGGAGACTCCCCGTGACCACCCCTGCAAAGCATTCGCAACGTCGGGACATTAAAATAATTTGTAAATAAGTTTAACTTATACATGTCGCATTTTAAACCGTTAAAAGTGTTTTATTTCCACGTCTACTACTCGCCTAAACTACAGAAAAGAGAAAAGGTAAATATTTAATCAAAATGGAATTATCGAAATTAAATATCCTGGTCACGACGACCGACCACAGATGATGTAGAAATCTGTATTTTTTATCTCAGTTTGTGTGTATTTTCTTATCCAAAGTCTTTCCACCTCTGTCATGCAAGCCAACATTCAATTAAAAAGAAATGACTTTATGTTTTCAGATATCAGCGATGGCAATCTCCCTTGGTACGTGAGCGTGTATTGGTTGACTTACAATATAGCCCTCATTATCTCGTTAATGATCACAGGACTGTACTGGATACTGCTGTATAATCCAGGTACGTTTCTTCCAGTTACATGGATAGTGAATACCTACACATACATATTTTATGGTGGTTCGTCACTTTGGTATTCTGTATGTTTTATTACAAGCCATACATACCCTCTAGACTTACGAACCAGAAGTTGGTCAAATGTTTGTGTAAAATTAAAAAAATAAATATTATAAGCATGATACGGTCATACATACGACCATATTATATATATTGTTTGATATGTATTTTAAACAATATATTTGTTTTTTATTTCGGATTAACGTTTAATTAATCTACATTGATATTCGAAAGCTAAAGAGTTTGTTTGAACGTGCTAATCTCAGGAGCCTACTGGTTCGAATTGAGAAATTATTTGTGTTATTGCGCTTTTTATCGAGGAAGGTTATAGGCTATAAACCATCGCGCTGTTGCTAATAAATGTTGGTAAAAGGGAGAAATTATTCACTGTTGTAGGTTGTCGTTGCGTATACTTCAAAGACGGTTTTAGGTACCGAAAAAATATTTATGGAAGAATTATTTTTCTTTAAAATATCTATAATGGGGCCACGATAGAATATGTTTATCTTCTAAGATTAACTCACAAGAATCGTGAATTGGTTGAATGATAACCAAAGTTATGCAAAATACTTCATATGGCAAAAGAACGTTCACCAGGTCAGCTAGTGCTTAATAAAATTCAAGTAAAAGTTTTTTTTTTATTAATCTTTGCCACTAACGATTATCTATTTATTTATTCAACAATATTTCCCTTAGAACAGGATGAAGAACAGAGCACCGGTTTCTGGCTGGACCTCTCAACGCACGGTTTTAACTCTTGCATCGTCTTTTCTGAGTTCATCTTGTCGCGGACGCCGCTTCGCTTCGTCCATATATACCAGCCCATGGCAGTGGGGCTCTGGTATGCTATATTTACCGGAATATATTATGCTGCTGGGGGTACTGACAGGTAAGTTACGCGTTGCATGTCTGTGAGGAAATTTCTGAAAGGCTCCATAATAATAAATGAATGTCGTAGCTTCAACTACCCTTCTAGAATTTTAGCTACCGTCAAATAAACCCGATGGTTGTCTATCCTCCTCCATCATGAAAATTTTCTTTCTTTAAATGTTCGCGACAAACTTTTTACTATTTCAAATTAGTACAAATGGTATTATGAAATAAATCAAAACAATTACTAAATAATACCATTGTTGAAAAAAATATTGGAATCTTCTTAAGTATAGGGCTATACTTAAGAATTCCAATATTTTCTAATCGGCATCATCAGGAGATGTTAACTCCTCTATCGCTCGCACGTGATGGCCAAACGTCGAGAACCTCTTCTCGCTCACGTCGACCGAACAGCCCAAAGACAATTATATGCTAAACGACAGCCGTGAAAGCCTTACACAATTTTTAAAACTACCAGTAGTTGTCGTTCTTTTACTTGACACCATTTAAAATTGCATTATTTTTTGTTTAAATTTTTTTGTTCTATTTCCTTACTCGAACCTCATTAATTCTTAAGTATTTATATATAAACATATATTTTGCTATTTGATAATGTTATGTACTTGAAATTCCATCAGCAAGATAACACATAAACATTGTCTATGTAGTACACAAGTAAATAGAATAGAAGACGTTTATTCGAAACAACACATCACATTTACATCTACGAAGACGTCGCACGGTAGCTCAATTAGTAAGAGCAACAGCCCGGAACACTGTTAATGCCGGTTCAAGTCCTGCCCGTGTCGTATTTTTTTTTCAATATTTTTAAATCGATTTTGAGATTACACAATATAGGAAAGCGCAGAAACAACATTAAGATTTAACTTTTTGTTTTCAGTTTGGGCAATCCGTTTATATATGAAATCCTGGATTGGCGGCAACCGACACGATCGCTGGCTCTAATAGCTGCGTCGTTGGCGGCTCTCATCATCATCTTCACTGTGATGTGGGGCCTCACGTTGTGCAGAGACAAAATATCTGTGGCTGTTATCCGAACTACTAGCTTGGATTTACCGTTTACACCGCCCGATCGGTTGTCACAAATGGTTTAGATAGATACTAAACTAAGCTATTTTAGGTTTAGGCGGTTATATTATATATACATAATAGACTGTTTTTAAGATAAAATTAATATATAATCTGTGTCAATCTTTCACACAGAAGGGTTGAGAACTCAGGCGGAACTCAAATTTGCAACAGATGGCGCTCACAAAAGCTGCAAAATATTGTTAAAAGGGCGGGGCATGTGGCGAACACATTTCTGTGTCTAATCCACTAATCGGTAATTATAGGCAACTAGTTGATCAGACTTATGTGCAACCAACCTGACTGAACCAATGTTTTGTATCCCTGGCGTTCGAACCCAGTACCTGTCGCGCCTATCTCGAAGCAGGCTATTAGCTATATACCTGCGGAGGCGGTTTCTTATTAATTTTATCTGGTAGTTTAGTATTTAATTGGCGTGGCATAGGTGTCTGTTGCAGCTTTGAATCCCGTCTGAGGCAAGGCCTTGATTCTTAATTTGTTAACTAATAAGTCTGCATTTAAATTTGCATAGATATATTCATAGTTCTTTATTTCTCTGTATTGTCAAGTTACTTATATTAATTGTGATAGTACATAAATTTCGTTGAGTGATGGTACTTATTTGTATACGTACTTATACATAATACAATCGGAGGCTACAGAACTTAATATCATCTTTGCCACTAGTATTTTACTCTGTGAGGCAAACATAGTTTTGTAATGGAATGCCCACAATGATAGGCTGAACATGGATTAAATACATATGAAGTATTTTGTACTTTAAACGCCTTTCTAGTTTAAAGTTGTTTTATTTAAATAACATTTTACCAGTACACGTTACTATATGTACATCTTTTATATATCTGATTTGTTCAGTCTTAAGAATATTATGCCAACTATAATAAAATATACATAGCTATTTTATTATAAGAGCAATTTTCAATAGTGATATTGTTTGATATTATATGAAACAACGGTGAACAATGAAATGTTTAAAAACTATGCTTGGATTATCGATGTGATGTTATGACAGACATACTTGTGTGGATAACAATCGTTCTCAAACGACTTCAACTGTTTTATGTAAAATATTGTTTGCCAGGGAGAAAAATGTGACTGTCCTACGTCAATAAGGTAATACGAACATTTAAATACAACCCTTAACGGTTTAAAACGGGATGTATATTAGTTAAACTTATTAGAAAATTATTTTAACTACGGCCCGACGTTTCGGATGCTTTGCAGCAGCCGCGAGGACCCCGGTCTCTCCGTCGGTCTATAACTATATCGCGTTTTAAACTGTTAGTGTTTTTTTCTTTTGTACTGACGCGTAAACTACAAGCAGTATTTAATACCAACATATTTAGCATTTAGTAGTAAGTATGGTTTTAGATTAAGTTATTTCAATAAAAGGCCTACTAAAATTGCTTAACTAAATCGAGTAATCGTTACGTAACGTTTTAACGTTCGAGTTATTGTGAATGTAAATGTTAGAATTGTATGCCCATTTCAAGTAAAAATGCTTTTCTGTAGCGCTACTTCATGGGTCCGAGCTTCTGATGCGACGGAAGTAGATCTATAACAATATACTAAATCCTGTCTGTAGTTTACGCAAGTAGTACACATTTAAATAAAACACTTAAACGGTTTGAACGCGATATATATCAGTTAAACGTATTTGAAAATTATTTTAACTACGGCAAAGCATTCGAAACGTCGGGCTGTAATAGTTTGCTCTTTCTGATCACAGAACGGCACTTTAGTATTTATAAAGATAACTGCCACTTATGTATTTGCATAAATAGCTTAGGAATCCTTATTTGATCATGACTGGCCTATATGTAGTCAATAATTCGACCTCCATTCAATTTCCTTAAATAGAGAAATTGTGTTCAACTTGGATGGGCTAATGACAATGTACATACATCAAACGTTACGTATATTATTGTATACGTAATTGTTATTTTTTAATTAGTAAAAATTGCTCTATTTTGCCCCCTTTGCTTCTATTATAACGAAAAATACTATATATTTTTATTTTGCAATAAGTTTGTTTGTTGTTTGTAGATATTGGATTACAATTATAAGTTTCTGAATATAAGAAATTCCTATTTGTGAATTTGGCGATATGCTTCTCACAATCTTAAAGCAAAGAGGTATAATTAGAAATCGTTTAACTTAAGGGTTTGTTTACTTAAAACAATATTTTAAATAAATTTTATACCATCCGAATTATTTTATTATTAAGATTTTAAATAGCGGAACGCGTACAAAGTATTTTAATAAATATTCTTAAAGCGAATATAGTTTTATTTTATAAGTTATCTTTAATATACAAATAAAAGCTTTATTTATACAACAATAGATATAAGTTCATACAGCTCAATCGAATCTCTTTAATTAAAATGTAGAATAGTATATGTTTTCAAGTGTACAGGCATATACATGTCGGTGCCAAAAATTAGACCACAAGGACGAAAAGAACTTTTTCTTTAATATAGAGGGGGACAGATAAGCATGGTGTACACTTGACCGGAGGTGAGATACCACCATATTACATCTAAGCAAAATGGGCTGTCGACCTTTGGATACTGAACCTTTAGTGTTTATAATATTAGTAATATATTTACTTAGATGATCGTGCTAAAGATGAAGTGTGCACAATTACATATTGAGAATAACAATAAATAAAACGAAGGATTTGATTGTTTTATTACACTTCAAGTACGACATTGAGACAATATTAATCCAGTTGTTTTAATATTTAAATAAATTTGGCGTATTCGCTGTCTGGACAGTTACGCACGCACCAGCGCGGTAGTCGGTCTTAAAAACCTTTTAATGGTTGCCAAATTAGCTATTCATTACTTTTTTACAAAATAGCATTTTTTGTAGGTTTATCGGTAGTGAACAAGAATAAGAGAGAACAATCTTAGCTGGGATAAAGAAAAAACAGTTATTAGAAAAATAATGCGCCTTTAAAGCTTTATTTAAAAAAATAACATCAATGATATAATATTGTATTAAAAATGGTCACATGCTTTACAAAGAGTGCTCAGAAATGGGGTCTAGCTAACGAGAAAGTCGGCAATTTCTATCTCTCGTCGTGGCAGCACGGGGATTCCCCGATGCCCATGCTAGTCGTGAGGGCGATTATGGCGTTTATAGCGAGTCTGCCGTTTGTGGGTTCTATAGTTGCAGACCCTACTCATCATTGGCTAACATACCTAACTCATTGGGGTATTACTCTGGTCTTTTGCATGACTATAAGTGCATTGAGTGTCTCTGTTGTCGCTACGCGAAGGAAGTTGCCGGGTAAGCCTAAATGTCGAATTAGCTACAGATGACTACAGATACTAACTCCATAATAACTAGCCAATTTATGTTATCCAATTTGATCATTTGTTTTTATCAATATTTGATATATATATATATACCTTACAGGAAAATTATTATTATATGGGTATTTTCCAGATGACTGCGATGGTAATCTACCCTGGTACGTGAGCCTGTATTGGCTGATGTACAATGTGGCGTTAACAGCCGCTATGTCGATCACATTTTTGTACTGGAATTTTCTATATGTACCAAGTATGAGAGTTAATCATTTGCTTATCATGTAAAAACATACATATCAATGACCTGAATAAGATACTCATCTTAATACCTGTTCCTTTTTATTAATTTTCTTAAAAAGTCCCACCAAACCGATTTTAAAGTTAATTTGATTAGCATTTTTTTATAAAACTGTTATATACATGTGTATAATATAATATACATGTATAGAAACATCATAATTCATTAGTCTTAAATTTAAAGTTGACAAATGTAATGTCAGTTTGAAATAATAGGCCAATAATAGTGAACACAACTTGATTATAAATTTAAAAATTGTTAAAAGGAATTGTAGATTTTAAATAATAAATTCAAATGAAATTTCTTTCCTTACAAAGCAACGCAATTGTTTAATTTAACATTTACGAACAAGATTGTATACAAAATAGCTATTTCAATTGTGTTCTGATGTTTGAACTGTCATTTGTTTGGTTTTTCGAGCGAAATAAACAAACATCGATAATAATTATAGAAATAAAGTAACTTAACTGTATGAAACTAATTCCATTTTGTTAATTCCAGAGAACGATGGTAATGTAAATATGTTTTTACTGGACCTAGCAACACATTGCTTTAATGCCTGCATAGTTTTCACTGAGTTCATTGCTTGTCGGACTCCATTACGCCTCCACCACATCTACCAGCCAATGACTGCTGCGTTCTGCTATGCTTCATTCACCGGCATTTACTACGCAGCTGGCGGAGTTGATCGGTAAACTTTTTACTTGTGATAAAGAAACAGTCAAACTTATCTAGACAAGCGGCAGCGTGCCATGCCAAGCCAATTGTAAATTGTATTCTTAATTCAATTTTAGTTGGGTAGTAGTTAAAATATTCTGCAATATATATAGCTAATTACTTTCAAAATAAGTTTTATTTAAGACACATGCAGCACTTTTGTATTACTTACTAGCACACTTTTACAAAGTAGCGTTTCATTTTTTTCCCGCTGGGGTTAAGGATCAGCGTCCGCAGATGAAAAAACCGTTAAGTTTATCGCATTTCAGTGTCAATCTGTGGTTTTCTAAATATCCAATTACCTACCATCGAGTACCCATTCTTGTCTGTTCTCATCTATCATTAAAAATTCTGATTCCTATTTAAACATAGTCCCTGAAGAACATTTTACCCTTTCAATTGCTTCTGAGACACCTCCTAGAACACCATGCTAATAGAAGATTATTTTCAGGTTTGGCGAACCATTTATATACAAGACCTTGGATTGGCGACACCCAGCTGAAACCTTACCTAAAGTAGCTGGGTCACTGACTGTTCCTTGCATCTTCTTTATGCTAATGTGCGGCCTCACACGATTGAGGGACAAAATATCTATTACATTAAGACCTAAGAGTTTGAGAGTGAACGCATTTGTCATTTAATCTATTCTTGTGAATATAAATTATAAGGAAGTTACAGGTGTTTTGTGTATGCACAATTATCAACATACCTTTGCAGTCCTCAGCCACTTTACTTGTAGTTTTCCATTGCAATTAGTCATTGGTTTCCAGTTCTGAACACCTAATATTGTGGAGCGTAAGGTAGATTTCACATTTGTTTCTGTGTCTATATTATTGACATACATTTGCGCCGGTAAGAATTCCGTTCAAGGTGCAACTTATTTACCAACTCCAAAAGAATTTAGTAATAATATTTTAAGCATTGAAAATTATGTTCTTCCTTATTCACTTGACAATGTATGTAGTACTTAAACGTATGGCATATCAGAATTACTTATTCCACGGTAAGAATATTTTCGTTACGCTGTCTAAATTGCGTTTGTTCTTGGCACCAGCTGTTTACATTGATAATTGTCTGATTTTCTAGAACGCAAGGTCACTTGTTAATGTTGCCAAAATTATAAAAAACAGAAATATAATGTTAACTGCGCTTCAGGGACAAAATATGGTACTAGTGTAAGGAATGTAAATAAAATGCAAAATATTTATTAAAACATTTATTCGGCTATAGTAAAATCGCATTAAACACAAAGCAACCAAATATATATTACAATAAAAAATAACAAAGACTAAAATATGATATGTGACTAAATAATAGTTGTTGACTTAGCGTATGTACCTACTGTGCGAATAAAATACTATAAATAATAACTATGCAATAACAACCTAAATGTAAACTTATTATAAATATAATCTAATCTACGAAATCTGTGACGAATTCATGTATAAATCGAAAACCCCAAGCTATATAGGTCGCGACACGGATGTTTAGCGCTGAACGAAATGTAGAGGGGATAGCCGCGCATGGGTACAATCCCCTCTACATTTCACTACATGATATAGAAAACGTCTAGGTACGTCGCATGTACTCGAGAAGCAAGCGGAGCCTCGTATTGGTCCGAGAAAGACAACACGACTGAGGAACCAATCAACGCTAGCGCACATGACGTTTACTCGTCCCGCACCCGCTTCTGTCCCCTCGATACCTTATTTTTAACTTCTGCGCAGGATTCGTTCGGCGCTAAAGATCCGTGCCGCTACTTATACTTCAAAAACTTTAAAATCGGTAAAAAACAGTTTCTAGCGTCCTACACAGAAACAATTGATATAGTATTTACCAATTAGTACAAAATTGAATGAATATTAAAAAAAGTTAAAGAATTGAATTGCGAAGTGATGCCTCAGTTCTAAACAAACGTATATTTCATAATCGCCATACTAATTCAGTACACAAAGAATTTTGCAAAGAAACCGGAAGGTTTGCACAGGCGACAGTGAGAGTTCGAAAAGCCAATGTCCTCCGTAAAGGGTGAAATGGTCACCGGAAGACGTGGACTGATCCGGTGATATCGGTGTCCCCAATACAAAATAATAATAATCCAGTACATTCGCTTTCGACAAAATCGTTCCCGAAACATAGACACATAGAAAATACCACAGGAGGGATAACTTATTAAAATACCCTAACCTAAATTATTAAATTTATAACAAAATTATTTTTGGACAACAGTCTCGAAAAATAAGTAATCCTATATTTACCTATTTTAACATCTCCAAAAATATATATTTTCTTATGTACAATATATCTAGCGAGTCGTAAGATGATAGAATTGATAGTATTAAGATTGATTGCTAATTTTAAAGGGCAGGTCGTTTAAATTTTATCTATTACATGAGTTAAACACTAAGCACGTTATATGAAAAACCATACTCAGTTGTTAAAAATGAAAGACGTTAAATTTAACATGCGTAAAAAAAATACACAAACAGTTAAAGCCCCAGCCTTTTTGTTTTAATTAATTGTTTTTATTGCATTTCATAAAATCTTGATAACTTGCAATAGATAGATAAATCTTTTTGAAAACATCTTGACTATTGCACGTGCTATCGAATTTATTAGCAATCAACCTTACTTAACCTAAAATTAGAATTCACCACAATTCTTATGGAGTTGACTTTAAAATAGACATTGATAGCCGTTAAATTTCTTAATCAATATTAGTATTTTTGAGTGAAATTGGTTCTCACAATCTAAGCGACTACACATTACATTTATATCACACACAATTATATAGTACACATTCTTATAATCAATTCTTATAATAAAAGGCAGAGATCGATTATTGGCTCCCAGTGTAATGATATAACGACCATTTACTGAATTGAGCAGTCTCCTTATTGACTAAAGAATGACCTCGTAAAATTTCCTACTCTTTGCATTATCATTAATGATTTTTTAACAGCTAAACGGTTCGTTCCGTTCTCCCAGTGGTGAAGGAATAAAATCACCATAATGTTTATCTAATAATCATTAAATCTGAACATTCTAATAATCCGAATGATCACACTCTGGTACTTGGATGTACCATATTAGTGAGATCCCACTGTACTACGACGACAAAAAATGGATCGGTAGAAAACTTACTACTTACTTACTGGTAAACTAATGAAGTTAAATAGAACACTTTCAACGGTTTAAAACGCTATAAGTTAACTTATTTTACTGTAATTTAACGTTTTGGATTACATTTTGGAGCAACAGCTTGACACTTAGCGCAGCTGTGTGGGGGTTTTAAGCCGTTAGTGTCCTTAAAGCTTTTCATACATAAATAAAAAATACAATTGATATCAATTTTGTTTACGTAAATAATTAAATGTATGAAAATAGCCCAATGGAATTGATATCTTAATGGACAATTTTGAACATCATTAACAAGCTATCAAAAAATCATCGATAAAAGAATATAAATACGGTTTATAAAAATAGCTTAACCGTCTCTCGACCGAATTTTCCATTATTGCACGCCAAAAATTCCATAACGTATACTTTGTACCTCTATATTTAAACGCTAAATAATATATTAATTCGTAGCTTTTAACCGCTGGTCCATATATGGCATGCACTGTTCGACAGCAAAATAACTTTAGATCTTTAAAAATATAACAATCATCTTATCTAGCACAACATTCCTATATTACCCAAGCTATTGGCTGGCGCTTGTGAGATTGTGAATTAGGATGCCTAAAAATTTACTGCCTCGGCGGCTAGGCGGCTAGGTGGCTATAAACACGAGAAAGTTCTGGGTTCGATTCCCAGGAAAAATAAAACATCTATTTTTATATTATAAGGCCGAAGAGTGTTTGTTTGCGCTAATCTAAGGAAGTGTTGGTTCAAATTGAAAAAATATTTAAGGCGATAAGGCCGCCTTTTTGTATTTTGTTTGTTTTTTGCATAAAACTATAAAGTGCTTTATTTTTATTATTTTATAAATCCGCTCTAAAGTCTCTCCATAAAAGAGTAAAAAAAAAAACATTCAACCGTACCTTTACGGAATGCAAAATGACAAATGTAAAGATTAGTATGTTTCAAATTTGCTTACTAAATTACTTACGTACTTTCACAATCTTACAAGCGAAAGAGCCTAGCAACCAACAACCTAAAACACAACTTTTCCATGAGATCTTTCCATCCGCCCCAAGATTTTCAACAAAACTTTCCAATAATTATTGCTGGTTAAAAATCGTTACAGCTACTTATTCGTTATACTGACTGACGAATAAACTCCAAAAAATGCTGTCTAACGCGTAAAGAGAAAATTGCACCAAAAAGTCAGTCATGGCCAAAAATATGAATATACCTAATAAAAAGATTCTTCCAAAAAGAACAATATTATATTAAGAGTAAAACTTTGTATTTTTTCTAGTTTTTTTTTTTTAACTTTGACGATTTATTTGAGTCTGTATATGAGAGATGTCTGTACGTCTACTTTGTTATTACAAGTTTAAAATATAACCTTGTTCCTATTAATAAAATTCTTAGTTACAAAACGCGGGCCAAAAGAGAATTTTTCATACGCCTATGCACTTATATTTTGTGATAAAGCGTTCTCAAGTCAACTCCTCACCGCTCATAAGGAAGACCCGGAACGAAGACTCGTCTACAGCATCAGAGTAAAGCTCCTCCTAGAATTTAAACACATGTTAAATATTTTTTACATGTTATTGCACATAATGGCACTATATAATTTAAAAAACGATTAAAATGAAAAAAAATACAACACGGCCAGGACTGGAATCGGCATCCATAGCGTTCCATGCTGTTACACTTGAGCTTTTTTGACCAAATTTACGACACGGTAGCCAATTGAGCTACCGTGTCGTAAATTTGGTCGCTTAGCTCAATTAGTTCGACTCCAGAGCGAATTCAATCGTCCATTGAAATATTCGTAACTTATTTAACGCCATTGCATAACATGTGAAAAATATTAAAGTATACAAACGATAAACTCTGTAATTTCATCTTCTATAAATTTATATAATTCTATAATTTTAATTTAATTCTATAAGTTACAATGCATATGACACTGAACTTTTTTTCAAAAGTGTTAAGGTTGAAATTACAATGGGCGAGGGGTAATGCATGTATCAAAGGGATAAAAATGTTCGACGATGACGAAGTTTGTGTTCGAGGACACGGTAGCTTAATTTATTAGAGCGACAGCACGACAGCGTGTCGTAAATTTGTTTCAATGTAAAATTGATTTTTAATTATTTTCGCAACCAGTAATAGACCTCACCTGAGCAAGATGAACCGAGGGTGCATCCAGCATGAGCTCGGTATCGAGAGTCCGATCCGAGCCACAAACTCGCACTGCGCTGCACATTTGTCTGAAATAACACATTATTGGATAACATATTTTCATATATACTTACTAATAGTGAGTTAAATACATATTATTAAAAAAATTAACACAATTTTGAATTAACAATAATTCATTGAATAATATTCTTTTGTGATAGAGGAGACATGCATGCGATCCAATCGACCGAAATAAAAAATTGTGGGGTATTATTTTTAATACCCCAGTCATATAACAACTAGACACGCTATCGAGCTATTTTGCCTTTGGACTAATAAAGTCCAATATTTATGACACCGCTGTCAATTTATAGTTAAATATTTAACTTGGTATAGACTAAATAACATATTAATTTTGTTCAATTCTATAACAATAACTCACTCGCTATCCTCATTGTGAAAGACGCTGCCGTGCAAAAATAGGTCGCTTCGTACGGTAAAGACGTTGTTCTCGTTGCCTTCTAGCTGTTCTACCTGCGAAGACAATTGTAAAGGTTACATCATGGTTTATACACCCACGAGCATGTTCCTTTATATTTCTAAAAGTAGACCTACGTGGTTTAATTGTTCACTACATTGTATGACGCTGCGTTATACGCAAGAGGAAACTGTTCTTTAAACTGTCTTCAAAAATTAAATTTAAGTTTATTTAAATAAATAGTGTAAGGCTTTCACGGCCATCGTTTGGCATATGATTGTTTTCGGGCTGTTCGGCCGATGTGAGCGAGAAGCGGTTCTCGACGTTTCGCCATCAATTGCGGACGGCCTCAACAGATGTTAGCTCCTCGATTGCTCGAAGTGTTTGGGATTAAAAGGATTTTGGTAAATTTTCATCGTTCGCCAATATAATGCCATATTTTGAACTCACCTCAGTATAGTCTTCCTCTATCACATAATCTTCTACAGGCGGATTGTAATCCGCCTTTTGCAGCGGCCAGGTGCAATGCGTGCGCGCAGATTGACTCTCCTCCCCTCCCACTACTTCCGTTAATTCCTCACTTTCCAAGACCTTGTGGCTCACGTCCATCTCTGTCCCAAGTACGTCACTGTCTATTTTCGAAAGTACCCCGACGTCACTCGTTTCCTTCTCATCTAATAGTTGTAATGTCGCACTGCCTTCCCATAACTCCACCTATAGACAATACACTAATGTTAATACATTTTTTTATTTACAAGTTTTTAAAATAATATTATACATATTTTTTAGTTAATATCTAGTCATTAATAGTGAGGCATAAAACGTTGCGTTAACTTGAAGTTATCTATGAATAATATTTGTTACAATATATCTCACCATAAATTTTTGACTATGTTTCAGAACTCGGCGGCTTCCATCCACATGTTTCCTATTTGAGTCTTCCTTGTTTTGTGTCTTTTTCTACAATCCAACAAATATCATTACAACAAAATTACGTATAACTTTACTAAAGTTTGGATCTATACCAATATAAGCTTCTATGTGTGAACGCGCTAATCTCAGGAACTACGGGTTGAAATTGAAATATTATTTTGTGTTGGTTAGAGCATTAATCGAGGAAGGTTTATAGGCTATAAAACATCACCCTGTGACTAATCGGATCAAAGAAACAGCGGGAAATGTATAAAACGGGTAAAATTATTTATGCTTGTGGGTCTCTGTTGCGTAGGCTGCGAAAATGGTTCAAGATACCCAAAAAATATGTATGAAAAAATGACATGTGTATGAACATATGTATGAACAAATAACTTGCAAGAAAGATGGGACGCGGATGATATCGTAGATAATAGCTTAAATTAATAGAGTTGAACAGGAGGTTTGCAAAAAGTGAAACTTTACTTAACTTAACTTTTTAACTTTTGTATAGAAATTTAAGCTCTAAGTTACATGTAGTAGAATTTATATCTCTTTGAGATGATTATTAAAACTAACCGTAGTCCTTATTGGTTTCTTCGTTGGCTTTTGATTCTCTGTTAAAGCTGCCTGCGGAGTTTTCGTTTGAGTATTTTCCGTAGCGGTGCCATCTGAAAAATTAGATAACTTGGTTCTATAGGCTTGCTATATAGCAGAATCCATTCCAATGGTTTTTATACCACGTTATATTTTTTGTCAAAATTACATGAAATTCTTGAAATCTTGGACACCGTTCGACAAATAAATTCCTACATACGTATAACCAAATAGGTATAATAATTCGGGAAATCCGGGCTTGTACATAGTCTTTGTCTCAATAATGAACGCTAGACTTACATGCCGTCTAACCCTTCTGACAATCCAAAGCCTGTAATTGTGATGGGAAATGTTATTGCCAAAAGTTCTCAATACATGCTGAGAGCAGACGACAGGTACATAAAAGTAGTGAATCGTGTAGTGTAAGGTGCGGGACACGGAGCGGAAGAGAGGGAGGGGGTGTGAGATAGCGCGCTGCGTCGGCGCCTGCTCAGTAACCATGATGATGCGGGACAAACAATAACATGAAAAAAATTAATAACTTTTTTATTTATTTTTTATCCCGATTGTGAGAATAAAAAGACGTTTGGCGTGTTTCAGCTTTAGTATCAACAAAGAGTAACCTTGTATATTTATATCTTTTAAGAATTATTTGCAAGAACGTCGGGACGCGCCCGACGTCATGAATAACGACGTCAGCTTAAATTCATAAAGATAAAGATAAGGCTTGTTTATAAAATAAAAAAGAATAAAAAAAAAAGATAAGGCTTGTAAAAACAAATTTGGATGCTCAAAATGGATGTCCTACGCGGATTAAGTCACTTGTTATATATAAAATACACTACAATAAACAATATTTTTTAGACGACCCTAATAAGTACACGGGATTTACTGGACGACTCGTCTAGTAAAGAATAGAAAGTACCATTTGACTGATCTATAGATGCGTGCTGTCTTGCGTAGTGGTCCCTGAGATGTTCCCCTCGCAGAAAAGCCCGACCGCAAGTGGTGCAGGGGTGCCGCCTGTCGCCCGTGTGCCGTCGCGAGTGACGCAGCAGCTTGCTGGCAGTGCGGAACGACCAGCCACAGTTCTAATATTACACATAAGGAACATTAGTCAGTGTAAATAAAAATAAAACTACGTGATATACACGGGCTCTTGGGGACGTGCTGGTTGGTTTAATGGTAGCAATGTATGGCTAATTATTAATGTATAGTCGGTTCGATCCCATTTTTCTAATGAATTTTATAATTTTTCGTCATCGTGGATAAAATGGGTGGTAGTAATATCGAAATTCCGTCCGGGTTACAAACCATCGTCCACCGATGAAAAAGCCGTCAAGTTTAATCCCGCTACGATTTCAGTCTGTGGATTTCCAAAGCCAAAATAGGTTAACTGCCTGTTTAGATGTTATATAACTGGGCTAAAATACCTTATACAGTAGACAAAACCTATATCCAGCTAATTTTGCTGTTTAATGAAAAAGAAATTAGTTCAGAAATAATTGATTCTTTAGTTTTCGCTTTTATAGTATTTGGCAAGAAAATATACAAGCAAATATACTAGCCAATCGCCACAAAGTCACAAACACCTACCGGATACGTGCAGTGATAGGGCTTCGCCCCAGTGTGGGCGCGATTATGCTCTCGCAAGCGGCACGGATGCCGGAACACACGTCCACAGCCCGGCCACGAACAGGAGAAAGACATTGGCGCCGCGTGCGCACGTTTATGAGCGCGCAGACCTGGCGCCCAGAAGAAACGCCTCTCGCATACGTCACATCTGTACAATGAAAGTAGTTTTATAGTTGTTTAGTGTAATTAACTATTAGATTAAATATAACCAAAAGCCCGTCAGTGCATAGATTATTCCTGTGTATGCTTTACAGGTTGATTATAGTAATAACAACCTTAATTCATCGAAGATAATCAATATATAAATAATTATTTTTACAAGTATTTTAATAACACACTAACGGTAAACAATAATTTTGAAGTAAATTAATATAAATAAAAACCCAACAAATAAAAAAATATTACTCACTCAAAGGCCGCATCATTAATTGTGTGGTCCTCATTCAAATGTTTCAAAAGTTCTTCCTTTGTATCAAACACCCTCTCACAGTTAACTTTGGCGTCAGTAAAATCAGTTTTCTTAACAGGACACTCAAATGCCGTGTGCCTTACCACTTTCCTATGAGTATTCTTGTGTTTTATTAATTTCTCTTCACTTGTGAACTCCTTTTTACAGTTGAGTTCATCACACTGTAATAATAAATAACCATATTTGACAGACTTGTCGGTAGCAAGCTATCTGTGTCTGGGGTAACACATGATAGGTAGTAGGAATGTTGAAAGTGCGACGGGGCCACAAGAGAAAAAGATGTAAATATGAAACATACTGTCTGTAGTTTACACAAGTAATACATAATTGCATATCATTGTCTTTCGGGCTGTTCACGTCAGCCGAACGACGGCCGTGAAGGCCATACAAAATTTATTAATACATAATTGTATTTATATTTTAGTTACATTTGTTTGAAAATTATATTTGACTACGGCCCGTGACCACAAAATAATTTTCAAGCAAGTTTAACTAAAATATATCGCGTCTTAAACCGTTAAAATGTTTTATTTAAACATGAAACATGTTTCAATTTCATTCTGATGTAGGTGTTATATATCTGAGGCATTTTACATTTTCCGTGCCCAAATCCTCGAGAAACATTATTGTTTGGTTCAGACAGAGCACAAAAAATTGATCAACCACCTATATTTTTGTGTCCAGATCACAACAGTTTTTTAGATTTTTTTGTATTTTTTGGACAATAAGATATCTTTACCTTATACCGCATAGATATATGGGTAAGATCATCAAAAGAGACCTCTTGGGATGCATTATTGTTGAGTAATGTTGGCATTCTTGATTCTTCTTGCATATCTGAGACTGCAGAAAGTGGGACCATGGTATTAACTGTACTACCTTTGTCCATGTATAGGTACCCATCAGGATTGTCTAAAAATATATTAGTGATTTATTAACTAGACTTATGGGGGAATAGGGGCTTGTTGAATAGAATGAGATAAATGTATTTAACAAGATAATGCAAGTTATTGCTCATTTTTCTATAATAACTATGAGTATTGGGGTCTAGAGCCATAGTCATGGTCGGGTCATCACTCTTTAGTTATGGTTATCTCAGAAGGAGTTGTTTGTGGATTCAAGTACATGGGAAACATAACAAAAAGTTTCAGTTTGTCAGTAAAAATATGTTAAATTTTAACTATTACATAGATATACATACAGTTGTCAACTATAAGAGTGTTAGAATCATCAATAAATGTGAAACATAATTTATCTGCCTTAGCCTCTGGACCATCAACGTTTTCCTTTATACTCGTAACAAGCTGAACATTCTGAAAGTATAAGTTATTCAAATGCATAAGATCCTATATTATGGGATTTTTATTCTTATAATATGGAGCATTGTGTTAAGATAGAAAGAGAGAGAGAGAAAAGAGAGATTCTTAGATTCAAAAACCAGGAAATCTACTTTAATTTTTCAGTTAAGCAGACCTTTTAGTCCATTATAAACTTTCTTTTTTTTTCTCACCTGTTTTCCAGTATTGTTAATAAGGAAAGAATCAATGTTTATTGAGGCTCCAACCTCCTCAGAATCTGAAATTAGTTTTTTTATATTACACTTTTATATTAATTAAAAAAAAAATTAAAAACTATGATTTAAAAAATTTACAGGTTCCTTGGCCCATGTATTATTATTACTTTACTACATTCATACTTTATCTGTAGGAACCATAATTTCACATAAGTTAGAGGCATTTCAACATTTAAATTTGCATACAACACATTAGATTGGAAATGTTTTACATTATTTCATAGATTTCTCACCTATAGTTGTTAAGAGTAAATTTTTCTCTGAATCCTTTGTAGTATAATTACTGCTTATAAGCTCGGCATTTGCGTGATGTGATTTACTAGATTTCATATAAACTTGACTATCTCCTAATGTAGGAAGTTTTTGGTTATTTTCTAATAGAAAATTAAATACATCTGTAGATTTTGATTCTGTATCTATTCCGACCTTTGTTGTTCTTAATATGGCTTTGGGATTCCTGCGTAGAATATTTGGCTTTTGTGTTTTTTTTCTGCTAATACCTTTGTCACTCGTAACAGACATTGTGGCTTTGTCTGTATTAAATCTAAAAATAAAGAAATTAAACCATACATTACTAATTGATGCGATAATATGCTAATAAATAGAAATAATTTTAAATCTGGATATTCAACACACTATACAATGCTGTAATTATTATCATTGTTTTGTGTTTACAAATTGCGTTATAGTATTTAGGTCTGTTATGGTAAAAACGTCATAGGGCATAATATGAAAATATACCAATATTATGTGTATATTCCGAACTTCTTCATATCTGGCCATTATTTTAAGGCAAAAAGCTTCTAAACAGGATAAAACTGTATTGCGCAATTTAAATTACACAGTAATAAAGTTGTTTTAAGGTTATTTCTTTTTTGTGCAACAGTCCCACAGATATAACACAAGTTACAGTGATACCGCTGATACAGTGACGAGGTACCATAGATTCAACTTTGTTATAGATTACGTAAAAAAAACAAAATGTCCGTATGTCACCCGAGCAATTAGAAATATTTATTTTTGTGCATTTGGGCTCCGAAACTCAATTTTGAATCATCCTATTTTATAGTATTCTTTCATTAAGTATGTTTTACTTCACATGGCGACGCTTTCAAAGAAATTGGCTTTTATTATATTTAAAACAATAAAAATTAAATCGAAAATAAGAAAAAACACAGCATCATCTCTCGCGAGAATTCAATTTCAAAAATTCAGAACAAACATAATAACTATTGCCATATTATGTATTTGAAAATGAAGTTAATAATTTTTTTTGTGTTCTACATATTAATTTTAATGTTTTTAATTTCATCGACTTACCGTTTTTGCCGGTCGCAAGAATGTACTTTATATTTTTTTTTATTCACTAATTTCTTATCACAGTATACTGTCATCCAAATGTTTATGGTTATTGGTTGCTCAGTGGTTTGTAATAAACCGTTGATTGTGTGTAACTATTCAAAACACGGATTAAACGAAAAACCGAGCTTCCTTTTTATTAGTATTTTGTAAATGATTTTCTTCTTCTTTTTTTATATCCAAATTTACATGTCGTAACAAAATCAGGATTTTGTCAACATGAAGACTAAAAGAATTAAAAAGGAACTTGAAAGTGATGATGAGCTACCACGTAAGTAAAATGTTACATTTCTAGCCATGAAGATAGTAATTTATAGATTAAAGTAAAAAAAATTTGAAAGCTTTTCTAATTGAATATGAAGTTTTTTGGTTATCTACAATTTTATATTGCAGCATCTTATGGTGAGGATTTTGTACTGCCTGCGTATGAAAATGAGCACCGGTTTGATCCTATTGTATTTAGATGGATTAATGATACACAAAAAAGGGCAAATACACTAAAAGAAAAAGATCAAGGACATGTTAAGTCTGATTCAGTGCATAGTACTAATATGCAAAAATATAAAATCAAAGGATATTTGAGCCAACAAGACCTGTACTGTTTAAAATCAGTAATAGGTAGGATAAATGATACTACATTTTTATGGTTGGTTAACTTTCTTATGACTAAAGATATGAATTTAAAATACAGTTGTAATTTTAAAAGTTGCCTTGTTGAACATTATCCATGTTATGATTTTCAAGTTAGGAATAATTGTAATAAGGGTGGGACATTAAAAAGCAAATATAAAATTGTTGTCAAAGTTTAATCTTAATAATATAACAATAACCTTAGGAGAAAAAATAAATTTGATTATTAATTTTTTTTTATCTTTTAAAAAATTAGAAGGTAACCAAACTCATTTTTTGTGTTTTATCCCCTTTGGAGGATATATGATTTGCCAGATATCTTTAAAATTATTTAATTATGTACTAACTTATGACTATTTTAAGTAAATTTCTAATCACTATTCTTGCCTTTTGCCCAAAATCTATATTAAAGCTTTTCAGTTTGTTTGTTTGAACGCGCTCATCTCAGGAACTACTGAAAGCATTGATTTTTTTTTTGTGTTATTTAGAGCATTTATCGAGGAAGGCTATAAAATATAGCGATGTGACTTAAGGGACGAAAAAACAGCGGGTAATGTGAAAAAACGAGGAAAGTTATTCTTCCTTTTAGGTTTCCATAACGTACGAAAACGTTTCCAGATATCTGAAAAATATGTTCAAAAGAGTCATTCTGCTTTAAAATTTCAAAACAAAAAATCCACCACATTAAGTATTTAATTTTAAAGTCTTGTCGTAACAGCTTTAAATTATAAAGATAGGGAGCTTTGCAAAAAAAAAAAATTTAAAACCTGACGTAACTTTTTTACGCGGACGAAGTCGCTGGCACTGCTTGTATTTGAACAAATCGGAATACATTAATTTTGCAAAGCCTAGATAGATGTGACTGATTGTGTTTGTATGACATGACAATTGACACACCAACTATGACTTGTACTCAAGTGGAGTCCAAAGTTTATACTGGTTACTAGTTACTACGTTGCAATTTGCTCGTTGTGGTGCATTACATTCAAAGATGCATTTATGTATTTTTTTAACGATAAGCCCTTTACACTATTAATAAATTTATATTAAATTTCTAATTTAAATTACAACTGTTATAAAATAAAATATATCAACGAAAAGGGGCTTCGTTAGCCTTCGGTGTTTTGTAATGGTTATGAAAAAGGTTTTGAAAATAGTAAATGCAGTCCCAAGTACTCTGTTATTTTGGGGTGCTGAAGATGGCGAAAATATTATTATTTGTATTACCGGTAATCCAGGCTTAGTCGATTTTTATATTGAGTTTGGAGAAGAATTGTATAGATTATCTTCGATTCCAATTTGCATCATAGGTAAGTACATTTTAATGGGTAGAAATATATGTTACAAATTTTTTTTGGACTCATTTAATTACCTTTATCTCTTCTAGGTCAAGCAGGCCACGAAGCAATTGCAGATAGTACCTCTAATACATTAGAAAATCAACCACATTTATACAATCTTGAAGGACAAATTGAACATAAATTTGACCTTATATCAACATACATTGATAAGAAAAGCAAATTGCATTTAATAGGGCACTCTATTGGTGCATGGCAGGTTATTGAGTTAATTGATAAGTACCCTATGCTTATAGAAAGGATTGCATCTGTTAATTTATTATTCCCTACTATACAGCACATGGCTAAGAGTCCCAATGGAAAAATCCTGAATAATTTCACTCGAAAGATACATTTTATTATATTAATGTTGCTAAATATTCTCAATCTAGTTCCAAAATTCATTACAAATATCTTAATAAATGTATATTTGCTATGGAATTCTTTACCATCACACTATTTGGAGAGAATTAACAAAGTGATAAATCCGAAAGTTATGGAAAAAGTTTTGTTTTTAGCATTTGATGAAATGGATACAGTCAAAGGTCTTAATAGGAATGCCATAGAAAAAATAAAAAAAATAACCAATGTTATTTATACTAAGACAGATAAATGGGTCCCACCAGAACTAATGAATGATTTAAAAATATATGAGCCAAATATATGTTTGCAAGAGGTGAGGGTAGACCATGCTTTTGTGCTAAAATCATCAAAATTTATAGCTGAAAAAGTAGCATCTTTTATCAAAGGTCGACAAAATGTTTAATCTGTGCGTATGGCACTAGAACTATTTATGTAATACTAGTAATTTATAGAATCAAGGGAGCAGCAAGCAAATTGGTATTTTACTAAACATTTATGGCCTGTATAGCCATCAAATGAATACCAGATGGTTCAACAAGATTCATGCTTAATCAAGAGGCCTACAACAGTACTAGAATCTGCTCAACTAATGAATAATGTTATAATGACCGCTTTCAGGTGATAGCTTCTTATTGATTTTATAATTGCAAACATTCCATGTGTGCAATGGTCTATAACATAAAATCTGATAGTTTTCTCTGATAGACTGCAATTATTGTTAACTACTGTTGCTACTGACAGCATACATAGTGTAATATAAGATAGGAGCATATCTGTTCAAGTCTCATATGTTTGATTTTGAACAAATTAATTTTTAGTCTTTGGAACATACGGGAGTAGAAATGTGATAAATGATATCTGCTTACTCAACACACGGTAATTGAGACCGGAGACCTATTTTTAGATAAAATACCACATTGGGAAACATATTACATAATAAAAATCATCATAAATAATGATCAATTTTGTTTAAATAAATGGACTAGAATAAAATTGATCATAATGTAGTTATGATTATCTTTTATTCAGAAATGACAATATTAAATTTACAGAGATATTCAATATACTTAAATTAAAAATATATAAAAAGTGTAAGTACCTACCAAAACTGTAAATGAGGGAAACAATAAAGTGGATTTTTGTATGGGAATGGCACGTAACTACCTGTATCAATTAAGAGAATAAATGTATTTAAAAATAAGAATAAAAAGAATTACCCACGTGGTGGTGTTCTTCAAACAGAATAAACTGGAAAATGTTAATGCAATGTTGACAATACGCTACCTCAGTTCCTCATTTAGGTGCAGTGGGTACGACTGAAATAACTAATTTTCAATAGCAGAAATAATTTGCTTTTTTTGTAAATTTAGGTACCAATGCAGCCTTATGTATCAAGTGTAAATGGTTATAAAGCTATGTACAGTTCTCGATAACATGTTAATAGAAATATCTTAAACGTTTATAAAGCCGAGGTTGACAACATAAGGTTGATACAAAATCTTTACCAACTTGCGAAATTCGGTATATCTACTCGAGAAGGCTATATTCCCAAAATAATTTAATCAATTAGTGGATATATTAAACAAAATAATAGCAGGACTGCATTTAAAATTCGATAAATACAATATATTCGAAAATAATATGTGATATGTTTCCTATAAATACCAAGCAAATAGCACAATGCTTATAACCTGATGAAATGGAAGAGATCCTTTCTGAATTCATCATAGTATAATATAATTTCTTATTTATCAGTGACAGAAAGCTTAAATTGGAAGTTCACAATGGGTTAATAACTCATCATTTGTTCAAAAGCTTCAAAACAAAGATTTCTACATAATATTTTTTTCATTAAACTAAACGTCATTCAAGAAATATATTTTTGACATATTCAAAACATATTGTGCTATTGCTTCTTTTCATTTTACATTATAAAAATGTTTAACCATAAAATTCGTTATAAATTCTCTATATATACCATAGGTTGACTTCTTTAAATGTGCGTTGGATTATAAAGGTGTAAAATAACATAGGAACTAGCATAATGTCATTTACAAGAACATGGTCGTGATTTAACTGCTACGAATAATCATTATATATATTATTACCTATAATATAATATGTTATTAAAATGCAAACATCAGTACACATTCAGCCGTCAAATTATGCACAACCTCCAAATTTTAAGAACTTCATGTAACATTCATATAATTATGTAACCTCCCTATAATAATAATCAAATATGATACATTTATAATTTTGGAGTCTTACAACTAGAGATACAAAATTCGTACTAATAATACTCATACATCGAAAGAGAAACACGCACACGTTACGAAACCAAGCCACAAGTCACATAGCCATAGGTGTTAATAGATCACAATAATTAAGTCGATTTAACAATAATACGATTAGCACGTGGTTTCCAGCAGCGGGTCCGCGGTGGTAGTGGTGCAATCGCGTTCTAGTGAAGAGCAGATGATCTTTTGCGAGGCGGATTTGAATAAACGGCGGGGTCGGTCGTCGTCGTCCGAGTGCGCCCGCGAAGGGGGCGGTCGGGGTGAGAGCCGCGCGGGTGAAGGAGCGGGACGCACGGGCGATGCTCTCGGTCGCGGGGCGCACGTACACTGCGCCCTCCACCATTCGCAACCACCGCTTCCACACGCCTCGCACATGACAGCAGCGGTTCGCTCCAGTTTACCACGCCGAACTCTCGCCCGCGAAGCCCCGTCCGAAGACCGTAGCTCGTCGCGCGAGCCGGCTCGCGACGTCGGGTTCCTCACCCAAGGATCAATTGTACTCGGTGAATCCAAGGAAGCCCGCCCGGAAGGGCGGATGCGGCGAGCCGCCGTCTTTAGATCGACCTCGCTCATCTTTCTCCATGGATCATTGAGAACAGTCAATCCCTCAGCTTTAGGTCGATTATCGTCGACCAGGGCGTGCAATGATGCATCTGGCGACGACCGTTCGCTGCGGACGACTCGCGGATACAGGGCGGTCACTAGATGAGGTGATGATGGAGGGATTCGGGGCGAGGGTGAGGGCGCAGGAGAAGGAGCTACAGAGATCGCAGGGGAGGGCGTCGGCGACACGCGGGGTCGTTCAGATTGGGAACGAGGACGTGCGCCAGGCGAACGTCCGCTTGGCGTCACGTCACTTAAGGACCGCAAGTGGATTCGACGACGAACCCCGGTCGGCGAGTCAGTGTCTGTTACATTGATACTAATATTGTGAGTGACTGCACGCGGGCTACACTTACTCGCGACAGATGCGTCATTATTGTCTACACTCTTATCTGTATTGTGTGGACTCGAAGAACCATTTACTGAATTTTTGGTGGGGCCGGCCCTGCTGGGCCCGGCCCCCGCTAGCTAGAGGAGTCTTTCTGTTGCCGAACTCGAAGTCCCAGAACTAAGTGTTGAAGTAGGGTTTGGGTCTTCACCTACAAATCATATAAGTTCATTTTTAATATATAATATAAAATGTGTACAGCAGAATTTTACTGTTTAGTTAAAAATACCTTGAATATTATGGCCTGAGGCCGGCAGTCTTTGTCAGTTGAGCAATTCCACTGAAACAAACCGCTTCAGTCTTTCTAGATATTGATTAAATAGTTCTACATCATTATGTCCAGCTCCCTGGAAAGAGTAAAAAGATTTTAAAAACATATTGAAATAATTTCCATTATGTAGGAGATTTTTCAAACTGGTAATGATACGTACCTCAACCCACAGTGGTTCCACAGCTCTAGGACAACGCTCATAAATAGCGAGACCATGGGAAAAATCAATTACCTCATCTTCTGTTCCATGTATCACAAGGACTGGAGAGGTTACTTTTGGAATCTTGTCAATACTGAAAATAAAACCACTTATTCAAGGTATAGTTGATTTTAGACTTATTAATGTTCTGTGTAGTTCTTTAACCACTTTAAAGAACTATTGAAAGGCATTACTTGTAATATAAAGCCATAAAAGAATGAGTCAAATTATATATGGCCTTAGCAACACAGACTAGGCCAGTCTTCACTTATTTGGGGAATGGGTGAACAGAGCGAGGTGTCATTCACTCATGGATGACTAGACGAGATGCCTAAATGTCAAGATACATTTGTCATGACAGCATAAAAAACCAAATATATTATAAAATATATAAATAGTTTATAGGCTTCTTTCTACTTGTTACGAGGAATAATTCCAAAATGTAAATTACAGAACTAGTCTTGGGGTGAGTGGAATTACATAAAGCCTTAATAGAGTTCTTAAATTTTACCAGAAATGTATAATTATTGCTTAAAGGAAACATAAATTTCAACAAACACTGCAAATTACCTAAACGTAAAATAAAAGCTAATAAGTTAAAATTATTGTTTCCAGACCATTTTGAATATTAACACAAATATTTAAAAATTACCCAAGCATATCACTGATATTAAATTGTTTTGCCTCCTTAAAATTTCTCAACCATTTCATTATGTCTGACTCAGGAGTACAGAACCATATAGTGTGCCCTTTTTTGTCAAATATGACTTTGGATTTTTACAAATATGTTTATAGATCTAACAAGAAAGATTGTAAAACGAGACAGCAGATTCTTTTAATAGTTTTGTCTAATAATTACACATAACAGAAATTACTGATTGCTCTGACAGTCATTGGTTTTGATGAACAGCAAGTTAGACAGATTTATAACACTAGTACATTTAAAACTTGGTGTTAGGTATGGTAAAAATCCTTGTTGAATCCTTTCATTTTCATAATTCATTTTGTGAGGTCTTCCATAATAGATTTTATTTTAATTTACAAATTCATCAATAAACATATTTGAAATAATAAATTGATTTCTTCGTATATCTTGTAGACTTATTATATAGCAATTCTGTGTACCTATTTAAAAGTGTTATAAATAATATCCTTGAAATATGAAGGCAAAAAATTAATGTTAAATTTTAAGCTAGTAATATTTAAATATGTCATTATAAAACCAAGAGTATATATATTACTTCTTATAATCATTAAACAGATTTCTTTGTTTAACAGTTAAAGAAAATTTTGAGACATGTAATGTGTAATTGTTGGAAATTTCATTCAACACTACTAAAGACATTCTCATACATATGCATGGTTACTATTTCCTCATTTTATGTTAAGCTTTGTTGTTGCTTCCTGAATACATGATTAGTCATAGGATAAACAATAATGACTTACCTAGGGAAAGCATCAAAAAACCATGTCCTTTTTGTATTTGGAAATGCCACACGCATGCCAGACATAAGTGGAGAATGGAGAACTACAGCTCCAACTTCGTAGCGGGCGGCCAGATCAACAGTTGGCACAGTACCAATGCTTTGGCCATATAGTATAATATTCTCAGGACTTATTCCATAGCGAGTCCGTAAAGCTTGCCAAGCAGCGTCTATATCTGCGTACAAGTTCTTCTCTGATGGTTTGCCCCCACTTACACCGTAGCCAGAGTAGTCATAACTGAATATGTTGCAATTTATTCTAGTGCCTAAACCTAAATAAAAACTACTCATCTGCCCCAGATCTACAGCGTTTCCGTGGGAAAACAGTATAGTAAATCGAGCATTAGGGCTGCAACGTACGAAAAGACATGCAATTCGGTTGCCTCTAGAAGTTCTCGAATAAAATCCTTCAATGTTTTCTTTTTCTCGCTCCGAGTATTGCCACTCCGCTCTTTCTCCGAGTGTCATAGAGAATTTCGATCCAGTCTCATCGGGTGTAAATGCATACGTGGGCTCAGGGGGCAGAAAAGCTAGCTTTGCTGCAATTTTTCCTGGGCATGGCGGACAACAAAACAAGCAACATAGTTCACCGAAAGTCAAGCCGTTCATTGTGAAATTTTATAGAAACATTTAAGCTATAGTACAAGCACTTTAATTAAATATTACAACACGCTAAACTTGAGCCATTGCGAAAATAAAATAAATTTCCCAATGGGTCACTAAATTTGACAGGTAAGTATTAAGAAGACAACATTACAATTTTCAGCCATATTTGATACGTTTTTTCTCTCTGGCGAGAAACGTGGCCTTGAGCCTTTAAGTCACAGGAATGTTGCCAGTTTAAATATAATAGTCAGGATTCTATCGATAGCCTAATATTGCTTATATTATACATCTGTGACTTATAATTTAGTGATGTGCCAACTCGGGAAAAACCAAACTCGATTTGACCCGAGTTAAAATTCACGACCGTTCAACTCGAGTTAACTGGATCAGAGAGTGAATGATTCTTTTTGATTTTTTACCAATTGAAGCCCTCAGATTTGCATAAATACTTTAAAAAATTGGAACTAGGTATTTCATAATGTAATTCATAAACAAAAAAGTTATTGTTTGAAATCGAATCATTTATTTAAGTATTGTTGGCTCAAATTTTAATTGAAAATAATATTAACTATCAATGAAACTATGAAATTATATAGCAGTCTTCTTAAAATAAAATGACACAATATGATGCAAGTATGTATGTACAGCCACAGATCAAAGTATACAAAACTGTCAAATTTCTTCAATCGACTCTCATCTTACTGTCAAACATATTAGGTTGATTATCAATTGAGGAAATTTGAATCTCTACGATTTTCGTTTGAAGATATTGGAAACGGTTCTACCGGATCCTAATGAAATCAATCGACGAAACGTTTTGAAAGTGAAGCATGAACTCACAAAAATAGAAAAGACTCGAGTGAGACTAAAGAAAGCAGGTGTCGTAAAAGAAATCACCGAAGTGGCCCGAAAAGAATGCAACGGCTGCAAAGCACAGAAAAAGAGGGTGCAGACAATTTACGAGTGTAAGCAATGTGAAGGATCTCCAGGTTTCTGCACAAAATGTTTCTGCGTAGCACATTCCTAAGTTTTTTGAAAGTGCATTTTTATTATTTTATGTAAAGAGATCACTATTTTTTGCTTATGACAATTCTTTTAATTTCTGATTTTATTTTCTTACTTGAGTTACTGTCCTTTAGAGTGACAAATTTTTAATTAAACTTATAATTAAGATGTTTTTTGATACTTTTGACAGTATTACTTTGATCTGATGTTTGATACTTTGATTGTATCGCAAGTTTAACTTTTAAATGTCTTTCAAAATAAATAATTGTCAAAATTCATGTTTTATTTACTATTTTTAAAATGTGTGAGTGTGGATGTGTGTGTGTATGTGTAGGTGTATATGAGATGTTATAAAATCTTGAACAAACCAAGTTAAAAGCTGGTTTTGATTAGTTGCCTTAAATATTTTACTCAATATTCTGGAATTTTATGAAAAAACATGGGTTTGCCGAAATCTTGTAACATATTAGTAGCGTTCGTTAAACACATATTTACAATATTAGTAAATATTAGTGGACAAAACCTGTGCCATCCTAGCGCTCGAATCCGAGTGGTCGACACCAAGCGTGCTGTGTGCCGACCACTCGGAAAATCCGAAAAATGTGTTTTTTTATTGAAATAATTATAATAACATTAATAATTTATGTATATTTTCAAACATACCCAGGTATTAAATAAAAATTCACCATTAAAAGATTTGGCACCCAGCTATTACTTTTTTTTTATTTTGTAAACAGTGAACGTGTTAAATTTTCTTCTTTCGCACTATTAAATATTACAACTAGCTGTGACCGCTACTTCGTCCGCGTGGAATAGTGACTTGGGGTAGAATTTTTAATTATTTAGGCTGTTTATTAATTTTTGTAATTGCGCATTTATCGCAGCCAATCTATGTTGTAAGTGCTACTTTCACTGTCACTCTTACTCCCAAAAAGCCAAAGAAGAAAGCTTCAAAAGCCACGAATTTCCATACAATCATTCACCCCCCCTTTAACTCCTTTTTCGCAATAAAAAGTAGCCTATGTTCTTCCTCAGGGTCTAGACCATCTGTATACCAAATTTAATTCAAATCCGTTCAGTAGTTTTGGCGTGAAAGAGTAACAGACAGACAGTTACTTTCGCATTTATATTTAATAATTTGCAAACGTAGTCTGTTGATCTCTTTTAACATTACACAATAGATACAACACGTTATAGCATGTTAATTTGTTGCTAATACTGATAAAATACTTATATTAACTATGTTGATGAAAAACTATTTGAATAAAGTAATTAAAACCTTTTCATAACTCGACTATGTACTTTAGACCTTAAATTTTGCCTTAGGAAACAAATAAAATTATATTTTACTTTGCAAGACTTTAATCATTTGTCATATTATCATTGTGTCATTTCTTATAATGAATAAATTCCAACATGCCTTGATCATTTAAAGTTAACGTTTTTAATCTTTTATTGGGATATTGTTTAATTTTCTGGATAACAAAATCAAGAACATCATCTAAAGGCGCACTTAAGTAATTTTTGTACAGTTGAGCTACTTTAACAGATATATTGTATATAAAGCCTGCTGTTATACCATCAGGTAAGTGTTCAAGAAAGTCTTTCCACCGGATATCTGTCCACACTTCAGGTTGATATGCTCTAATCCTAAAAAAGCAATGCTTATTTTAGAAACATGTAGTAAGTACCTATATTCCTATTTGTTGATAATAAGTGTGAAGGTAACAGAATTTGACAGTGTATCACTTACTACACAACAAGCTCATCCAAGATCTTAATACAATATTAAACACTTGACCGTAATTTGAAGCCTACATGATTGAGAGAGGCGCTGTTTTGTTTCCGCTTAGTATATTGACTCTCCAATATTTGCCTTCCGTTTCCGCTCACCAGGTGTCGTGTGCTTCCGGTTGTGTCAACCGAATACCTAGTCTACTTTTTCGATGCACACGCTTTTGCTCTCCATTGGCGTCAAAATTTCCGCAGAAGGAGGTTGTCCCCTCAGAACCAGCAACCTCTCCGAAATTTTTGTGCTTAGTTATTAAAAGTGTTAAAAAGTGAAGTGTGCTGTTTCGTCGAGCAGTAAGTTTTCATTCCTTATATTTTACACGTGTTAAAATTACAAAATGTTATGTTCTTATAGCTTTTTTCAAGTGATATTTTATTCTAAAGTATTATTTTAACGGTGTTACCGTTCGGCCAACGTGGCAGTGAATAGAAGTAGTAGTACTTTACGCTAAAGCCTTCCTATAAACGGTTTTATTGCTTGAGGGGTTCGTATTCAAACGTTTTAAAGCAAAAGCTTATAAAATTAAGAATTTATTTTCTTAATGTATATTTATCATTTCCTAAAGGGTAGTGAGTAGAGTAATAATTATTTCTATTAGGATGGATGCACATTTCGATAAATCCGAATGGTGCGACGTTAGATACGCCGTTCAAAAGTCTTACATTTGTACACTGGGCTTCACTGACCTAGAAATAAATGACGAATTAAAATAGTTTGATATATATCATAATTTATCTAAGGTAGACAGACATATGGTGCTTTAACTTTCGCCGTCCTCAAACAAAGAGACGCGCTTCAATCTCGAATGTCAGAATAAGTTAACTGGGCCCAAGAGTCCGGTAGTATTTCAGTAGACCAGTTCTTGGCTAACGTAACTGAAATATTTTCAAACGGTGAATACTACAAAGTATCATCGGACTTACTTCAAATAATCTGTGGACGTCGAGCTGAATCGATTGAATTACGTAGGGACGGCTTTTTGAAGCATGTAAGGGAACCCTTACGAAAAATACCACCCTCAAATAAATATATTTTTAATCCTGAACAATTGACTGCGGCGCTTAAAAAAGCTGGTGGTACTAGAAAAGCCTTCTTACCCATGAACAAGTATTCAGGTAGTTCGAATTCGAAGTTCGAACCGTGGCGCAAACGGATACAATAAAAATCCCTCATTTCACTCCCAGAGGGGCTATGATTAACTCACCCGCGAAGGGTGTCACGGAGCCAGCATATGGCTGTAATTCGCAGTCTCATACTTTTAGGCCTACGCAGGGCTCTAACTACTATCGTTCCACGCAGGGACATGATTTTAATGAAGATCAAGGGGTGCCTCGATGAACTTTCGAAATTCCTTTCGTCAACGAGACGGTCATCCAGGCAATGCTACACACGAAGCTTTCACTGCAGGTAAGAAAAGACCGGTGTCTTCTGACCATAAGAAAGGAAGTTAGCGGGGCCATTACTGACAACCAATTTCTAGCGGGCTACATTACGTGGTTCGATGGGAGCAGTGCCAGTGCAGGTGCCCCACAGCCCCTGATCTATATTATAAAAGGTTATCGAATTCCTTTCATAACCAAACCGCCACATTTAATGCCAGAAAATCAACGGATTACATTAGAATCAATGACAACATCAGCGGCCATTGCCCAGATGTTATCTCAGAAGGTTTTAAAGCAGGTTCCAGCCTCACCAAGCTTCGTTTCACCAATATTTTTGGTACCAAAGCCCGATGACAGAGATCGACCTATTCTGAACCTTAGCTTAAAAGCCTTAAACAAATTTGTCAAAACAAAGCCTAAATATTCTTAGAGTGCCAGATTTCCTTCAAACAAGAGACTGGCTCTGCAAAGTGGATTTGTCCCAAGCCTACTTCAACGTGCCGATTGCCAGATCGCACCGAAAGTTTTTAAGACTGATATACCAAGGGCAGTTAATGGAAATGACATGTTTACCGTTTCGTCTCAGCACGGCTCCCAACGTTTTTGCATCTCTAACAAACTGGGTGGCACAAACACTGAGAAAAATGACGAGACGATGTCTGGACCGTCAGGCACTCATACAAATAACCGACGAAATAAATCGCGCTCTTAATCTGTCTCGTCGTCGTCCTCGTCTTCCTCCTCGGAGTCTGATCACAAACGTAGTCGTCGACGACGCGTTTAAAAAAAAAAAAAGGAAAAAAGGGCTCAAATAACGATGATATATTATATAAACTATCCAAGGATCTAAACGATCTTCGCCAAAAAGTGTTTGAAGGCTGTGGCATTGCACAAACAAACAATTTATACCAGTATCGCGATAATGACGAAATTTCAATTATGGTAAATAGTGGTAGATCTCGTTATGAACAGGAATCGTCTCCTAAAGCGACAGTCAAAATCAATTTAAAATGAATTTCGAGATTAAACTAAAGGAACCTACAACTCCGTCGGCTCCTGAAAATTATCTTAACCCCTTAACTAATATGCAACATTTCGAGGGAATAAGAGTACTAGTATACTTAGACGATTTCTTGATAGCTCACCAGGACTACAATGTACTCTGCAGGCAGGTTCAAATTGTATTAGAGCGTCTAAAATATTTAGTTTGGAGAATCAACACGGAAAAGTCGATAACTGTTCCAACGAAATCGCTCGTGGTTTTAGGCATACACTGGAACCCATGGCTCAACAAAAAGTCGATTCCAGAGAGCAAATCAATACGGCTTCAGAAATTTTGGGCATAACTTCAATAAGTGCTTTTCAAAGCCTAATAGGACTGTTAAATTTCGTCAGCTTTGCTGTAACACAAGGCAGATTACACTTCCGAAATGCTCTTGTATTCCTAAACAGGCAACTAAAGGAATCGCTCGTACACGAAACTGTCATTCCTCAAAAGGTAAAAGAGGATCTTGTTTGGTGGCTTGCAAATCTTCGAAAACCTGCTTAATACATTACCCGCTCCCGTCACACTTCATGACAACCGATGCATCAGATATAGCATGGGGTGCTCAAATCGACGATTGTTTACTGTGTGGAGCATAGACAAACAAGGGACAGAAGCTTCATTGCAAAGCAAAAGAAATGTTGGCAATTCTGAAGTCACTCACATTGCTAGTTGCAAGGATAGCCAACTCAACGCTACTAGTCCAGTGCGACAACAAGACTGTTGTAGCCTTCCTGAGGAACGAAGGTGGAACAAGATCTCCTTCTCTTTTGAAGTTCACAAAGCAAATTTATCAAATTCTCTATTCTCACAAAATTTATCTGAGAATACATCGTATACCAGGAAAGTACAAAAGTCACGCAGATCACCTATCGCGTCACCGGACTCCGCCAGAATGGCACCTTGTGCCTCAGTGTACGGAAAAAAAAAAAAAAAAAAACTTCGTGAAGTTCGGTGTTCCGGTGATAAGCTTGTTTTCCTCGATGTGTGCAAAGGTGGTAGCAAATTATGTGTCACTAGACCTGAAAGACCCTCAAGCTCTGTATCACGATACTTTCTCCCGAAATTGGCATTTCCCCCTAGCGTGGGTATTTTCACACCCATTTCTGATTCCGAAGGTCACACCTGAACTCGGCAGTCGGAATGTATCTCTTGATAGTACCAAAATGGGAGAAAGTATTTTGGAGGCCGAATTTGAAGGCCCGAGCTGTAGCACCTCCTCATACAATAAAAAAGTTACACTTATGCCCCATCGATGCGGTAACAGGATTAGCTTCACCCCAGGTGACATGACAATGACAATGGAAGTATGAAAATGTGGGGGTGGACAAAAAATTTGATTAACTAGAATACAGAACAGATAAACCTTTTAAAGACCTCTTGGCGTGATTCCACCAGAAAGACCTGCGCATGGAATAGGTGGATTAATTGGAATAAACCCCGAGGTCTCAACCCCTTACATCCTACTGGAGAAGTTTTAGCTCGATTTCTGGCAGATCCACATGTTGTGGAAGGTCTGGCTTACAACACAATTAAATACTGTCTGTAGTTTACGCGAGTAGTACACATTTAAATAAAACACTTTAACGGTTTAAAACGCGATATATTAGTTAAACTTATTTGAAAATGATTTTTAACTTCGGCCCGACGTTTCGGATGCTTTGCAGCAGCCGTGGTCACGGGGAGTCTCCCCGCGTTTTGAACCGTTAAAGTGTTTTATTTAAATACAACACAATTGTTTTACATAAATCCGTTGTCGCGACCTTATGTAATTCCGACGATTCTGGAAAGTTAAGCAATCATGTATTAGTAAATCATATATTGAAATCGATCGCTTTAAAAAAACCGATTACTAGAAGGCCACAGATTTGGGACATTGATATAATTTCTTTTCTTAAATCTTATACTATAGATGAGGCTAATGTTTTTCAATCGTGCAGACATACAGCTCTATTACTAATTCTCTACTCTGGCAGAAGGATTCATGATTTGACTCTTTTAGCAGCTGATTCAAAACATATGCACCAAGGCAATGGCCATGTTATATTATAGCCCATCTTTGGTCCAAAGACCGACACGGCTACTTATAGACAGTCCGGCTGGAACTTGTTAGCAAATTATTCTCATAAAAACTTAGATCCAGTCTTCTGGGTAGGTCATTGTACCACGTTATTAAGGAAGAAACGAGAAGAAAGAAACCTAATAAACTTATTTATAAACATAAGGAGAAAGCCAAAAGCTGCTTCCCGTACATTTATCGCGGGCTGGATAAAGACCCTACTTGTTGATGCAGGAATAATGGCTTCACCGGGCAGCCTACGTTCTGCAGTGGCGTCTAAAAATTCGTCTGAAAACTTTGGAGATCTCTGAACACATTTGCTCGTTTTTATTGCAAAGAAGTGGTGCCACTAGATAAAAATCTCACAATATTCAAAGTATGTTTACTCCGATTGGATAAATAGATGGTAATTTGAATTTATTAGGCTGGTTATATTTCTAAGTTATTTCCACCCTTACAAATACCAATTTGTAAACTATGTAGAAATAATACAAGTTGATTACAACATAGTGTTATGTTTTTAAAGAAGGCAAATAAATAAGTCGTCTAGTATTTTTGCCTCTTTTCATTAATTGTTCTTGGTGTTCTTAACTATGATAAAATTGTAACTAATCGTTCACATTGGCGTCCCTAGTCACCAGGTGATATCAAACACGTCTCAATCATGTAGGCTTCAAATTACGGTCAAGTGTTTAATAACAGTGTTTTACCTGAAAATAAAACACATATTAAATACTTACCTATATTTGAAGCCTACAATTTAAATTCTACCTGGTGATGATTTCGACGCAATGGAGAGCAAAAGCGTGTGCATCGAAAAAGTAGACTAGGTATTCGGTTGACACAACCGGAAGCACACGACACCTGGTGAGCGGAAACGGAAGGCAAATATTGGAGAGTCAATATACTAAGCGGAAACAAAACAGCGCCTCTCTCAATCATGTAGGCTTCAAATATAGGTAAGTATTTAATATGTGTTTTATTTTCAGGTAAAACACTGTTATATAAAATCTTTTAGATTTAAAATATTTTATAAATAAATCTTTTAAATAAAGAAATATATGTATTAAATAATATAAAATTATTTTTAATATATGTATTAAATAATATAATGATATGTTAAGTAAATCACATTATATCCATATAGGTAAACCCTACTTTAAAATTTAACTTTGTTGCATTCTATGAATTTACTTACAATTTTACAATTTTCTCCCTCAGGTTTTGTATTTTGATATCTGTCTTAACAAATATTTGAGTGTGTAGGTAATACCACCAAAATTTCTCCATAGTTTTTGCACTTTTATTAAAGTCTGATTCCAGTTTACTCCAAATTGATTTCTCTATCTTCTGATATTTTAGCTCTTCAAGGGACAGGTTTGTATATTCCATAAGGAGTTTTACTAAGTTTGATGCGCTTTCCAATGTCCATTTTGTTCTTGTATAGTGCTGAGGTGCTTCTAAATAAAAATAACAAATTTGGAATGGTTGAAGCTTGAACAGAAGCTTAATTAGACAACGATCAAAGAACAAAGACCATATATCTCACAGGAACATTAAATTTTTCTTTTAAATCCCATAACAATGTCAATGTTTAAAAGAGTCACAAACATGCACACAGCTTCAGATCCCTTTGCATACATACATAAATTAGATACACGGAATTTTAAATATTTAGCATATGAAAATAATTACCTTGAATATTTTCTTTAATCCGCATGTGTATGCCTCTTGCCTCTCTACCTAATATTTGGGATGCATATTGTATTGCATCTTTAGGAAAATGATAGTAGCATGCTGCAATAACTTTTAGTTCAAGACTTGTGTAGGGCCCTTTGTTGGGTGCACCATAATGTGCAACAAAGTACAGATACACCTGATTTAGATTTCTTTCTAAATGTCTTGCAAGAAATGAAATAACAAAACGTCTCACATACTCTTCTGGGCTCGATCTTTTACTGATTTTGCCTCGATTACGCCATCTTGCTAAACTTATTGGTTGATCTGGCACATTAAATTTCTAAATTGAAATTAACATGTTAATAATTAAGGTAATGTAAACACAAGCTTAGAGTTGAATTAAACACATTTATAGAGTTGATTGCTGTGATAGTCTAGGAATCCAATGTACTAACTAAATAGCTTATTATAATAATATTAATACATAAGATTAATATTAATTTACCTTGATAAATTTTGCCCAGTTTTTATCAATATATTTACATTCAGCTGTGGTTATTTTATCTGTCCGAAATTTGTCAGGTTGATCCTCATCTTGTTTCAATTTTCTTGTTAAGGAGGTAGTTTTCTGATACCAGGGTTGATGCCATTTTGTGTACATCCGATCTTTAAGGTCTACAAGGCGCTGTATTATTTATAAATCTGTTCATGTTAATTTGTCTATCTTCTATCTAATCAACAACATATTCAAACACTTAACACAAACTGTATTAGCACTAACCACAACATACTGACATATTACATTTTAGTAATAATTAAGGATGTGGTTTGAGTCCCGCCAGTGTCATTGAGTTTCATCAGTCATTATATTTCAAAATTAAAATAATTATGTTAATTATTATTTATACATGAAATGTGAGAAATAATACAGATTCATGTATTTTTAATAAGAATTATGCTTATTATAGGTAGACAACGACTCAAACAAATAAAGAATATCTACATATATTTCGTAAAGTAAAAAAGAAACGGTTTTTATATTTACCTGCATATAAGCATCATCAATATCCTGAATGTCTTGTAATAGCGAAATAATTGTATCCTTTAATGTAATGTCTTTTACATCCAATTTATTAAATATACTTAAATCCATTATGTATATGTTTTAAACGTTAACCATGCTAAATTGTTTTGAAGTAATATTATAGGTTATGTTAGCCATAGACCGTACCATTGACTGACACTGACAGCAGCAATGTTATCATTTTCGTTCAAATCGTACGGTCCATTATTACCCGAGATAATACATTATTTTAACAAGATTTTATTCTTTATACGTTTATAACCTGGTATTAAGGCTTTTGAGCGGAGTTTATTTTTTGAACAAATTAGTCCTTATTTTCGTGTAAACGTAGTAGTAAACAGTAAGAAAACAAGACGAAAACAAATATTGGTTGAATAAACGCAATAAAACACAATTGGTTCTCATTATAAATTGTGATAAAATTTTAATTTAATAAATATTAAAACGATATCAATAATTACAAATAATTTAATGGATTTTTGTTAGGGTACATAGATTCATTACAGTAAAGCTTCAATTAATAGACATTAAAAAATAACATTTTAAAATAATTTATGCGTTTAATTTGTTAGTTACAAAATTTAAGCTTTGGATATTTTTATAAATGCCCAAAAGAAAGTAATTTTTTAGCTTATTGAATCTTCTCATTTGGTATCCAAAATTCGATAGCTGTATCACAGGTACCCACAGCTAAGACACCATTTTGATATTGCAGCTGTAAAAATGTGAAATGTAACTAAAGTTTAAACTAAACTAGAACAGTACTTTAATTGAAAATAATTAAGCTCATTTTAATCCTTTAGATAATTAATAAATAAACTAATAATATAAAATATGAAAGTACCTTTGTTACATCCACAGTGCATGTTTCAATACTACTATATTCTTGAGGTGGATAACAGTTGTACAAAAATTTTATTTCTCCTTGGTCTGAGCAAACGATAATTATTCCCTTACTTTGATAACAACCAGCTATTTTATGATTAGGCTCCATAACAGGAGTTTCTTCCCATATGACATGGGATCTTACAAATGTAAAATCTTCAGGATTGAATAAATGGAGTGACCCCTTAGAGTCGCCAACATAAATGGCTGATGAGCTCCAATTAACACATACTGGATATTGCTTTTCTTTCGGTATTTTTATGTTATTTTTCACCATTTTGCCAGCAACTCTGTCCCATATAGCTAAGGTTTTATCTTCACTTACAGATGCAACCATATTTTTGTGAACACTCAAAGCTAATACTGGCCCTTTATGAGGTTTATAAGAACTTATTGGATTTGATCCAGATCGAATGTCAAAAGACAGTACTTTATTTGAATAAAGGCCAGCCATAGCTATATTATCCGTTGCCACAACAGATAACGCAGACATCCCACATCTGAAAAAGAAATTAAGTTTTATGAATTTCTTGGGGAAGTGTTGTGTTTGGTATGAATCATTATGGTTACATTATAATCATACACTTTGTATCTGTGGGTCTTTTAAGAATGAAATGGCCAACAGACATCATCCAGAATTGATTGGTGTCATCACAAGAAAATAAAAATCTATAGGGCTTTGTTCTATGTAGACCCTCCTGGGGCTAACAAGGCATTATTTGCGACACATCTTGAGCTTGAATCCTGGGTAGGTATTAAAAACAACTAATGTCAGGTAGAGCATAGAAGTCTGAACAACTTCTTGCCTGTAAAGAATAACAAATCAGAGACAGAAAGACAGAGACACAGGAATGTGTTTGCTAAATTCCACATTAGACAAACAGAAACCTATTAAACCAGGCAGTATTGGAGGTACTAAGAGATACTAAGAAGAGGTCTGCTTATAGAAGTACCTACTTAAATGTTTCCACACATGTTAAATCTGATGTTATATCCCATGCCTTGACAGTGTTATCCCAAGATGCCGAATAAACAGTTGTAGCACAGTCAGTGTTGTCTGCAGCCAAGTCCCACACCCATCCTGCATGGGCATCATGTCGTATCTTCATGGGCTTTATGTCAGCAGAAGTACTCATCTCTAGAACATTCCACATTGCCAAACTTCGATCTCTCCCTCCCGATACACAAATTTCGCCTTTCTAGAAATATTTTAGGGTTACTAGTCAAAACCAGGTTTGCTTGTTAGGCTGAAATTTGTAATTATGTGAAAATGTATTAAGTGCATTAGCATTTATTATTGCAACCAGATTGGAAGGAATGCTGGAAAGAGTGTTGCATGAAAAAAATATAAGATAGTGTTGAAATGAATGTCTCAAGATTTTGGATTAATATTAGCTTCTGTATACCAAGTTGCTCTTATTTTTTATTGTGTTACAAATAATGTTTAAATTATTTCTATGCACTGCCAAAAAGGCTAGGCACTGAATGGAGTAAAGGAAAATATATATGTGATTATAGAAGCTGTTAAGCCCACACTTAATAAGACAAACTTACATTTAACAAAAGCACTGCATCAACAGATGCATAATGAATGTCCTTAGCGATTATATGCTTAGTTGTATTTTGAACATCACTCCACTTTTTTTTCTCAGTGTCAATTTCTACACACACTTCCTCCCAGTCAATTTGAACATCTTCATATATTTTCAAATGTGGCAGTGCTGGGAAACAACCATTCACTTTATTTTGTACCCAATATTTCCATAAGTGGTCATCAGCAAGGATATTCTCAAATCTAGTACACACCTTACTAAAAGTATACTTTAAAAAATGAGAGTCAAGAAAAGAGCAAATTTTTAAAATTATTTCCACTGGCATGTCTGATAGTGTAGGTTCAGCTGCTTTATAGATTTCATCAGCGCTAGAAGGATTTAAGTAATCACTTTCTATATCCTTCAGCGGTTCTTTTAGTGCTTGAATAATTTCACACATTTTGGCTCATTTACTGTAAAATACAGAATAAAGCATCAGCAATAATCATAAACATATGTTCGAACTTAACATATAAGGCAAGGGTTACTCATAATCTTGTTGCAATTTCAAGGATATTTATATTGACCTAGTATTACCATTCAAATCTAAGTTGTTTTGTTAATTAGGTTGTATCTTTGCAAAATGATTGATTTTTTGTTAGATCATAATGATTCAAAAATATTAACAGATGAGCAGTTATATTATCCTTACCTGGACCAATCTTAAAATATTAATAACATTTAATAGTAGAGTGTAATTTAGAATTAATTGAGCACTTCTATAGGCGCATATTGGTAAACATTATTTCTATGATGCAGTTTGATATTAATAATTATAAATATGTGTAAATAGTTTTAAACTTTCACTCAAACAATTACAATGGCTCAAATGTTAATAAAGTGACAATGAGAAATAAGTATAAATAAGAGTGACGTTTGACTTTTTCAAATGTAAATTGTCAAACATGAATTGTTGAATTATCGGATATCAACAAATCCTCGGCTTTCAATTTGTATTTGTAAATAATAATTATGACCAATAATTTGCCTTTTATGCGATAACTTTGTAACAATATATTTTGTACTTGAGTGGCCCTGAACGGGCAAAGTAAATTCCTGTAAAGCGATTGTCGTTTCTATTACCTCTCACCAATTTTCAAGAGAATCTTGCACATGGGTACGAATTTTATTTGATATTTTGATAATATTAAAATATATAGTAAGTTACGTTTACTAATCCCATCAAAATGGAGGACCAAGATCCTGATGTAGCCGGATCTAGTAGCAAAAATATGGAACTAGAGTCAGAGTTAACGAGTAAATTTCTTAATGGACAAATGTCTTTTGCTGAGTATTCTAGTGAATGGTATGGCGGTGAGGATGAGGATGAGAATGACGAAATAGAAAAAAAAGTAGAAGAGCCACAACAGTCTGTTGCAAGGAGACGGCGCAGAGTTAATCGCTTGACACCAGCCTTAATTGGATTAATGGGTGAAGCTAATTTACGTTTTGCTAGAGGTGACAATGAAATGGCGGAAAAAATGTGCCATGAAATCATAAAGCAGGTGCCAACTGCTTCTGAACCTTATCAAACCCTAGCTCAAATATATGAAAATGATCCTGAAAAGTCCTTACAATTTTCCCTGTTAGCTGCACATCTTAGTCCCACTGATGTCAATGAATGGTTACGTTTAGCAGGAATATCTAGTCAAAGGAATGATCCCAAGTTAGAAATGATTTGCTACACGCATGCCATTGGAGCAGATCCAGGTAATTTAGAAATTCATATGAAAAGGCTAGATTTGATAAATAAATTGGAACATACAGATACAACTTTGGTTCCAAGTTTAATGTCCCGTGTTCGGGCTTACCACAAAATTGTCACTGCAATGCCTCCATCTCAGGGTGAAATTATAATGAAATATACTCGACTTGCAGCAACATTGTATCATGATGATGATGAAAAATCAAAGGCTTGTAAAGTTATGTCAGCTGCCTATGCTAAATGCCCCACATTATTCTCCCTTGAAGATCTTAATATTTTCCTTGAATTGCTTATTTCACAAAAGGAATTTAACAAATGCCTCGAACTGTTTGTAGCTAGCTGTGGTGTTGATATAGAAGCAGAAATACAAACAGTTCAATATTCTACAAACGAAATTGAGGAGCAGACTAATTATACAAAATGTTCAATACCTAATGATTTGGCTATTGATCTCAAGTCAAAATTATTAGTATGCTTCATTCATTTGGGGGCTGTAAGTCTTGTACAAACCTTATTAAGTGACTTTTTAACTAATGATGTGGAAAAAGCTGGTGATTTGTATATGGATATTGAGGAAGCATTTTCTGCTGTTGGTCATCACGAGATGGCTATGAAGTTATTAGAACCATTGGTAAATACACCTAATTTTGATTTAGGTGCGGTTTGGTTAAAATATGCAGAATGTCTTTTAAATTTAGGCAGGGAAGAAGAAGCAACCAATGCCTTCTATAAGGTTCTGGATCATGCTCCACAGCATCCGGCAGCTCGCAGAAAGCTATTTGCCATCCTAGAAAAAAGTGGACATACTGAGAAGGCTTTAGATGTTCTGCAGCAAGATAAAAAATATGTAATCAGCCCAAGCCTTCTGTATGAAGAATGCCTTGCATTAAAAAAGTATAATCGGATGAGCAGATATTTGGAGGTTGCTGAAATATTGCTCTGTAGGGCTATCACTAAATACAGACATGACGAGGAGTTAAGAATTGCTTGTAAACAAAGATCTGCAATTGAACTTATACAAGAATTTCGTATACTGAAAGGAGAAAATCCATACCACAAAGATGATTTACAATTTGAAGATGAGAATTTTAAGTTGACACCATCTCAAGAATGGGAAATCTATAAAGAATTGCTAACACTAGCTCATGGTTTTAAACAATATGTTACAATGCAAAGAATTAGTTACAGTGCATTGCTAATAAAGGGTCTACAGGCCCATAGGAAACAAGTAGAATTTTATATCTTTCAAGCTTGTCTTTTAAACAAAGATTTTGTACACTCTTTTAGATTTATTCGGGAATTGGCACAAAAGAACACAACAAATAGAACGTGGAATCTGTTAAGTTTTGTAATAAACTCTGTGGAAGATGTAACCCACAGCAAATTCTTGACCAGACTCTTCCAAAGAGACCAGCACTGGGTGAAAAATTTATTTTTAGGTAACAATTACCTAATGTCAGGGAGGTACCTGGTAGCTCTCAAATATTTTCTTGAATATCATGAACAATTTCGAGAACCACTGTCTGCCTTTTTGATATCAGTCACGATTCTGTCGATGGCAGCTCAAAAGACTGTAGATAAACATCATAATCTTATTCTTCAAAGTTTATCCTACATGGTTGCTTATAAGCAGTTAAGGAAATATGACCAGGAGGTGAATTATAATATGGGAAGGTTGTATCAAATGCTGAGTATCAACAATTTGGCTATAGAATATTATGAAAAAGCTCTAGCCTGTGAACCTATCGCGCAGTGTGATAAACATGGAACGATCGATTTACGAATGGAAACCGCTTACAACTTATTTACATTATATAAAGAACACTCACCACATTTGGCAAGAAAAATAATGCTAAAATATCTTGTTATTTAAATAAATATTGAAAATACAATGACCTGTTTTCTTTTTACATATTTTATGTTAATATCATGATACAATTTTAGGTATTCAGTAAAGGATGGAGGTAATACCAGCAAATGACATTTTATTTGAAGATTTCTGCTCGATTCTAGAACAGTTAAGCAAAAGGAAAAAACAAAAACAAGATCAAGATAGAATTCTAAATAATTTTATTCATGATTTTAGAATAAAGGCAGGAAAAGTCACAAATAAAAAGGTAATTAAAAACTACGTAGATAGGTAACTAACTACCCACATTTCACGAATAATTTGTATAGGACAAATAAAGACCAAGTTGAGCCATGAAAAAATTAAAAATATGCTTTAATTTCGGCCTAGCCAACTTTTGACCATAAAACTGATATCTATTGTGGTACATTTTGCGATTATCAACTTTAGTGTAGTAACGAACTGTATTTTTCAGAATTCAACCTTTTTTCCTATCCTGAGGCTATTATTACCCGATCGGGATCGAGAAAGAAACCCGTACAACTTAAAGGAGACAAAACTCGGAGCTCTCTTAGTAAAAGTTTTATCATTAAATAAGCAATCGCACGATGCGCAGGAGCTACTTAATTTTCGGTCAGTACAGAATAGTTGTCACGACAGCGATTTTGCTGGTGTCGCTTATTTCGTACTAAAGAATAGGATGGTGCAGAAGACAGGCGATTTAACTGTTGGAGATATAAATAAACTTCTGGACAAAGTGGCCACTACAGAAGTTGGGAATAAAGGACGTAAGTAATCACATATTGGGTATTAAAAATATGTAAGTAGTTGTTTAAAGAATACTTGATTGAAGTAAATAGTAATAGCTAGTAAGTTTTTATTTCGAACCAGCTGTGACAGCGAATTAACAAACAACAAGAAATAGTTATTTTGGGTACCAAAATTAGATTTTGCAAACCTCCACCTTATCTTTACCCACGACATTGTCGCGTCCCGTCGCATTGGTCGCAGCGTGATATTTTATAAAAAAAAAAAACTTTTTTTTCGAACCATTTTACTTTTAGTAGTTCCTGAGATTAGTTTAAACAAACACACTAATAAACTCTTCAGCTTTGTATATAGATGCATCTATACTAATATTACTTATAAAGAGGAAAGATTTTTGTATGTAATGGATAAACTCAAAAAGTACTGGACCGATTTAAATAATTCTTTTTATATTTAGTACTTGATTACTATAGGCATCTATAGAAATTCTTACTAAAACCACCGGAAGGCGTAAAAAAATTAGCCGTAAAATGTCTTTCTCTGCATACGCTGCGAAAAGTATTAATGATAGGACAAAAAATGTTTGACACTATTTTAGAATATAGCAATATCTACAAATGTAATCGCGAGAACATATGTCTAACTATTGTAGTTACGTTGCTATAACTACTTTTTTACATTTAACAAATTAATAGAAATGGCGATCAAAATCAGACCGTGTTATCTATACCGTTTATAAATTTTTATCCGAATAATTAATTTAATATTACTTATTTAATTATTGAAATCGGACATGCCATTCAAAAGATATAAAATTAAAATTTAAAATACATGCCGGCGGCGGCCGCCACGCCGCACATCGAGTAACTAATTCGACAATAGAGGGGCTCCTTACGCAGTGGGCGCGAACGACATTGAATATTTCGAGTTTCTTTAAACATCTTTATGCTCCACTTAAAAAGTTCTTTTTAGAGCTACTTAAGTTTAGTTTTAGTATTAGTATATTTATATATTTGTCAAAGTTCTTTTCAGAACTATCGCTTTGAACTTGAATAATGCTTTTCTTTTGTATTTTATTAGTTTATTCTTAATTTCTCTGATTTAAAATAAATATCCTTCATAGCAATATGCCTAGATGAAGAAGATCGCAGCTATCTAAGAATAGTTTCCAAGCGAGATTTTTTTTTTTGCCGGAACAGGGCCGCTAGTTTTATTTTATATAGTGCCATTATTTGCAATAACGTGTGACTAAGATATGTTTTATTAATTTTTTTTGCAGCGATTCTGGATGGAGCATTTAGCTATGCCATAAAGAACTTAACACCCGAACAACTAAAATGGTTTCTCAGGATAATTCTAAAGGATCTAAAGCTCAGTATGGGAATGAATAGGATCTTGGGCGCATTCCACCCTGACGCGCCCGAGTTATATGAGAGCTGTAGTAATTTGAATAAGGTTAGTGAACTACAACTAAGAGTAGGTAGAAAAAAAGGTTAATATCTATTTTTTATACCCCAAAGTGAGAAAGGTTACATATGTATTTTTTTGTATAAATATTTTCATAATATGACATTAAAAAATAAATGGAACCTTAATTTTTCCCCCTTCTATTACCAACCCCATTTTTTAATAATATTAGTAACATAGTAATTTTTTCTTCCACTCGACAACTGATCACCGACAATTTATCCCCCCAGGCATCTACCGGTACCACTTCTCGCCGACTAAACACCACGTAGGGATGGGCCGTACAAATTCTTACCAGATCCGTAGACTAGAAATTTAGAAGACATCATTATATCGCAAAGCAACGTTTGCGGGGTCATTATTATATATAATAACCTTATTGTACTCGTAGGTATGTGAAGACCTTGGAGAGGGAGACACAAGGCCTATAGAACTAGGTGTTCAAGTATTCTTCGCTGTGAGTCCCATGTTGTCTGAAAGGCTGGATATAACTCGAATAGCACAATTACTGTCTAATAATAAGACCTATCAAGTTGAGGATAAATTTGATGGCGAAAGGTTTCAGGTACCTATTCTTCTGACATATTAAATGATAGAAAAAAATATTTATTTAATATTGACTTGTATCGTATTGGTTACTGTTTTAATTTAGAAATAAATTATAAATTGAAAAAAATTACAACTCGGGCAGGACATGAACAAATGGTTGTTTAGATACATCACAAAATAATTGATTTTTTTTCCATTAACTTTTAGTAACTATTAGGGGGTATATTACTACCTATATTATAAAATTGAGTTGAAATATATCAGTTATAATTTAATAACAAGTATATTTTTTTATTTATTCTGAGAAATACCACAGTTTCGATCGAGCAAGGCAAAGAAGTCTAATCAACCACTTGTGTGACACAGATAATATGTAGTTCTCTAATTCAGTTTGTATTGTTTATAGATGCACATGGAAAACGGCACTTTTGAATATTTTTCACGGAAGGGTTTCGTTTATTCTAACAATTATGGTAAAACCTATGACTCTGGTTTGTTGACACCCCATTTAAATGGGTGTTTTGAATCCAATGTCACAAGTTTCATCCTTGATGGAGAAATGATGGGATGGCACAAGGAGTATAGGTGTTTTGGCTCTAAAGGTCGGTTTATAAGATATAAAACCATTAGCAGCAAACTATATTGTCTGTTAATATTTTAGATTTCATCTGAAAAATCCAGATATCCTGTTAGAATTCAAGAGAAAAATTATCACACATGAAGTGGGGGGGGGGAGATCGGTCGGATATCTGAAATTACCCTTTTCTTTTATATTATTGTAGGTATGGCGTTCGATATAAAGAAAATATCCGAAAACTCAAAGTTCCAACCTTGCTTCTGTGTGTTTGATATTTTATATTACAATGGTAAGTCCTTAATTGGACCACAAGAAAAAGGCGGGAAATCGTTGAAGGAGAGACTTCAGATTTTGGATACATTGTTCTTCGATGTTCCTGGAGTCATTATGCATAGTGACCGCAAAGTTGTGAAAAACAGGTAAAAGATAAGTTATTTGTGACATAATTTAACGTTCAGTATTAGGGTTGTGTATGTATAGTTAAAACCAACGCTTCGATTGCCACAAAATCTTACATGATTCCGAAATGAATTATAAACTTCTGTATTATCTGTAGTATATTCGTGAAAAATTAAGGTACTTAATACATAGTAAAATATCAACATTCAATCTTAAAACGCATTTTATATGGCTAGTGTACTTACTTAGTGTAGTACTTCTATCCCCCATAGTGCAATAGTTTTCTTTATGTTAAGTGGGGGTCGGGCATTGTCGTTTATTGAATTCCATATTTTTTATACCTCAATTCCTGAAATATCTTTCCGTCCTAATACTAATCTGAATTTACTTTCAGCGTTGACATCCTAAATGCTCTGAATAAAGCGATCGAAAACCAAGATGAAGGGATCGTAGTCAAAGACGTGGAGTCATATTACATAGCTAATCGTCGGAATGTCGGATGGTACAAAATTAAACCAGAGGTAAAGGCTTGCTTCGCTTTAAAGAACGGTTGGTAATATCAGTTTCCAAATTTTTCAGTGCTATTTGCCTAAACGAAATTCTGTTTTTCTAATTAGTTGTGAGAAGAGAAGAATGAAGTTAGGTATCTTCTTTATGACGTATAGATTTACTAAAATTAGACTAACTAGATTATGAAATACTTTTGTCTCATTAACAAACCAAATTTATTATTTGTCTTTCGAAGATTATTAGTTAACGTTATATCAAAAATAATGCATATCTATTTTGATACAAGGAATCCGCAGACATGAGTTGACTTGCATGCCACTTCCATACCATTTATCTTTATTTAGGACTAAAAGAGCCTTTATATAAAACTATTTTTAATGGTTTAAAACGCGAAATGTATTGGTTAACTTATTTTCAAAAGAACGAAAGGAGTAACATGAATTTTCTGTAATGTATCTAATCCGTAGTACACAGAAGGTACCATGACCGATCTAGACCTGGTGGTGATTGGTGCTGATGAAGCTGAGAACAAGAGACAGGGACGTGCTAAGAGCTTCCACGTCGCCTGTCTCGACCGCTCAGGTGAGTCTCAAATCTCATTGTGTAGCACTTTAGAGTTAGTTAATTCTAAACTAAACTTTTTTTAAATATTAAAAGTGAGTTTTGACTTTACTTTAAATAATCTACTGTGTCTATATTATGTTGATGTTGATGCCGGTTCAAGTCCTGCCCGAGTCGATAATTTTTAAAATTCATTTTCGATTTTTAAAGTATGTATATGACAACAACAACAACCATAGACAATAATATAATAAGATCTTAAAAAATGTATATAATTTTTACGTACACAAATAAGTTTGTAACATAATAAAGGTAGTGGTACTAAATTAATATATTTAGGAATTAATATACACGCACCCAATATTTGTAATTCTTAGGACAACAAGAACGATGGGTGGCAGTTGGTCGTGTGGCCACAGGACTAAGTTTCGAAGAACGGGAACGCGTGTGCGCTTTGCTTGAGAAAAACTGGAAGAACGCGAAGAGGATGCCATCGCCGCCATCTTTATTCTTTAATAAGGATAAACCAGACTTTTGGATTATGCCGGAACATTCGATTGTTCTAGAGGTAAGGTTGTTGACACATCTAATTCAATGCTTAGCTTTTCTTTTACCAGAACGAAAGGGTGCTTAAAATCCCTTTCCCCCTTGGGGCATGGTTTGCCCCATGCCCCAAGGGTCACATTTCTGTGATCGTTTCACTGATCGCTTTTATTTATTAAATAATCTTATTCAACACTGCATTCAACTTAGGAACTCGGTCATAACACCTACTTAGTTAACTTATCGAATTGTTTTCAACAAACCTAATGAAATTATTAGGTCCGCGCCACAGAACTAGTCCGGAGCAGTAGTTCCGGTACAGATTACACGCTGCGTTTTCCGCGCGTCACCAAAGTGCGTAACGACAAACCTGTAAACGATATACTCACTTTGGAGGAGTTTCAGAGACTTGTGGCGGTAAGTTTATAACGAACTAACTGTGCCTGCGACTTCGTCCGCGTGGATTTTGGAAATCATATTTATTTTCTGCATATCTTTTAGTTACTTGAGTCGTTTTCGTTTCAAACAAATAAACAAACTTTCAGTTTCATAACATTAGCATAGACTCTATTATAAAGTTTTATTTAATTAAGTAGGCTATTTTGAAGAGTATATTCACCCACCAGTCTAGTCCAGGTGTTACATTGACGTCAAACATTTTTCACAATTAAGTATAACATGAGTAAAGTGAATTAGCTTTAACTCCTACGATTTACATTTTTTTTTCTTATAGGAAAGAAATGCAGTTGTCAAATTAGGCACTAAGCGTATAAGTGAGAATCAATTAGACGAAATTACAATTAAAGCTCGAAGAACTCGCGCGCCTAAGACCGTACAAGTAGCTGAAAAGTTCCGTTCGAAGCCGACAGGTGGCGTTGATGTGTTATCTAACGCACTTCTTGGAAGAGAAATATGCATCTTATCTGAAGACGAGGACTGCAAGAAGGAAGAATTGATAAGGATTGTGGGGTCACATGGTGGAAAACATGTGGAAAATGCTGGTAATGTGTGGTTTACCGTTATGATAATACCTACTCGAAAACTCGTAAAAGGGAGAAAGAGTAGATCGGAGTAGATGATAAATTAATACGAAAAATAATAATAATTTTATCACAGAAATCATGCTACATTTTATACTGACATTTAGAACAATTCGATGCAAAATACCAGAAATTTCACACTGATGATTTACCGACACTGCCATGGACCAGACTATATTTTTCTCTCCTTATCCTAAATCTGTGTTTACGTTCCGTTCTGTGTCCTTAACTATTCCTGTTATTCTTTGTGTTAACTACAAAGTTATCTGTTACATACAACCGTATGTGAGACAACATCATACATTCGTTAGGATGTTTCGTTCCTGTATATATTTTTTAAATACCTAAAGCATATTATTTTCCCTGAGAATTGGACTACGACTTTCTCGTGCTTATCGCAATGTTAAACGTTTTAGTCGCGTTTACTCATTGAGCCATGGATGCAGTCAATTGTAGGCTTACTAATTCTCAATCTTATAGGCGTTTTTTAAATAAAACACTAACGGCTTAAAACGCGATATATATTAGTTAAACTAAAAGTTGTCACGGGAAGACCACGGCCGCTGCAAAGCATTCGAAACGTCGGGCCCTAGTTAAAATAATTTATATAAGTTTAACTAATATATATCGCGTTTTAACCCGTTAAAGTAATTTAAATGTGTACTACTTGCGTAAACTAAAGTAGTTTGGGTAAAATACAAATGTTGGTTGGTGGTGATTTTTTTATTTAAAAATTTACTTAAGTAAAATTAAATTTCTTTCAAAGGACCAAAAACGTGGTGCTGCGTGGCCGGAAACTTGACGTTTCGCGTTCGAAAGCTGATTGAAAATAAGAAATATGATGTAATAAGTACGTCCTGGTTGCGTTCGCTTCCCGTCTCAACGAATCCATGTTCTCTTTCCCCCCTGGACATGCTATCCATCAAGCCCGAAACCAAATCGAAGCTAAGCGTCGATTATGACTGTTTCGGCGACAGCTACAGGGGACTACTCGACGAGGAGACGCTAAAGAAATGTTTAAAGAAAATGGATAAAGAGGTGAAGTGTTCTCAGTTGTATGCAGCAAGAAGGCAGCTGCTGTAACAATTTTTTTTTTTGAGAAAAAAAGATAAAATCTTTTAATACTATGTATAAAAATTTGTAGAGAAATATATTTTCTTTGATCTAGATAAAATTGTAGCCATTATCCAAAGGATTCGTTCGTAATAGTTATATTATCAGCATTATTTTTTCATATAACTAATAGGCTCAAGATGTCACATAAAACGTAGTTAGTAGATAAATCTTTTTAAATTTTACTAAGTAATCATTTTAATTTTAATAAGAATTTATTGGCGTGGCACCAGGGCCCTGGAACTTAGGGGCCCTCTAACCTTATCTTAAAGGAGATATAACCGTAGAAAAAAGATTCTTTAACGTTCTTGTTGCTATTTATAATTTTGGAGGTTCATTTAATTCAAGATATGCTAAAAGAGGGGATCAGGACCCGATTCTTTCTTGAGCCTTAGGATTAGGTAGACCTGGGGCCCTTGTCCACCTAGCTACGCTACTGAGTGCAGTTAATAGTACTTAATTTACACGGCATTGATTACAAATATGACGGGCTCGTTGGTGAATTGGTAACAATGTATGGCTAATAACCAACGGATCGTGGATTCGATCCCCACCGGATGGAACAGTTTTCTAATTTTATAATGTTTCTTACCTTCGTCTGGAAATCTGAATATTACGGGTAGGTAATGCCGAAATTCCGTAAGGGTCACGCAACACCGTCCATAGATGAAAAAGCCGTCAAGATTAATCGCGTGTTGATTTCAGTCTGTGGATTGATAGCACATCTTGTTCAGATGTTACATGGCTGGGGCCGCCCTTGTCTGTCATCTTCTATGATTTCTAATAATAAGTTACTACATTAATTATTTTTAGATTTAAGTTATTTCTTAAAGGTAAGACTGCGCACGGTACGTTATTTGTCGCGGGATCGACCCCGCCTGTGTCGAGTTTTTCTATTAAGAAATAAGTTTAAATAAAACACTTTACTTAACGGTTTTAAACGCGATATATTAGTTAAACTTATTTAAAAATGAGATCAGTCTCCCCGTGACCACGACTGCTGCAAAGCATCCGAAACGTCAAGCCGAAGTTAAAAATCATTTCCAAATAAGTTTAACTAATATATCGCGTTTTAAACCATTAGTGTTTTATTTAAATGTGTACTACTCGCGTAAACTATAGACAGAAAATTAATGAAATAATTTAAGAAATAAGTTTTATATTTTTTTATCTAATAACTTGTCACAATCAATTTACAGGATCCAATATACCTCACGAAATCGGAAATGCTATATCTGGATGGAAAGCTTTTCGGCGAGAACAATCCATTTTCTTTCTTGCGGCGTTGCTCCATATATTTTCTCGAAGCATCCTATCGTTCCACCATAGCAAAGATGTATGGCGCTGAAATCTGTGACGCCAGTGAAAACGTGACACATATACTAGTCCCAAGTGATAATAAGAAAGAAATACAAAATGTAAGCAATGCCAAAGTAGTTTTTGAAGAATGGTTAGACAAATGTTTTGAACTGAAGGAATTGATATCAGAAACTGAGTTTTTAGTTGATTAAGATTTTGTTAAAAGCATGTAATACATTTTAATAAAGTTGAAATATTTGTTTTTTCTCAACCTATTTAATTTCTATTTAACTCAACGAGAGATCGACATACAGTCTCTTGCGCGGCTTAAGAATGTACCTACATCTGCATTAATTACACTAGCCAACATCGTAAACTTTCTCTTGCCATAAAATACTGTCTATAGTTTACGCGAGTAGTACACATTTAAATAAAACACTTTAACGGTTTAAAACGGATATATTAGTTAAACTTATTTGAAAATGATTTTTAACTTCGGCCCGACGTTTCGGATGTTTTTTAGCAGCTTTTTTTTTCACGGGGAGACTCCCCGTGACCAAGGCTGATGCAAAGCAGCAAGGCTGCTGAAAGAAAGAGAAATTTAAATAAAACACTTTAACGGTTTAAAACGCGATATATATTAGTTAAACTTATATAAATTATTTTAACTAGGGCCCGACGTTTCGAATGCTTTGCAGCGGCCGTGGTCTTCCCGTGACAACTTTTAGTTTAACTAATATATATCGCGTTTTAAACCGTTAAAGTGTTTTATTTAAATTTCTCTTTCCCCCATATTCAATTTCGAGCTAAACTAGATTACCATAAACACGGTTCTTGTGAGTTTATCTTAAAAGATAGATAGATACTGTCGTGGATATTTTCTTAGGTCATTTGTAAAATAATCATTCTCTCATACATATCTCTTATTTTTTAAGTCGTGTCGAGGCGCACGCAGCGGAAGCCCGCAAAGATAAATAAATTATTATAATAAAATAAACAATTATGATAATTTTTTCCACATTCTCTGTTTCTTCCTTCGTATTGATCTCAGCTTGTGCAGAGTGAGCTTTATAGCCAAAAGCCTCGATAAATTCGAGATAAGCATGTTCAAAAAAACTTCTTCCAGCTTTATAATATTAGAATAGTGTATATATATTATATGGTCTGTAGCTTCCGCTAGCTCTATACATTCAAGTAAAGCGGTTTAAAACGCGATACATATTAACTACTTACGTAGCCGTGGTTTATTGAGGCCGATTTTCGTCCCTGACCATATACTAGCGACGATTTCTAGAAACTCTTTCGTTCGTTGTGGACGGTTGGGGCAATTATATTAATAACGACATAATGATTTAGACGCGGCGCATAATCAAAAATTAATGGCGTGTAAGATGGAATTAATGAGCCTCTATACAATCCGATACCTCTACAGTCCTTTGTCTGTTCAATGGTACGCCCCATCGGTTTGCAATTATAAACAACAATCACACCTTGTATCTCGCAGTCTCTGTACAAAGGAGTATATTTTGGGAATTATTTTCATGGGAGTTCAAGTCAAATTCCTTTAACGGTTTAAAACGCGATATATTAGTTAAACTTATTTCAAAATGATTTTTAACTTCGGCCCGACGTTTCGGATGCTTTGCAGCAGCCATTTCACGGGGAGATAATATATCGCGTTTTAAACCGTTAAAGTGTTTCATTTATATGTGTACTCCTCGCGTAAACGACAGACAGTATTTAAGTCAAATTCCGATAAGACCCAAGACATACATATTCTTTCCCCCAGTATTTGTACCTAGACCCAGCTTAAAACCATCGAGCCACGAAGGCGTTTATTTGGCCATCACTAAGTTAAAAATAAGATATATTCAATGGTTGATTGGAACCCCTATTCCGTTTGTTCAAATCTATACTTAGATGAAAAAGCCGTGCAGTATAATCGCGGTTTGGTTGCAATCAGTGCATTTCCGAATATCCGACATCGATCTAGTTTAATGTTGTATGGCTGGTGTATTTCAACTAACATAAATTGAACCCCGGACCGCCTCTGTAGCTAAATGGTTAAACGTGTTGCCGAGCAGTGTGTAGAGCGCGAGAGGTCATGCGTTCGAATTGTTTCGGTCGGGCAGGGCACATAAGATCCAATTATTTCTAATAGGTATTATTAAGATTGAATATTAGTACATTGATTGTAAATGTGTGAAATATATGTGTGGGGTGGACATATTTCTGTTACCTATATGTAATTCATTATTTTCCTGGGACTCGAAAGCAAGACTGCACGTACTAAACGCAATACAATACGCTGATTATAGTCTTAAACGAAACTTACGCGTGCATTGTAAATAGATCATGGATATGTTCGAGTCACTATAGAAATTAAGAGATTTTTTATTGTTGCTTATTGATATCTTAGGTGGTATAGGTAAGTTGTAAGTATTTAATTTAAAAGGTACTGGCTGAAAATGGCCGCTCCCTTCCATATGGTGATGAGACGCTTTTTTCCGACATTGTCTTTTTTTGTTTACTTTTTTTTAGTTTATGAAGGATCATATCAAAAGATACACCGAGCTATGAGATATTTTATTATTTTCAATTATGCAAACAAACCATGGTAATATGCGAAATAAATAAAGGTTATTTTTATTATCAAGCTCTTTTGTATTATGCATAGAATGAGAGAGAAATAAAGATATTTTTATACAAAAAATTTCCTTCTCAAAAACTTGCATTTCTCTGATTCATCGATATTTCGATTTCGTGTCGTGATTAATGAAAACAATCTTCCATCTCGGAAGGTGATAGCCAATTAGATCTCACGTTACATTCGTGATAGCCAGTGTCCTTTGTCCGGATATCTATTATTGTCATACAACATCGACGCTTTTGCAAGTTAGAAAATTGTCATATTAGAATGTTTAGTAGGTGAGGTACAAATTTTAATAGGAAGGACGGCCTCAAGACATCAAACACCTGGATTTCGATATTAAAAACACTGGATCCCAAAAATGGCATACCGGTGCCTAAACTAGAAGATAATGTAACTCAGTTGACAGTTCTAAAATTCCTAGTTTCTCCAAATGTCAACTACGACAAAACAGATGGCGTTGGTGTAGTTTTGATCAGTGATGTTACTCTCATCGCGGGCAGCAGAGGATAAAACGGCATTTTACTTTTTTAAGTGTCAATTGAAATAACATTGCATAAAAGATGCTTAAGAGACGAAAAGGAAACTCAAATAAGATAACGATATATAATAAATCTGTAGGTAATAAAATGCAAACAAATGTGTTGCCATTATAGCTCACACTCACACAATGACTATTTAAATAAAATGTACTCTTAATTTTTAATAAAAGTCAAACACCTACATGTTCCTAATTTAGTTATTATTGTAGGTATATTAATATTATAACTTAATTAAAACACAAATAAAAGAAAAAATGCGAAAAAGTAGTTAAATTATTATTAAAGTCAAAAACTTTATTTTCTGAGATATTTTTATACTCCAGTATCCTTCCATTACACATCTAATAGATATAGTAAGTGTCTGTAATTTAAGCAAATTATAAAATTTTAATCAAAATCTCTTCACGGTTTAAACGCGAAATGGTAACTTATTTCTAATAGCCGAAATTATGGATCTGGTACTGCTAGGCTTTTTAACATAAAACCCAATTATAATATATTCTAAACTCAAAAGATTACTTGTAACATAATTATAATCTACAAACGGTTTCGTTTAAATCCGTTTCAGTGACAAGTTTCTATTCATTTTAACAGTTGTGTTTATTTTTTTGCTACTACTTATCATGCACAGCTGTCGCGAAGACACAAACAAATCATAAATGTATCACTTTTCAAAGATATACAAATGCCGCCCCGAGGTGTTCAACCAATGAAAGAGCGGTGGGCGTGGCTCCAAAGCCGTTGGGGTTACACAAAAGCACATTTCAGTTATCAATCACTGAAAAGAACTTTCAGAGTGAAGAACTATTTCGTGCGTAACACTACAGTACAATTCTAACACTACAGTAGTTTTAATGTTACGATGTAGTTTGGTTTATGAGGGTGTATGGTGATGGTGATAATGCCAAGTGAAGAAAAGAGTGACACGAGAAAGGCTCTACGCACCCCAAAGTGCGCTAGATGCAGGAACCATGGGGTGATTTCGTGTTTGAAGGGCCATAAACGTTTGTGTCGATGGCGTGACTGCAGATGTCCAGGGTGTCTTCTAGTCCTGGAGAGACAGCGGGTTATGGCAGCTCAGGTAAGTTTAGAAGACCTTTGTTAACGTCACATCAAGAACTTATATTTAAAAAGTCGTCAATAATTAACGACAATGATTATTAAATAAGAAACACTTTACTCACTAAATTTTCCCTTATTTATTTTAAGCGTTAAGCAATATTAGTATTTTTGTCTGACATTAAATATTGTAGTAAGTAGATATATATGTATGCTAGGCATTTATTAAAGTAGTAAGATCTATAAAATATATCTACTTGCAAAGTTACAACTTAACACGTTCAACATTCTGTGCGGCTACTATACCTACCTACCTATTTATTTCAATGAGTAGTCATTACCTATTAGGTATATTATATCTACCAATAAAAATAGATAGGTACCTACTATATTTTGTTTTTTGATAATTAATCAATTTTCTTTCTGTTTTATAGAGCTCCAATAGGAATATTGTACATCTAGGAACTTAGCTTACATTTAACAAACATTAAGGATATAAGTATTACTGCTAATTATAATTACGTACAGTAAATAAAGTCTATTCGTAAATTTGTACGAAAATTAGCAAATTAATAATAGGTTTTCGTCAGAAAAATGGAATTTTCCCGTGTAAGAATTTTCCCATGAAAGACTTGAAACATCAACAGGTGGCTCTCCGTCGGCAGCAGAGTGCCGGCAGAACAGCACGCGATGGCGAGGCTGCTGCATTAGCTGCGAGGAAACGCGCTTATCGAGCAAGACTTCGCTGCATGCAAATGACAAGAGTTTACCCAAACTCAGCCCCTCAATATGGTAAGATTTATTCGTAAACAAAGACCATTGAATAAGAGTGTGTTAGTAAAGTTAAAAAGCATCCGAAACGTCGGGCCGAAGATAAAAATCATTTCCAAATAAGTTTACCTAATATATCGCGTCTTAAACCGTTAAAGTGTTAACAGTCTTGAAATAAATTATAAATTGGGGATCGAATCCACTATCCGTTGTTCATTAGGCATACATTACTACCTATAGGGCTAACGCGCCCATCGGAAATACCAAAATAATACAATTGCCCATCGGTTACCTTGTTGTCTTTGTCCAGTTTAGTATCTTCTTAGTTGCTTTTTATTGTTAAGATAAACGAACGACGAAACTTACTTACTATAAGATATAGGTACCTATATTCAATAACTTTTGCTGTTTAGTCATAAAAATCCTCAATATGATCTGATTGACTGCAGTTGATTGCAAATGAGGTTGTCGAAAATATGTATTGTAGTCAACGCGAGTGAAGAATGAAAGCGATCTCTTTCGTAATTTATTATCTGTAATATTCATTAATATAATTCCTATTATCTGTACCAAATATTTACGTCAAAATGTTTGGTACAAATAATACGAAGACACGCTTATACGCTTTTAACTAATTTAAAATTTACTTACTCTGTTTTGTTTTCATAAGATTGTCGCTTATAACTTGTCAGCCACTCAGCTGTGTTGTTGTTGTAAGCGAGTCGACACTGTCTGTTTCTTTTCTCACCACTCTCCCGTGAAATGAACAATGCGAATTAGCTAAACAAATATTTACTTTGGAACATTGACTCATGTTAAGTTGTGTATTTTAGGAGCAGCTTTTAACTCATTGATATAAACGAAAACATAAACTGTATTTTGAATTTATAACAACGTCTTACAACTAACTGTAACTAAAGGAATGTATTCACAAAATATACGTATTTTTGGAGAAAGAAGAAAAGACAGAACTATAAGTATACAATTTTAAACGGGAAATGTATTAGTTAACTTATTTTTAATATTTTAACTACGTTTCAACGTTAAATATATTAATTTAAATAAATTAAAAACCAATTGACTACAATACTTCGCGTTTAAGGGTTAAAATAATCTTATTTAAAAGAAATATGTTTCTTCAGAAGCAATACATATCAAATGAAGAAAAAGAACAAAACCACTCAGCTACGTTAGGGTACACGCATTATGTCTCTAATCTAAAAAAAAGTATATCAGAACTATAATATAATATGTATGTAGATATATATATTATGTTAAAATATTGTCTCGTCCTGTGTGTTTAGTGGCTTCGCGTAAAAGAACCTACTAACTTACACACATCTCTTCTGACATACATAAACATTTAATGGTTTAAAACGCAATTACTTTCAATATATAGTTATTATTTATGTAGGTATATGCAGATAATCTTAAGTCATTTTGATAGTCAAATTTTTATTATCTTATCTATACTAATATATAAAGCTGAAGAGTTTGTTTGTTTGTTTGAACGCGCTACTCTCGGAAACTACGGGTTCGAAATGAAAAATTATTTTGGTCTTGGTTAGATCATTTATTGAGGAAGGCTATAATCGCTATAAAGCATCGCTGTGCCTAATAGACGCGAAGGGAAATGTGAACAAAACGGGGGAAATTCTTCATCTCTGTGGGTTTCAGATGCGTACGCTGCGAAAACGGTTCAATATACCTAAAAACGTGTATTAAAGAATGATTCCTCCTTAAATGGTCTAAAAAAAAGCGACGCTATATGTCTATCTTTTAGGTTTAACTTACAAGAACGACGGGAAGGACGCGATCGACGTCGTGGCTAACAGCTTAAGTTTATAAAGATGACGGGGTTTGCAAAAACTAACTCGGATGCCCAAAATAACGATTCTCGCGGACGAAATCGCTGGCACAGCTAGTGGAGATAAAATCCTTAAACCGAAATATACGTTTTACATTTCTAACCACAAGCTCCCGACGTCATTGTTGCTTGCAGCAGCAGTCTCGTGTTTAAAACACAATTTTTTTTGCCGGTAAACTATCATTCCTTTAATATTGTTTAAAAGCTCTGCACACTTGGTAGCCAAGTGTTGAATGTGGACGGGCTCGTTAGTCAAAGGGTAATGCATCGCTAATAATCAACAGGTCATAGATTCGATCCCCACCAGGTCCAACACGACTCTAAACAATTTATAATTTTTGTGAAGTCTAATTGAGTCTGAAAATCTTCATATTAAATGTGTGGTAGGAATATCAAAATTCCAGCCGGATCACCGCCGTCCACAGATGAAAAAGCCGTGAAGCTTAATTGCGTTTCGGTTTTACTGTGTATTTTCTAATATCCAAAGTCTTAATATTATATATTATTGCATAATCCTGTTCAGGTTTTTATATGGCTGAGATAATTCACCTTAGATCTAGTGAACCGTCGTCGTAGTGAGGTCGTCTGGTTACCTGTAGGGATTATGAAACAAATTTGGATGAACGGTAGCGCTTCTATTTATTTCAATCATTTCTTCACTATCAACATTCCTCACGTCGGTGTGACGCTTGGTAATTTGCCGTTACGTAAAAAGATACTCTTCAGACACTTAAAAATAGGCGGAGTAATAAAAACTCGAGCGCATGTCCCCCTCATTAAAGAACAAAAGCTGTCATCTTAGAGTCGGTAACATTTCACTGTCTATTAAGAAAAAGACTAAATATCTTTTAACTATTTTTATGGGTTGTAAAAAATGTGAAGATTGTTTTACATGAAAAGTGGCGGCTCTTTGTCGTGGTATCGTGTTTCATTGATGCCTGTAAACACGTCTTTCCGTTTGGGCTAACGATATGCTAGCGGGCGCCAAAATACATTTTTTACGCATTGTCTCAATGTACGAATAATTTAAGTCAAATAATTTAATCCTTACTAAACCATCGATATACATAAACAAACTATAAAATTGTGCATTATTAAAATATTACAGTCATTATCACCTTACTTGAGTTAAGAGACATTTTTTCTAAATAGGTAGGATTTTTTAGTGGATATTGTTCAGCTGTTCAACAGCGCTGATGTTCAGTGCCAATTTCTACTATAGATTCTCTAAAAGAAGAGTGTAAGAGATTTTTCCTTTCTAATCCATTTCTTTGACTTAACTACAAATAAATATTGTTAAAGCAAAACTAGGGATAAAACTCGTAATAAATATCTATGAAGTAGATAATTAATGATTTTATTAATTATTGATAAAGCCTATTTCATGTCATATTATTGAAAAATGTATATATCGTTACTTACGTTCGTCGTATTAAATATACTCAATTGTTCAAACGTAATGAGAAAATGTAGTAAAATTCTATGATATCTTAAAGTTATATATCTGCATTTTAATTGTTCTTCAGAAAAGTACATTCTTTAAATAAAACACTTTGACGGTTTAAAACGCGGTTTTTAACCTCGTTCAAGTGTTTTATTTAAATGTGTACTACTCGCGTAAACTACAGACAGTATTTAAACACATTCTTGTTGAACGACTAGAAATGGACATCCCACGACCTACAAGTTATTGTCCTATTGGGAATTTGGAACTTTCTTTTTAAGAGGACAGACAAGCATGAGAGTCACTTGATGTTAGGTGTACCCCAGCCCATAAAACATCGAAACAAGTTGTGTCGACCTATTTGGACTTTGGATTTTCGGAAATCCACAGACTGAAACCCAAACTGTGTGGCTTTTTCATCTGAAAAGCCGTGAAGGCAACTAGTTAGACTATTTCAATTGTTAATTACAAATAACATTTATGTAACAGGTAGTTTGCAGTTAGCCGGAAATGACGACGCTTGGTCAGAAAGAGTTCGCAAGCGTCGAACATTCGCGGATGCTACTCTAGACAGGGACATCCCCACTTTGTCCCTCCCTGACCCACAACCAGCTGCAGTTCTCTGCAGACATCTTTTAGCGGCTCTGCTCACCAACTATGCGCCGGCGCAACCACCGAAACCAAGGATATCCTTTTCCATCGAATCTATTATTGGCGTCCAGTAAGATTTCTTCAGACTTAACAAATATTTTTTAAATAGAATATAATTTTAGTATTGGATTATACAATTTTATACGGAACATATTTTAATCTTCCTTATTTATGTTGCGTTATAATAATTTACTTTTATTATGTCACGTTTAAAGACAATTTTTAGGGTGAAAGACTATGTAATTTATTTTAATTTTTTCATTAGAAAATGTTATTCGGTTAAATTCTTAAGTATACGACACCATTAAAAAGTACGTTAAACTTAAGAGTTCACGAATGAGTGATTAAATTATTTACACTGGTCAATATTTTTCTTTGCCTCTTTATATGTAAGTATAGTTTGTTTGGCCATAAAATATTGCTTTACAAATTATACCTTCGCCCACGACGTCGGTCATGTCCCGTCGTTCTTGCAAATTAATCTTTAAGGATAGACATACTGTCACTGATATTTTTTTAGATAATTGAAAGTGGTAGCATTCTTTCATACATATTTTTTGAGTATCTTAACCGTTTTCGACGCACGCGTCGGAGCCCTATAGATGAATTACTCGGTTTTTTCCAGTATTTCTTCGTTCCTGGTCGCAGTCAGATATTCTATTGCCTAAAGCCTTTCTCGATAAATTCTCTGGTAAACCTTATGATATTAGGTACACATTTAACAAAAAATTTAACAAAAAAAAGAAAAATTTAACAGCCATTAGAGTGAAGAGAAATAAAAACGACCATTGAACAATGAGTGCTTTAATAACGAAATGTTTGGTAAAAGAATGTCTATGGTGAGGTCAATGTATACAACCAGAACTTACGTTAGGTACTAATTACTTAGGTGTAGCGCACTATATTAGTGGCACGGTTATGTACAATTCCGACACGCAGTGAGTACAGAAAAATAATTCCAATTTTGATGGCGCGACCAAAGATTGCATTTTGAAGACTGGCGCGCAGAGCAATCTCACCCAAGTGAAAAGCGAATACTATTAAATTCACATAAAAATGTACAGTCCATGTTGTAAATATGATTAGATTCTGATCCTAAAAACAATACCGAATTGTACGTATTTCTTAGATAGCAGACAAACGTCTGTAACCATATTATTATTTTGCGACATATTCGGCCGATATCGTTGTTATTTCCCAAAAATTTAAACTTGATGTATAGCAAGATGCTCTGCGGTGCCAAGTCGTTGTATCGCGCACACTTTAGGCCATGTAAGAGGTAGCAAAACGTCGTCACACGAAAAAGCACACTGTACCCACTCAATTTTACACAATGAAATCACGTTCCCTACATCACAGAATATATAAAAGTGGATAATACACAGTGACAGTAATTTACTTAAAATAACTAAAAGTTATCAATAAATAGAAAACGATGAAAATACATTATAAACATTACAAATACAATACGGTTATCAAAATAGATAAGTAAGTACGGCTCGTTATAATTTGGCTCAACGATGACGAATATAAAATATTATCTAGGGAATACACTAAAAATCGAAAGCATGCGAGTTTATGCGACTATAAAGCCGGGTACACACTAGCGAGCCGTAACCGTGATCGATGCAGATACTAAAAACGTTTACACGAATGGTAAACATTAAATAAAACGCATTTAGCGGGCTAAAACTTGAAATTATATTGCGTCGGGCCTCATTTAAGAATTGATTAGGTAACATCTATGTGTCGAAATCAAATTAGATCACCTTTTAACGGTTTTAAACGTGTAGTTTAAAACTGTTAAAAGGTGATCTAATTTGATTTCGACACGATATATCTAATAAACACTTTGTTTAACAATGTGAGTTAAAATAATAAACGAATGGTAAACATTAAATAAAACGCATTTAGCGGGCTAAAACTTGAAATTATATTGCGTCGGGCCTCATTTAAGAATTGATTAGGTAACATCTATGTTACACGTTTAAAACCGTTAAAAGGTGATCTAATTTGATTTCGACACGATATATCTAATAAACACTTTGTTTAACAATGTGAGTGAAAGTAAAAATACATGCCAATTCTCATAATTACATATAGGTTCATTTTGTTTAATAGCATAATCACGATCTAGTTGTATAAACAAAATAAAAGTTGGCCTATCTACGTATTTTACTACAAGATTCAGAATACACAAGCTAATAAAATTGGCTGTCTATTTTATAACGATTGAGTTATGCCAAATTCAGTTAGTTTTTAAGGCTGTACAGGAAATGATTCAGGCTCGCTAGGAAACGGCTTAAGCGAATTTTCACTTCACGACATGATTGTACATAATGCATGTATTAAACATATGACTATCATTTACACAACCGCGAAAACATGGCCTTGCTCAGCTGTTTAATATCTTACTTATAAACATATTGGGATATTTAAACCTCCTCCCTTTAGTGGAAAAAGAACAGACAGCCTAGCTCTATTTAATATATGTTTATAAGTAACATATATTAATTTTTCCAACTGTTTTCTATATATCTTAATCAATTATTGTGACCGATAAACAACAAAAATTTGCTCGTCGATAAGAGCATGACATGAAACAGTTAATTTTTACAATCTAATTTAGGATAGGGATCGTGCCTCACGAACGCCTCACTAGCTTCAATTAAATAACGCTTTATGCTATTATCACCGCCTTTGGAGGATAAAACTACAATACAAATGTACACGGAGGAAAGCTAAATGAATCTTAAAAATAAAGAACGAACCCAAACTCGCAGTAAAGCAGATAGACTGGAAACTACATGTTGACGGGTGTCGTTGCTGTAGACTAGAGTCCAAATGTATTTAGGGATCAGTCCCTAGTTACTAAAATGGACGAGACTGGGAGTTGCTAATCCACAGTCACTTGACTTGAGATTATCAGTCCTTAGTCTTTTTTGTGGTTGAAGGGGGCGCTGACTCGCGCACTTTTCAGGCTTCGTTGGCACATCGGGATAAGGGACTAGAAAGGATTCGGGGTTAGGAACTTTGTAGGATTTTCGGGACAAGGATTTACACAATACGCAATCGAATATTTCAAATAACGATACGGACGATCGCTATTCAAAATATACGTCAACATTGCATCGAATACAATATCGCTTGAACATAACTGAAATCCGTCAAATTGCATTTTTGCCCCTAGGAATGTTTAAAATTGTACCCCCGAAAAAAAAAGTATCGCCTACTTGTTTGCAAAACTAAAAACTACTAATACAATATTGCAAGTTTATTCCGACTACAATTACCAGACTCCAGTCGCAACCTGTTCTTAGTTCTCGATTTTCTTAACCGCGATAAAATGATGTCCAATAGATATATTGATGTTTGAAGTTTATTTTTACATCATACTAGGTATATATCATTTGTTTAAATTTCGTCAAAGACTAACAACAAGATGTGCACTGGAGAATTTGAACGTAAATGACATAACAAGTAGTTAAAGTCAGACTTTTAAGTTATTTTAATATAAAAAAATTGTAACAATTTAATTCCATATAATTATCATATTAATATACAACAAAATAATGTATTTACATATACATAATAATATCTATTTAAATATACACGTAAATATCAATTATACGAGTTGCCCTCGCGATGCGGAAGTCGAAACAGTAACTGGACTGATTTTGCTGCGTTACTCGTAGTAGGAACTGCTTCGACTGCGGTAGGAATTTTTAAGTGTACCTCGAGCCCATCTTTACTGTGACGTGAGTTGAGTGAGAAGTCTCCTCAGTTATAATTTCAAATGCCGACCGCGCGGTCAACCCATACATACAAACAAAATAAACCGTTAAAAATACTATTTGGTATATTATATAGCAGAAATCTAGACATAAAAACTATCAAAGCGACGTATCGACACGACACAGGCATAAACATACACACAATAATTATCATATTAGTTAAAATAAACCAGTCACAAATCACAGTTGACGTAAATTCTCGATTTCCTAAGTCTTTGTAAATTTATTAACACATACTATATTTTACATACATATTAGAGAAATAAGACGTGAAATAGATAAATGCTTGAACGTACACGTGTAAATTTATATCGAGTGAATTTAAGACGTAACGGGTTAGTCGAGGGGTGAACGCAAGAACAAAACTACTGAGCAGCGAACAGTTTTTGTCAGTCGATCTAAAGCTATAATATAAAATCGGATCTTATTTCTGTGTTGATCTGCCTACATTTTGTCGCTTTTACAAGAAAGTTTGAACAGAGAGTACGTAGCGTACGTTCGCCTATCAGCGAATAGAAACGAGATCTCGACATTTCGTAAGATCTCTAAACTAACCAATGAAGGATTTTTTAAACCAATTCAAAAAAATAATAATACGATACTCGTACTAGATTAAGGACTAAAGTTCATGCAATAAACACTCCGATCATTATTTGCTAGCGTTTAAGAGCTGCAGTACTTCCCGATTCGTTTGTATTTTCTAATGCTAACATAATTAAAAAATAATAATAAGCTTTTTGTACATTTACGGTATTCTTTCTTTCCAGAATGTAAAACTACCCTCACAAGTTTTTTAAATTGTTGTGCAATACAATATTAATACAAAGAGTTTTAAAGTACTAAGTGTTGTTTTGTGTGATATTTTGTTGCTTGCAAAGTTACGTACTCTTAAAACCTTTTAGTAACATTTCGAATCCGATCCGAGTATGCTTCACAAGCTTTGCCGGTACAAACATTAGCTCGCAACTTTTTCGCAAATGCGATAGAGAAGTGTTGCAACTCCCAAACATATACTACACTAAAGCAGAACATCTGCTATATACAGGAACGGACCACGCAAGCATGCAACGTGCGTTCGGTGAAGCCCCGTACTAATCTCCCCTGTGCGTTTCCTACGAGTCGTCGACTCTTGTCTTGTCTGTTAAGTGGATGCCGCGGTAATGTTCAGGTACACGAAACGTTGTGTTAGAAGCACTACGTGCGCTGGAGTATGTTGGCACACGACGCCGCTCTCGGCTCTCATGCAATGTCTCCCCGACCCTGCTGACATTGGTTCCCCTGCGGACAGCGATTTAAAAAATGACATTATAATAATTATTAATAAGCATTCCATTTATATAAGATAACGGGTCTCGTTGAGATAACGAGTAGTGATTTTGATTCCTACCGGGTCCAAAATGTTGTAATGAAACAGTTGGACTTTGTCTAAAAATCTTTATATTAAACGGGTGGTATTAATATCGAACTCCGTCCGGATCATAAACCTTCTTTGAATAAAAGCGGTAAAGTTATTTAAAGCCAAAATAGATCGACAGCTCACCTGCCATCAAGTTCACACCCCAGGCTTCTTTTTCTATGATAAAAAAAAACTGATAACACGATTAAAAGCTATCGTGGTTTTGAGGCCCGCCTGTAGCTTTAAGCATGTTTCTAATTTACTTGAACAATAAGTAAGTAAATACTTACCATATTTCTCGAGTCGTCGAGTCTTATATCCCGCACATGGCGGTGAGACGCGCGCTGAGCTGCACGGGGAACTGATCGGTAAAACGGCGCCAGTTCTCCTCCCCCACTTGGTTCTTGAACCCATGCAGGATCTTGGTGAACATCTCTTTCAGATCCTCCTTGGGGTGGGACCAGGAGGCGACCGCGTCACAGAAGAACATGAAGTCGGGTACCACGCCGCCCGGGTTCACTTGGATCATTTGGCAAATGCCGCGGAAAGCTGAGTCTTTCTCCTCGTTGTCGCGTATATTCCTTAGGGAGGTGCACCTGTGTGATATTCGTTAGGATTGATGTGTGCTAGAGGTTTATTTAACACGTTACTTAAAGCCTCATTTTGTATTTTTGATACTTTTATTTTTTCCATTACAATGAGTTCGCTACTGCAATTCACTTGGCATTTAATTAAAAATTATATCGAAAAATTGAATTTTAAACCAACAACCGAAAACTCCTAATCTTCGTACTATTTATAAAACTTTAAAATATCGGAATGTCTTAGCAAAAATACAAAATGGAGGTAGGTTGACATTTCAAAACAAAAATACTAACAATAAGGGGGGAACGAAAAAATTAAAGCATAATGTTGTTACGATTGATGTGTAATAGATAAACAGTGACAGATAAAATTCATGATCATAGAAATATTAAACTAGAATATGAGCGTTCCAAACTGAAAGTAAACAATTTAGACTAAAAAGTTAATATAATTAGATTTGAATTGATCAAAGCGATCGTATTTGCCTTCCAGTTTGGTGAGTATACTGTGTAAACAAATGTAGCTTTAAATATATATTTAGAAAGCGGATGGTGTTCAACATATAGGTAACACGTAAAATAAGATGATCCCATCCCGTAAAACAATTCGAAAGTGTGCTCCTTCCTGTACATATAGAACAGTTTACATGCCAGCCTCAACATAAACTAGAAAATAATAAAACATATATCAATAAGCCAACACCATCCACGATCGAAATAATACTATAAACTTATCGAATAACAAATTAATAGTAATTGATAAAGTAATAATAAAAAAAAGTTTGACTACAGACCACTGGCGTACAAACTGATGTAAAACGGGTGCGACGTCGTGGGGGCACACATAACCTAGCCGACCGATAGTTATCGCTACGCCACGACATACCGAGAACAAAACCAATAAAACAAATCAACAAACCATTCAAAACATTTACATAATTCGACAGCAACAAATCATTATTACGAAGAGAAATAATTTACCAAATATTATAATATACCAAACTAATTAAATTAAACATACACGGGACGAAAGGTGGCTTAGCTTTATAAACGTTTAATTTTGTTATTTAACGTATATGGGCCCTTATAAACTCTATTTAGTATATATTCATTTCCATGTCTTAGTCTCTAGGCCACCTTTCCAGTCAGGCACACACTTGTGTTCTATTGGCGCTACTCTTGTGAAAATATTTACACAAAAATCCCCATAAAAACAATATTACGTAAAAAACAAAATAGGCTTAACCTATGCAATTTTTACTATGATAATTGTCTATATAAGATGAATTTACATCAGAGTCTGTTATATAAATTAGATACAATGGCAAAATTTTAAATAAATGTAAGTTAGTTATAACAATGAAAATAACATTAATCTCATTGAGAGCACACAAAATAATCTAGCAATGATCGATAGCGACCAACTTATTCATAAAATTTATGCCCACTACACAGTTCCAGACGAGTTCGGTAAGTTGATCGGTTAAGTTCGCGAAAGGTTCGATTAAAAACGTCTGTAAATAAAATAGATAAGTTTGCCTAGAGTAGACATTCGTATATATCTAATCTTCTAAATAAACTTAAAAGAACTATAACGAACGAACTTATTTGAAAATGATTTTATTAATTATTAGCAGTTGTGGTCAGGTGGAAAACTAAAGAAGATGGGTTAAAGTTTATGTGTAACTCGCGTACTACAGACCAGTAATTATCCAATTCTTTGTCATATTTCAAGAATACAACCGATAAGAAAAACTCAGTTTTATTGTTAAGCAATCTCTGTATTGTATAGTGGGCCTAGGAAGGTGTCAAAACTATACTAGTCTCTTTTACGCATTAAGTAACACTGAGACAAAACACAGGTTGGGGAGACGCGATTATGAACAAGATGGTCGTTTCTACATAAATATTTTATTAAGCTGTGAGAGGATTTTATTTTTAAAATAATGTTAGTACAATAAAATACTATTATTTTATTTAAGTTTATCACAAACTATTATTTATATATCTAGACTATTTTCCGTAAAAGTTGAATTTTGAAACAACTCTCTTATTATATCTAAATCAATTTAAATGGGGATTTACAGAAACAACAGCTTTTTTAATATAAATAATTAATTATATAGAAATTACTTAAATATGACAATAGTAGCATCACTTACCTGTGTTCTCTAAAAGTGTTTTCGGAGTGTTGGGTCTGTTGATGATTTCCACCAAGTGGTTCAACACTAAAGGAATATATTTTGACGTTTCGGAACCTGAAAATTGTCAATATTATTGATTTTACTATGTTGACACCAATCGTCAGTGCCTTGTACACTTTTACGATGACATAACCCGATAAAAGTTCCTATAGATGTGAACCGGGCGTCTGTAGAGACTATTATAATATGTAAAACTTAGTTTACCATGCTGGCCAAACGAGTTAATGTTCTACCTACACATTAAATAAAACACTTTAACAACCTTCCACCCATGACCACAGGGGCTGCGAATGGTCCAAAATGATAGATCGCAGTTAAGAACCGGTTAACGTGTTTTAAACCGTTGAAAGTGCTTTATTTAATCATGACCTCAGAATTGTAAAATAGACATAAGCACTCGCCTAATTTGATGCTAATTTCTCCAATCGCCCAGGTAGCATTATTACAAACGGATATTATCTCCGGATTTAAGTTCATGCCGAGGATGGGCAAGAATTCTGGTATATAGGGATGGACATGTTGAAAACACGCCTTAGTCAGGTCGCCTAGCAACGCGAACGAGGATTGTCGCACCTAAAAAGTACACTCAAATTATTATTAAGTCAAATTTAAGTAAACAAATTACCCGAACCCCTTGTTAGTAACTTGCTGCTTTGAGTATTTAAAAAGATCAATATTACACGTTTGTAGTTAGTATTGGAAAGGATCGGGGAATCTTATTTTCATTACATATATATCTAAAATCTGTATTACAATAAAATACATACACTAAGAAATAGAGAAATACCATAGTAATATGCCAAATATTACAGGAAGCATGATAAGAATAGAATAATAATGATAAAGATGATGTAATTTAATTAGCAGCGAATGAATTGTGTGACGCACTTGAACAGTCACGCACCTTTAATTTGGATGTTTCACGTATAAATGTTTACTTTGTATTTTATAGATAATATTGTCTGTATAGAAGGCATCTTTTTTCCTTTTCTTTTCTCTAACAGTTATGAGTGAGAATTAAAAATATGTATTACTAATCTTATCCATACAAAAGTTAAAGTATTTATGTATCAGAATTAAAGTGTAGTAAACACAAAATAAAACAAGTTTATAGGCATGTTTAATACAGTCAGTGCCCTTTTTTGAAACTTCAAAGCGAAACTGAACAATTAAGTTACTTCATTGTAAAGAACTTACTAAGAATTTGTACACACATATCTCTGAATATTTTAATTAGACTTTCTATAATAATATTGTTTGTATATAAGTTGTAATAGTATATAAGCAAATAGTGTACATAATGGTGGTAGAAGCATCTGAAACTAGTACGTGACGTTTCGAGTGCCGGCATGCCCTAGTCTCGCCCATGAGTGAAGCGCAACATACAGGATATACCTCAGGCATGGGATCCTGCATGCACTGGTAGAGGAGCTGCATCAGGTTCGAGTTGAGAACCAAGTGATTGATGTGACCGTCCAAGCCCTCAGCCAGACCGCTCAATAAATCCAGAGCTACAATCATGAAGTCCTTGTCGGGGGCATCAAACTGCTCAGGACTCTGGGTGTTTGCCTGTAATGTGTGAAAACTTGTAAAACTCCATTCATTTCTTCTTCGGTACCGCAGACCCCTAAAATACTTAGAATCCAGAACCCCTTGTGCTTATCATGGTAATAAGGAACACATTTTACAACTGAGGAGGAAGGAAGTGACATATACTTACAATATTTTGATTTAATGTTTGTTCAATGAGAGAAACGCATCTTCTGAATACTGGTTCACAGTAGGGTAAAAATCCTGATTGTAGGGCTGTCGCTACAGATGACAAGCACTGTAATGAAAACGTAATTAAAAATTGTATAGTAGACATTTTTAAATACTGTATGTAGTTTATGCGAGTACACATTTAAATAAAACACTTCAAACTTTTTTGAAAATTATTTTAACTGATATATATCGCGTTTTAAACCGTTAAAGTAATGTATTCAAATGTAGACATTCTTGTTTACTACATTGTAAGCACATTTTACACTTTTCTCTTTACTCACCTCAAGAAGTGGAAACAGGTCCTTATCTTCGTCTTTTAACACATTCCACTTGGTTATAAGAGGTGGCATAAGCAGGTTAATGTACTCCGGTTTGTTCAAGTGATGTCCGACTGAGTCAGCTAGCGTTCCTATCGCGTCATACAATATCAGCAAGTTCTTGTGCTGATATCTGCTGAAAGCGTACACTAGTGTCTGGAGTATGTGGCCTAAGTATGGGACCAGTTCTGTACAAGCCTCCTCTTCAAGCGTGGCGAAGGCAGAACACGCTGCCTCTTGAACGCGCTTGTTGTTGTCAAGAACGCGTTTTAATAGCTGGAAGAATTATAGTAACTTGTAGTAAGTTTATTAAGCTTCTTCTTATATTAAAGATAAGAAGAAGAGATTAGATTAATAGAAACTGTAATGTTATGAAACTTTATTTGTTTGATGTTTTACAGTCTCACTGCGAAAGCTGCTGCAAAACATCCGAAACAGTATTTGTTTAGAAAGCTGTCAGAATAGGTAGGGGTCGAACCCACTACGCGTTGTTAATTAGAAATACATTGCTACCATTAGATCAAAGAGCCTACTTTTAAACCAGTCTACTTGTACATACCTCTGTCATAACAGGTCGTAAGTAGAGGTCGTGTGACTGCGCGACAATCCAGTGGGAGTAACGGGAGAGAGTCCAGCAGGTTATAGCTCGGACGAGTGCTTTGCGCTCACCAAGACAACAGACCAAGTAGGGAACTAAGTCTGGTAAATGCGGCACCATACCGACCATGCAGCCTTCCGCCACCGCACCAAGGGCGAGAATGCCACTTTCCTGTAAATTTGACATGAATTTCAATGAAACTCAGAAAACTTTAATCTTTCATGTGTAATTTCACATGATGGCATAAAATATAAATTAATTATAAATTTAAACAAAAAACTATTTTAGATTTAGAATTACTTCAGGTTTTTTTTATTTTGTATTTTAAATATTTAAATTAAAAATCGATTTTTAATTTATGAAAATCAGTAAGCTTTTATTTTGAATCATGGAATTAAAAAAAAAACACAGTTCTGTATCCAATTTTTAGTTACATAAGGATAACATTAAGCGGCAATTTCCTTCCAAATTTTATTTTACTTACTTTAATAACCCAATCGTCATGGAAAAGTGTCTCTTTCAATATGGGAAAGAGAACAGGAAGTAGATCCGCGCCAAATACGTTCGCCAGCATGTCCAGAGCTGCCGCGCTGCATTTCCTTAGGTTCCAGTCTGACAGAGAGCTGTCATTGTCAGTGCCGTCGTCTTCATCGTCCGAGTCACCACCACTGGACATATTGCTGTCTCCACCTCCAACTGTAAGAACATGATAATTTTTAGAACCAGTACAACCATGTATCGAGCCTAACGCAATGTTTCAATAAATGGTCAGCAAACGGCGTGGATTGATCACCCGGCCTTCTATCGCCCTAATAGAAAATAACATTTGGTACATACCATTGTGTTTAATGGTGTGTGAGCGTGGTTTATGAAATCTAGGACGTATATCAGCGTCCCGATCGGGCTCCTGCTCATCAGCATCATCATCACGGTCACCACGAAGCAGAATGACATCCATCTCAGAATAACGCATGCCTTTCACCAGAACCGGCAGTAATGCAGGCAAACGAGGACCCAATACCTGAAAAAATGTGGCGTCATTTTTTTTTAATTTAAAGGTAATTTTTTTGACTTGACAAGAATTTTAAAAAAGGTCAAAACATCTCTAGCCAAGCAGTGAACATGAGTGAACAAACAATAAAAATCCACACATGGGGCAAACTCCATCCTCAATGGGGAGACAGGACACTTTTCTGTGTCCGATTCACAAATCAGTTCAGGTATTGATCAAACTTCTGTGCCCTGTCTGATAGAACAATCTATTGCCTTTTCTCTGGGTTATAAAAAACAGGGCCTTTTCCGCTTAACACAATGCTAGGCAACATGTTTAACCGTTTGGCTACTGAGATGGTTACATAACTAACACTAAATAAATTAAATTGTTCATCATTGTTTCTAATAAGCCAAATTTAAAGACTCTTGTATCCGAAACATTGCCTTGTTTACTGTATTTTAAGATTTTTTTTTACTATGCAAAAAATATTTTCCACTTACCTCTCTACACACATTCTGTTCAGCAAAAGACAGCCAAAATTCACAAGCCTCCAGGGCAACACCCTCTTCAGGATCTTGTGTTCTTAGCAACATATACTGTTAGAAAAATAAATAATATATTAAACTCTAAAATTTTTCATTGCTATAATTATAAAATGTAAAGTATAGTTTACCTCAATAATATTTGGTAAGTGTGGAATCAATCTGTCCAATCGAACTTCTAACAGTAAAACCAAAGCATGGCAAACATTTTTCCTCACATCGGGGTCTTCATCACTTGCCAGGTAAAATAGGTTCTAAAAAGTTACAATACTCAATGTTACTGTTGCTTTAAAACTATAAAAATCACACCAGAGAAAATAGATTTACTTAGTAATATTTAAAAAAGGGCTAACCAATCTTGGTTTGTCTTAGTATTTCTATACAATAAGGATAGAACATTTCTTTTTAAGAGCTAAACTAACAGCAAATTACAGAGTAGTGCCACAATGGATATTCATAAGCAAATTAATAGTACTTTAACCAGAAAAGATAAATTGGATTAAATACACAATGCTTACATTACTTATTATTCTTATATAAATGTAAGATTCTTATACATTTCATTCATTAATTGAAAAAAATAACTTAGATATAATAATTGTAAGAAATATCGTCTTCATACTATAATAATACATAGTTTTAAGTAAAAATAATTTTAAACTTACTTCAATAAACGCATCAATGTGCAACATGAGTGCCTGTGTTCTACTCATAATAAAGTAGTTGACACATGCAATAGCGTGGCATCTTATTTTTGGGGCAGAATGTCTAAAGAACTGAAGAAATTTAGGTATCATAACATTCAATGGTCTATTCAGTGCATCACTGTCAAGTAGTTCTGCTGTATCTTCACATATTTTTTGTAGTGCTCCAAATGCTCCCTAAAATAAAACAATAGTTTTAAAAAAATTTGGTTTTTAAGATCTAAAACAGTATAAAGTGTATCTTAGTAAAGATATTCCAAAATAGATCATGATCTTAATTGATAAACATTGAGATAAGAATATTTTAATCTGTACCTCGCAAACATTGTAATCTTGAGAGTCAAGCATTTGACATAGTAGAGGTAACAGTTCAGGCCAAGATGTGATCTCTCCTTTGCTAGCGATAGTAGTTATAATGATGCCTACAGTGGCTCGGATTAGCGGTGATGGATCACCGACAGCCGACAAACATTCTCGCTTAATGAACTCGGCGACCTCTGGTAAAAAATTGTTATAATGTGACTTCACATTATTTTTCAAAATTAAGCCACTCAGTGATCTCGTCGGTTCCTCTTCTGTTACCAGCTTCGTCAGGACATATATGAGATAATTGTTAAAATCTGGATATTTATTCAATTCCTCTAATTTCTGAAATTACATTGTTAGGAAATCGAAAGCTGTCAATGACTGTCATGTCGGAAAAATCGATTTTATCAAGAGCGTGGATTTTATAATTTCTGTAAAGATATAGGTGTAATATGGTCATTTATAAGTGTATTAAGAGGTAACCTTTAATATTTAATGTAAACACTGAGCAAAACCGTAATAATTCAAACAATAAACATCCACGCCGATTTAACCAGAACTGTGATTGTAAAAAGGATACTTGTTGAACTGCTCTTTGAGTAGCAGTGTCAGGTGATTGAGACTCCTTCAATAACGTTAGAATTTGTCTTAAACCTTCTTCCTCGGGTTTCCACTCCATTTTCATAATAATTTTAAGAAAACGGTTGTAATTCACTCGGTCCCGAAAAATCAACCATGCCAAAAATTTTGACTATAACTGCAGGGTTGCAAACTTATAAATTATATATATCTTTTCGGCAATTGCCATATACAACTGACCAATACCAATGTTAATGAGAAACATAAATACCCAGCTAGAATTAAAAATTAGTTATAGCATTATATTTTTTAATCGTACACAAATTCAATTTATTCAATCATAAATGTGTTGTATGTAAATAATATATCATATACCATTCATTTAGCTGTGTCCGTAATTCCCATGTTTCATTTGCAAAACTTGACAGTTGACAATTTGCTATACCGCTATGAGTACCAAATGCTAAAATAAATATAAACATTGCTAAAGTTTTTAAATAAATAATAGTTTGTGCGCAAAGAACTGTAAAAGTTCATATCGAAATGCCTAAAATAAAAGCGGAAAAAAAGTCTAGGATTCACAATGAAGTTGCTAAACAAGGTAAGGTTGAGGTTATATGTGCATGCCTCTTTTAGTAATTCTCCAATTATTACAAACATTTGAATGAAAAATAATGTAACGTGTATATTTTTTACAGGAATACAGTTTAATAAGGATTTTGGCCAGCACATTTTAAAAAACCCTCTTATAATCACATCTATGTTAGACAAAGCTGGCTTACGCCCCACAGATGTAGCTCTTGAAATTGGTCCTGGTACTGGAAATATGACTATAAAGATGCTAGATAGAGTTAAGAAGGTAGTAGCGTGTGAAATAGATACAAGGTATGATCTGAAAGTTAATAATTAAAATATTGTTTACAGCTATCTTTTTTATCAAACAATTATATAACTTTTATAGATTAGTTGCTGAATTGCAAAAGAGAGTACAAGGAACACCATATCAAGCTAAACTACAGATTATTGTTGGAGATGTCTTAAAAACAGAATTACCATTTTTTGACATCTGCGTTGCAAATATACCTTACCAAATCAGTTCTCCCCTTGTATTTAAGCTGCTACTTCACCGACCATTCTTTAGGTGTGCAGTATTGATGTTTCAAAAAGAATTTGCACAGAGATTAGTTGCAAAACCTGGAGATAAGTTGTACTGCAGATTGTCTATTAATACACAACTTTTGGCAAGAGTGGATATGTTGATGAAGGTATGTTTAAAAATGTCTGAGTAAGAGCATAAATAAAAATTAATACTCCCAATTCATTGCTATACATAAATGATAGATATGACTATCTCAAAGACAGTATAACTTAAAAAAAGTCAAGAAGATTTATCAAGCTCTAATGTTAGGATGCAGATTTTAGTATTACAAATAATTTTATTTCAGGTTGGGAAAAATAACTTCAGACCACCACCAAAAGTAGAATCAAGTGTTGTTAGGATAGAACCAAGAAATCCACCTCCCCCTATCAATTTCGTGGAATGGGATGGTTTAACAAGAATTGCATTTGTAAGAAAGAATAAAACATTAGCTGCAGCATTTAAACATAGCACTACAATGGCTGTGTTGGAGAAAAACTATAGAGTTCATTGTTCTTTGCATAATAAGGTAACACAAGTCAAACTACACATAATATTATACATATATCCTATAAATATTTATTGCAAGTTTAAGTGTTACTATTATTAAAATTTGTTACATACTTATGAAATAAATATGTATTAATAAAGGAACATTATTATTTGCAGGATATCCCTGAAGATTTTGACATTAAACAAAAAGTGCAAGATATACTAACTGGTGCTGAGGCAGATCAAATGAGAGCAAGAACTATGGACTGTGATGATTTCATGAAGTTATTGCACGCTTTTAACTCTGAAGGAATACACTTTGCATAATGTACAGACTTTATTTTATCTATATAAAGAAAACACCTATTAAAATTATCCTTACATGATTCATCGATTAAATTAACAACAAAAGTTTTTCAAAACGATATCAACTTTACTTAACCAATACAGAATTTTTGAATCCCCTGTCTGCATAATCAGAGTCACTGGTACGTTCAGACTTAAAGGGAAATCCAGGTTGACCAGGTAGAACCATGGGTTTAGATGTCACTACTCTCCAGCCCCCCTTCTTAGTCCAATCCTACCAAAAAAAAATACTATAAGTTAACAGAGTACAATATCTATTGTTACTGTAAATTAAGATAACAATAAACTTAAACTCACATTTCCTCCATATTTGAAATAGTAGTGTATTCCCAAAACACCAACAGCAATAAGGCCTAACTTTCCAGTAATATATCTATAATCTGCAGCTCGATTAGCTCCCTAAAATAAACAAAGGGCATATTATTACAATATAATAATAGGGTTTTGTTTAGGTTATAGTTATGTAATCTTACCAAAACAGGAGTAAGTTTATCAAACAAGACATCTAATGGCTTGCGGTAAAAACGTCGAATTGGATTAGTACGCTCCTTCCAGTATTCCTCTACATGAACCGGTTCATTGGGAGATAAAATTTGATCTTTAAGCCACTTTTTACGCCATTCTCTTTCAGCATCGGTCATACCTATACATCTTTCTCTTTCGGAAGCCACACGACCAGCAATGGTCATGGGCTTTACACCGGCTGTTTGAGCCATAATTTAGTTTTGATGCCTACAGTAAAGTAACAAGAAAGTTGTTCCAAAGAAATAATATATTAATGTTATTAAAATTTAGACATTTTACGTTCTGATTGTTTGATGACAATTGACATCAGCTAATATAGGCAACAGCAATTCATCTCAAATATGAGTGTGAACTGTGAAAGTTTCTTTTTAAATTGTGTAAATGTAAATGTAAGAAACGTTCTTTTAATTACCGTGATTTTTCTTATACCATTGGTAAAAAATCATAACCAAAATAACAATTATTATTTATACTATCACACCTTGTTATTCCCCTCATGGATACACGACATTGACAGAATCCATTCAGAATGGGTTTTTTCTTCTTAATTTGATAGAAGAAGAAGCGATTAATCCACAGAATAAGATTTTCGTTGTCCAGATTTGGACGGTAAACTGTCAGAGTTTGACAGTTTTAATAAATTATGTTCGAGTTCAGTCACTTGATTATTTCTTTTTAAAGTTTTTGAATTCGTATGATTTGTAGTATTCAATTGATTGTGTGTTAAGTTTGTATTATTGACGCTTATAATGCCTCGTTTTCACACAGTGGAAATAAATAAAACGGAATGGATTGTTCCGGAGCGTTACCAAATGCTCACCCCTGTGGGCTCTGGTGCTTACGGTCAAGTTTGGTATGTATTATTTATTTGGTACATAATAGGCAGCCTGCCAACATGCTTGATATTTCGTATTTTTATAATTTAATAATCTTTATTTAAATCCTTCACTATGTTGTTCATTTGGTCATGTTTATGTGCGTATATTGCTTTTCGTATGTACTTTAAGAGAACGGCATATGCGTAGGTGGAAAAAATGTAGGATTCATGCAAATATTCCGACTAAATTATTAATACGTCGTGTCTCAACAACATCAACTCTAGACAAGATGCTTGCTACCTATTTTCTCTAATCTAGTTATTTTGGTATAAGCTGTACCTACTAGATATTATCAAAGATTCTTTCAAAGAAGATGTTCTAAAAATGTTTTCTTTTAAGATTCTTTTCTATATCAAACGACAACAACAAAATTTTGCTTGTACAATTCCATAATGTTTCTTTACTATTTTCAGTTCAGCTATTGATACACTGCACAATATGAAAGTAGCTATAAAGAAATTGGCTCGGCCTTTTCAGTCTGCAGTACATGCCAAGAGAACATACCGGGAGCTTCGGATGTTAAAACATATGAATCATGAGAATGTTATTGGTTAGTATATGTAATATACATTCAACAATTAAAAGCTATAAAATGATTGAAGAATGGCTTAGATATTATTATTATTTACCTCTGTTTCACTGTGTTAAGTTAATAAATTATTGTATGGTTCAGATATTTTACCATTCTACGATTTGCAGGTCTTCTGGATGTTTTTACACCCGAAAAGAGTTTAGAAGATTTTCAACAAGTGTATCTGGTTACGCATTTAATGGGTGCTGACTTAAACAACATTGTGCGCACACAAAAATTATCTGATGACCATGTACAATTTCTTGTGTACCAGATTCTTAGAGGATTGAAGTATATACATTCAGCAGGAATCATTCATAGGGTATGTTTGAGATTGTTATTTTGGTTTATGTAAAAAAAAAACAATAGCTACTTATTCTTATCAGAACAAGATAATCCATTAAATTACCAAGAATTTGATAAGCCCAGTGATGTATGTCATCAGTGAAAGCAATTTTGCTTTTTATTATAAACAACAGTTTAAAGTAGCTATCATAAAAGATGATAAATATAAGTATTCCCACATTTAATTATATCATTTTGCTTTATATCAAGATAGGGCAAGGATGAAAAATACTTTCTGTTAAGTGTGTCTTAAAAGCTATTTTATGACTGATGAGAAAAGAAAAAGCCAATTTTGATTGTATCATATCGTACTGTACATTTTTTTTAAATTGTCAAACTATTACTATTCTCAAGCATAATATTAGTATGTATGTTTTCATAGGTACTGGATTTTTTGTTTTTTTTTTTTTATTTGATTGATCAATAAACTTATATTGTGGCTATGTGACTAAACAGGATCTCAAACCTTCAAATATTGCTGTCAATGAGGACTGTGAATTGAAGATCTTGGATTTTGGTCTTGCTCGACCTACTGAGACTGAAATGACTGGATATGTGGCTACAAGGTTAATTACATGTATTGATATAAAGTGAGGCTGCTAGAGGAAGAGTAGCGAGCGAGAGCGAGAGAGCAATAAGGAAGAAAATAAAAATGCACACTAATCACAGGCAAAAATGAATTTGTGCTATAATTTTTGTGTAACAATTATTATTGGTCACTGTGCTCCTGTATATTAACATTTATTAATCTACAGGAGCACATACAGACTATGAAAATATAAATAACTTAAATCATAAAATTGTGGTTAGGCTACTCTGCCTCTGAGGCCCCAAATAGAAATGTAATGTAAATGTATATAAATTCATGAAAAGTAAGTTTGGCCTATCTGTAATGTTATAGATGGTATCGGGCCCCTGAAATTATGCTCAATTGGATGCACTACAACCAGACAGTTGACATATGGTCAGTTGGATGCATTATGGCGGAACTTTTAACTAGCAGAACACTTTTCCCAGGAACAGACCGTATCCTTTTCAGCCATAATCAAGTTGAGAGGGCATATGTCCCAAAAAAAACTCCACATTCAATTTTATTATGTCTATAACTTTTTAAACCTCAAGACTTCTGTAATAATAATATTGAAATAGTTTGCTCTATGAAATATTTATTCAATGCTAAACTTTTTTGTTATAACTTGTGAAAAAGAATGTCACATTTGTTTTAAAGAGAAGATTGACAAAATACTATGTAGCGAGTAGACAACATGTAGTGAATTTTGTCTTGGACTATCTCTATATTTTTATGATTATAAAGTTAAGCAGAGAACCAAGGTAAGTAAATTTAATTAGTGTTGTAGTAATACAGGTGCTAAATAGGGTTTGTTGGTATCATCTTTTACGTAGCTAGTGTATTAAATTTTTTATCAATACTTTTGTTTAGGTGTATGGTAATTTTTCGTTTTATTAACGACTGGAACATTTGTTCACCTTAATAACAATTGGTGTTCTTTTGTTTTATTATTTCTTGCTTTGTACCTTAATGGACGAGACAGATATCCATCAACTGAATTTAATTATGGAGGTCCTCGGTACTCCGGGGGCGGAATTTATGAAGAAAATTTCTTCAGAGTCGGTAAGTTGTTTGTTACTGGGTTGCGCGGTGGCCTTGTCAGTAATATGTACTAAACGTTTACGCTGCTTCATAAACACGATATTAAACTCGAATTCTTACTTAATGCTAATACTACACACTTGTATCTAGTTTTTTGTACCTTCCTAAAACGAATTTTCGTGTGATCCTAGTATTGTTTGTTGGTATTAAAAGTGTGTAACTGGCATTAAATAATTATATGCCAATGAATTTGTAAAAGAAGAGTATAGCTATATTATACTATGTCTCTGTCACGCAAGTGTTCTTGACAGTTTGTATGAGAGAGACAAAACATTGAGTGGCTGTTCGTGTGTGCTATGTTCTTACAATAATGGCTTCTATTAATATTAAGGCCCTTCTGTGCTTGTCTGGTGCTTGTAACCTTAACGTATACGCATTCAGATATTGATCACCTCACAAGAATATTGTTTTTATGCGGGAAACCCGAGCAAGAGACTATAGACAAAATTATTAGTGAAGAGGTAAGAGTTTAATTCACAAGAGACCTTATTTTTTTTTACGGTTTATAGACAACCTATAATATCTAGAACTGTATAGTTAATTATATATTTTATTATTGTATAAAAAATATTATTGGAACAATTGAAATCGATATATTAACGTTTCTTCTCGACAAAACTAAAAACTAATGTACATCTTGTATATTATATAGTTAACTGTTTTTTGGCAGGCATGTATCTATTTTCTAATATATTAATCCTTAGAACATAAGCCCAAGAAAAAGCTTGCAAATTAATGAGGGTTTTTTATTTGTCGCTATATAACGTAACCCACTATATAAAATTAATTTTGGTTATATGGATCTTCTACTATATTTTGTTACATAAAAATTCAATCTTAATTATTTTGGTTGAATGAATAAAAAACTTTACATAAACATACATACCTTATTGTGTGCTTAAGTGCCGTCTACCACCTTCGTTCGAGTCTTCATAAGCGTTTGTTTTGGTAAAGTAGTGTTCGCTTTGTTCGTTCTTCCTTCGAACTCGCAAAAAAGAAAATCCATTGTATAGGTATTATGTACACATAATGACGAAAACCATCTTACTACTTGGCACTTGCATTTATTTTAATTGAAGCAAAAAAAAATAAGCTTAAAAAAATTTACGACACGCGCGGGATTTAAACTGGCACTAAGACCGTTCCGCGCCGCTGCTCTAACGAACTGAGCCAACGTCCAACACAATAGGAGATACAACGATCTTTAGCGCAATCGAATGCACTTCAGAAATAAGAAATCTGTAGTTTTTGTATTTTCGTATTTACAGGCAAGGAACTATATTCAATCGTTGCCGGCCTTGAAACGTCGTGACTTCCGAGAGGTGTTCCGTGGGGCAAATCCGCTGGCGGTTAACTTGCTTGAGCTTATGCTGGAATTGGATTCCGACAAGTAAGTGCACGAGTATGGACGTCTCAGTACTTACGTGTAAAGTGAGTCAAACTTGTGTTAATCTATCATTAACACAAATTTGACTTGCCATCCTTCCCCCACTTCTAGATGGGGTGAAATTACACTAAATGGTAGCATGTAAACAAGACGCGCTGACAACATATTTTGGCTTTGGATTTCCAGATGAAGTCGTTAGACATGTTTAAGAAAAATTAAGTATAAAGTCATTAGAAAAATGTTGGCTTAATAATCCGGGCCAATAATCACGACCCGTTGATAATTAGCCGTACATTGCTAGCATTTCACCAACGAGTCGGTCAAAATCAGTTTTTAGGCTGCATCGTTGTATACAAGTCTCAACAAAGACACAGCCATTTAAAGTGGATACCATAATCAAAGCAGAATAGAATAAATTTCTCCTAAAGGTTTGAAATATAAAAAAAATTACTATTCCAGGCGTATTACAGCGGAGCAAGCTTTAGCGCATGAATACCTAGCCCAATACGCTGATCCAACCGACGAGCCTGTTTCAGCGGCGTACGATCAGAGTTTCGAAGACATGGAACTGCCTGTTGAGAAGTGGAAGGGTGAGTGAAGAAAGACAAACCTTAGCAAATAACACGTACAAATGTGATAGTTATTAAATAGAATACCCAATAGACGATAGTGGTAAAATTAGGCCGCTAGAGGCAGAGCTAAATGCAATTTTATGACTTGAATTATTTATGTTTTTTTAGTCTAAAAATGTTAATCTAGACAGAATACCGAAAATTGTTAACATAGTTCTTACACAAAGACTAGTACCAATTCGTTCTTGCTAAGATAATTACGTATTTCTATTTTCTTTTTTATTGAAACTATGTTTTTGCAATAACAAAAGTGCTAAAGGCAGAGTGGCCTTATTAGTCTCAAATGTGATGCCATTTTGGGTACGATGCATCATTACATGACCTTCTTTATTTGAGATTAATAAAAGTTTATTAATAAAGATGTAAAATAAACAAATTACCAAGAATAAAAAATCAATTTTTAGATACCACTAATAATCAAATTATATATGCCTTTCAGAATTAGTTTGGACAGAGGTAGTTGAATTCAAGCCTCATCCTCAACACATGAATACAGTGGTGGAAGTGAACGCACCATAAGTCTGCCAGACATAAACCTAAGTCGAGTTTGTCTCCATTTCTAAAAATGTCCATATTTCCTTTGTATAATAGTCATATGAAGTTTGTTTTTGTTTATTGTGGTGTTTGCCACTAAATTGTAGATACATAGCATGGGCTCGAAATAATTTTTGACAATACAAGGCGGGGCCTTTTCACTGTTAAATATGCCATTAATTGTCTTTATACATTTTCTTCATAGTCATTTTGTTAAACATTTTCAAAGTATTACATACAATTCGTATATCTTATTTTGTGAAAAGAATAAAAGAGAAAAGATATGTAATTTTAGTACTATCAGTAAATTTCCTCTTATAAGTGTATTGGAGAGGGTATTTTGTAAAAAAAGGAGACAGTTACCAAGTTTTGCAATTGGGCTAAGAATTAGTATTAAGCCATATAGGGTAAAGGAATGTGTAACATGAAATGTTTGCACATATGCAATATAAGTATTTTATATATATCTAGCAGCTAAGTTTTGGGAAACTTGATCAATTTTTGCACCTTGCAACACTGCATACTGGTAATTTTGCATGATAAATTATTTCACTATACTTATCTATTGTTATGTATATAAATTGATCTTATTTCTTCCTGAAAGTCAAACTTCCCGAATACAAGATACTGTAGGTTTTGTAAATTTGGCGTGCAAGTATGAAAACTATAGGAAATGCTGATGGCCGAGTTTTGTAGTCGGTGAGGCAATGCTTAAATGCACTTTAAAAATGCGTACAATCAAGGTACTATGTAAATATTTTTGGAGTGAGCAAATATTTTTCATAAGTCAATATTGCGTCCTAAAATATGTAGATATAACAGCAGGGTTACTTTACGAAACGTGGATTGTAGATCGTGTAGATTTCTGTTCAGATATTTTTATAAGGCACTAATAAGAGACAATTTACAGTATACATTTGTAAGATATTTCTGTATTATTAAAAGCCGTTGGCAGTACGTTTAAGTCACATATTCTATACTTTAGTTACTTTTGTAACATGTGTTGAATAAGCTTCGAAATATTGTTTCTAAGTTCCTACGATGTACATTTGAATATTTTTGCTAAAGGTACCCCTTTTTCCTGTATTGTTTAATTAATGGTTTCCCAAATTCAGTTTAACTTTCATAGAGTATAATTTTACTTGTTAGAAGTGTTGCTATAAATAAACTTATTTACTTAACTATTGTTTTATTTAGAGACACCTATTGTTTAATTGTTAACCTGAATACCAAATATAGTTTTCTAATGAAAGAACATATTTTTAATCGCCTACTAAAAATGCCCATTTTTTAAATATCGCCTGTCGGAAAGTAAACCAACGTACATAATCTGTAGTACATTTTTAATTTAAATTACATGTAATTGTGATTTAGAACGTCATTCATTCTTACATTGTGGCCTTGTAATAATAACACATTTTTACAATATTTACAGATTCGCTGAGGTTCAATCGTATGCTTTTACATGTTTATAGAAACAAAATTTCCATGATATATTTATAGTTGATCAAATTCACAAATTAAAATAAAGCATTGAATAATATATAAATATTTAAAAAATATGTATATTTCCAGGTATTCAATGACTCCACACTCAAGATATTCCAGAGATTAAAATAAATAGTAATTGATCAGTTTATGATGCGCCAACTTTATTTTGGAAAATGGCGTTTTGTCATCTTTAGCTAGTAAACTAGAAAAAAAATTTGAAAGCCATTAAAAAGAGCCGGTGCCATATATTATAAATAAAATGTCAGTTTGCATTTTGGTTGTACTCCTATGCCCTATCTGAATACATACGAATATATCGCCATTCTAAATTTAAATTAAACCTAAAATTATTATAATGGTTAAAGCACAAACAATTTTCTAGTATGAAAACATTAGCCTGTCCCACAAGTATCACAGAAACGCTATTTATTTTTCAAGTATTGTATTATCCTGTCTATGTATGGATTGTGTGTTTCAGACTCAGATGTATCTGAATTTTCTACAACGCTGGAATTCGTGACGTTCTCTGGAACGGGTTTTTCTCTAGCCTGAGTCGTACCCTCATCAACACTATTAGGTTTTGAACTATTTGCTTGACTCGTCTCACTACCACTACTCCTAAGATGTTTTTGATTTGTCACAACAGAAATAGCACTTCTCAGTCTTTTACTCTCATTACTGCTTCGTTTACTGTCCATTTTCCTTTTATTGCTTTTACTCCTGTTTTGTGTTCCGCTGGTGCTCGGTTGATCTAGGAACTGTGTTCGTTCTGAATTTGTACTCTTCGAAGATTTCACCCCTATGCCCGAATTAGATTTGCGACTTGTGTCCTTCGTTGAGGCCGATTCGGATTTAGACTTTTTGTTTTTGGACTTCGATTTGCTCCTTTTCAGTTTCTTTTTTGACTTGTCATTGCTACTTTTTCTTTTTGTTTTCTTTCTCTTTACTTTTTTTGCACGTGGAGTATAGGAATCACTGCTACAACTATCGCTGCTGCTATATGCGACGCTGCTGCTACTGCTGCTATAGTATGAAACAGTCGAGGAACTGGGTGTGCGATATTCGGATTCGGAAGAACTGGATGTTTTTGTACTGCTTGAATTCGTGTCGGATGAAGGTCTCTTCCGTCGAGGTAATGGAGGCGTGTAGGTGCTGTCGTCGCTGTCAGAAACTGTAGGGGCAGTAGTCGCAGGTGTAGCGGTTGGGAAATTGGCGATCGTAGCTGCTGGGGTAGGATGATGTTGTTTTAAAGTTACTTTGACCAGAGACACTGATCTACTCTCTTGGCTTTGGCTGGTTTGAGGCTGTACTGTGGTCGAGGGTTGAGGGTCGTCCTCGATTACCACGTCGCTATCAGACTCTAGAAGATCAACAACTTCCGGCGTACGCGCGTGCGGGGGCTTTATATACCCCACCACCATAACCTCAGAAGAATTGTCATCTGTGTCAGAATGGGATATTGTTTCAATTGGAATGACATCATTTGTTGGTGGGTTTGTGTTGACAGTGTCGAACTGCGGTCTGGGTACGTCTTGTGAAGATCCAGCTGGATACTGGGAGCTGATCGGGAACTGACGTAAGAAATCTTCAATATTAATATCCGAGTCAAGACTAGAGTCGTTATCTGAACTCGATATTATTTCATTGATCATGGTCGAAACCCGTGAATCTGTCGTGTATTGCACATTTCTATCGTATCCCGCCATGTCATAAGGCGTCGATGCAAAACAGTACAGCTCGTGTAGGAAATGCTCTGTTCTGTCACCAAAATACCGTTGCGTCGCTTCTCTAAATTCTGACGAATTGATGTGATAACTGGGAAGCAACTCCATAATTTGTGACATCACAAAGCATATGTGTTGAACATTTTCATTTAATAGGTAGTGTAGTTCTCGCGTTAACCAAGGCACTAAGCGATGCATTTGAGAGTTGTTGTACCTGCAAATGTAAAAACTTGAATAATATGAAGTTAAGTATTTGTCTATAGTTTACGCGAGTAGTACACATTTAGGATTTAGGAAATTAAATAAATAATATGAAGTTATGAGAAAATAGTAAAGACATGATCAGTCTATGGTCAACCTGACTTGAAATACGAGAAAATGTACTGTATACCTGTAGAATTCTGGTGTGCAGTCCCTATATCTTCCTGTGAAATCTGGCAGTGGTCGAGCCCAGAGGTTGTGGCGGTATACCGTTCTACGGAAGTAAGAAGGTTGACGGCGTCGGTGCGCGGGAGGTTGTCTACGCGCATCCGTTCGGTTAAGAAGAATTTGTTCTATCGCCCAAGAGTCTCGGCTCGGTAGAGTTAGGGTTGCCCTAAACAATTAATTCTTATTATACTCAGATAAATACAATTGTGCAGAAAATATAATTAATAATTTGCGAGAAGAACCAACAGCAAAAGTGTAGGATGGCTTACCTAAATCTAAACCTTTGAGCAGCATTAGATATATTATCAATTTCAATCCTCTCAATATCCTCCACTTGAGTTCTCTGTTCCACCATATATTCCTCATACTGACTATTTGAGCGCACATTATGTATTATTGATTTAAAAATTTGTTTACATAGAGGACACTCAGCTTTAACCTAAAATGTGTACTTATTTTACAATCTGATATATTGTAACCTACATTACAAAAATGTACATATTGTTATTAAAAGTTTGATAGGAAAAATATTATGTTCTATTTATTATGTATCTATACTAATATATAAAGCTGAAGATTATCTTTGTTTGTTTGAACGCGCTATCAGGAATCTGAGATCAGGAAGTACTGGTTTGAATTGAAAAATCCTTTTTGTGTTAGTTAGAGCATTTATCGAGGAAGGTAACACATTGAGATGTGACTAATAGGAGCGAAGATACCTATAATTGTGTATGAAAGAATGATTTCCCTCTAAATGATCTAAATATATGTCTATCTTTTAAGATTAACTTGCAAGAACAACGGAAATAGACGCAATTGACGTCGTGGCTTAAGTTAATAAAGATGACGAGGTTTGCGTTATAAACCTTGTGAGAAGATTATTATTTTCTATCAGGGACACCCATAGAAGGCCGGGTGATCAGTCCACATCATCAGCTGACCATTTCAATCATTCCCTTCTTGCAAAGATTTTCTGGGTTATCCAACTCCCACCGTCTCCTTCAAACCTTCCAGTTTGCTTGCATAATCTTACTATTTGCTCTATCTTTAAGTAATTTCCCTTTACTTTGTCCGAACCCATATGGATTAGTCTTAGTCTCGAGTACGCAGAGTGGAAAGATTAATGAAAATAATAAACATTTCACCTTTTTGAACATGAAAAACTTTGTTATGCTGTTAAATCTATACACTATCATTTGTTGGTAGTTGCAATATAAACATTGTACTTTGGTGATTTAAACAACTTAACAACACTAATAACTTTGTCATCAGACCTGTAGGGGTCACTCCTATATAAAGCCTTTATATAATTTAGTAGTCAAAGTGTTGGCCAAGTGCCACATCCAATACATACAACAGCTGTCACTAAAAACTTACCTTACTCCATCTTAAAATACATCTAAAACAAAATTGGTGAAGACATGAGTCTGTGAAGGACTTGTTTTTACATGTTCCAAGGCATATGGCACAGTTTGGTGGAGGGGAGCTTCTACCACTTTCCTGCTGGGGGCTACTGTCTTCACTCTTTATACTGCTATCCCCTTGTGATGTGGTAGATAAGGTCTCCATTTTGACACATTAGTAAAACCTTAAAAATATTTATAAATAAAAAATAAAACATAGTTGATATGTATGTACATAGTATACATTTGGAAATATCACTTATCAGCCTCCGCTCTTAAAAAAGAAAAGTTAAGGAACAATTGGTATAGAAGATCACTGTAATGTGGGACAAAGGATATTATAACAAGTATGCCAGTCTTCCATATGAATCAGATAATTATTATAGTATGAAAATATTAGAAGTGCATACAAGCCTCTTTCATTTGAATATTCAATAAGGTACTATTGATTATTCTTTGGCACGTCATATATTCATAAATTTTGTACTGGATTTAAAGAGTTAGACTTCAACAATCAAACAATACAGAAGAAGAACATCTTTCCAAGCTCGATGAGTAAACAGGGCATTATTGTGCTTCTTAATACATATGTTCCGCTTATAACTTAAAACGACGATTTAACAAAGGAAAAGTACTTAATTGACGAACGGTGTTCCTTAATTTTACTTCGCTTTGATCGGAAAATACACTAGGCTCTGTGAATACCATAAAAAATAGTTCCCAAACTGCGACATTAGATGATATTACCGTATCGTACCGTAGGTTTTGAGAATTTTGCCAAGTACACACGGAGCTTAAGAACAGCCGGCCGTTCTCGCAAATCACATAATACACATATCTTCGTCACTTCCACGAGCCACACAAAAAATCTGACAAAATTGAGATTTCAATCAATTCTCTTAATAAAAAACATGAAAATTGGAAAAATGTGTAGGCTTCACAGATAACCCATGCATATTTATACCACATTTATACAACAGTTAATTTATCATAAAATATAGACTATACATAGCATAGCTGTCATAGACCCTAGATGATACGGCTACACCACAGATTCTCATAATTTTTGACTTTGACAAGTTAGTGTGCATTTACAATTTACATGTAAGAAAAACAATTGAATGCAGAAAATTATTTCCAAATTAGATTTTTGACTATTGTTATCAATAGATGCAGCGTCAAAAGTAGCTTACTTACAAATTAATATTAAAAAAGAGGAACATGGGTTTAATTAAAAAGGTATAAACAAGTTACTACTGTGTTAGGTATCCCTGCGTTATATAACCAATATTTTTATTCCTACTTTAATTAAATTTTGTTCTAGACTACAGGCCTGATGGGCCTCGCTGTAAATCCAAATCCTCATCATACTCTGGGTGCTTTGTATGGTAAAATTATAAGAACACTACAAAAAATGCCAGAAGAATCTGTTTATAGAAAGTACACTGAACAAATTGTTAGAGAAAGAGCCGCTGTGCTACAACAGGTATGAGTCTAAGTGATGTTGATGTTTCCTTCATATAATAAACTATAATAAGTGTTACCTGACAAGTAAAATCAACAACAATTACATTGAATAATATATTGTATTTCTTGTAGTTTCCTTACAGTTGTAAAAATAAAAATAACTTTTCAGACAAAGGATAGCTTTGAAATAGAACAGAAAATTAACTGTGGACAAGCAGAGGAGTTAATTATACAAGCTGAAAATGAGCTAAATTTAGCCAGAAAAATGCTCAATTGGAAACCATGGGAGCCTCTTGTGGCAAAACCACCCAAGGGTCAATGGGACTGGCCACCATCAAAAGCCTAATTTATCTTATTATAAATAACATACTTTAGGAAACATGAATATTTCACCTTAAAAAATATTTTAAAATAAATTTTTCTCTTTCTTTACTTATATATGTCTAGTTCTTCGAGTGGCATTCTTTCTTTTTAACAACTTAAAAGCAGTAGATGGAATATATTTGTGTAGTTTAAATAAAAATAAACATGTTGGAGACTTAAATTGGTTTTATTTGACAAAAAGAATATATATATATATAAAAAATTGTAGAAGTAAAAATTGTACAGTAAAATTATTTTTAAATCCCTTTGCACTTCCTATGAGGTGTTTTGTTTTAACCACATAATGATTAAACTATTTATGATGTTAACTAATTAACCTTTTAGCACATGAAGTTACATCTACGTAACATTTTCATAAAATTTGTGATTTAACTAATTTGCTGAACAATTTTGTTCCTCATAGGCAAGACTGGCTAAACATTTTTACATAATATCACTGTAAAAATATCAGAAAAATACTGCTATAAATAAAATTACACTACCATAAATTATTACTGTGTCTTATAAATAACAGAAGTATAATAAATTCATCAGGCAGCTTATAAACACATAGACCATATTATGTATCTTTGGTGGTTTATTATTAAACTTAAAAAGTATGTCAGCATACAATTTGTGAAAATTATATGTTGTAATGAATATTGAAATTAGTTTAACTTTGCAATGACTTGCATTTTTAATATTTTTATATATTTTGGCACAGCAAGAACCAATATAAAGGAATGTTTGTAATATAAAAATAATCTTATGCTAAATTTATATAAAATTTGTCATCACTTAGAAATGAATTTGTATTTTTTTTACAATTTAAGAAATACTGCCAATTTTGATTTTAAGTAAAATTGGTAACTAACTTTAATCAAATGATTATTAATTCCTTTTTGAAATATAAAACTATCAACAAAATCTTATTAAATATTATTAACTAAGTAATATTTTTCCTTAATAGAACAATATATTACAAACTTAAACACCATCAGATATTCTAACAAATAAATAACACCATATAATCACTTGTTCTAAAATAAGCCAATTTGAATTCATATTAGTTATGTAGATGTGACACCTTTCCTTGCAACAAGAAGATTTAATACTGGATGTTTCTTTATATAGCTTACAGCCTTTTTATGTGTCACCATAGTAAAGTCATATCCATTACACTGTAAAATTTTATCATGCATTCTTAATCCTGCTTTTGCTGCAGGACTTCCTTCGTGTACTTCAGTTACATATATACCCTAAAAAATTATTAAATTAAAAAAAAATCTTTAATTTACATTTGTAAATACTACAGCAACATATTTTGAGACTTACATTGTCAGTATAGCCCTGAGGGCTTTTGCGATAGTCTTGATCTATTCCACCACCGATCTTAAAGCCACACTTCATAACTTCGCGCCCTTCAGCATCAACACCAGCCTCTTTTTGTAGAGTTATAGGTATCTATTAGAATATAAAAACAAATTAAATGATATATTATTTCACACCCTTATAACTCATCCAAACAAGGTCTTGGGAGTGGTCTTCAAACTTACGCTAAGACACTCCATAGCCGTTCCGGCTTGGTGCTGAAAAGCCATTTTCGCCATGATTGCAAGTTTTAAACGTACTCGCACTTGAAGTAATTTGTTGTTTCTTTTAAGGTTTCTTCGTATTTCTTTAAGAACTATTCACGTATTCACCAATTTCAAACGAACTTAGAAAACGTCATTTACAAGTCACGAATCAAGATTAACAATAGAATGAAAACATCCGTGTCAATTGTCAAATATGTACAATAAAACAATAAGAAGTGTAATCCGTAATCATAATTGGTATTTTAACTATTATTAATTCTTTTACTTTTAAGGTATTTCCTAATAACAATAATTATTTTTCCACTCTTCATAATAAATAACATACAAGACGTTAGGAGACTGAATTCATAATTAGATATTTATTTTCTGAAGCTTTTTTTATTAAGTCGTCAATGATATTCCATCTCTCTGTATTCTTTGCTGTATATCTGTGCAATGTATAATAAATATTTTGGTTTTAACTTTTAACCAAGATTGGTATTCAACCTGTAATATAGAAGAAACAAATTATATTTTATTAAATTATATAATATGTCTGGAGGGGAATATAGATATGTTTGGCGCATCGCTTTTAGAAACTTCATTAATTCGTTTCGACCTCGCCAAATTTCGGGTAACAAAATAGGTAAGAGTGTAATTTTAAAGTGAATATTTTCACTAAATAGTACCTTATAGGCAATATATTCGTCAACAATGCTATAGTTTTTTATTTAATATTGTTATATTTTTTTAAAAGCAAATATTTTGCAGGAAAAGATTATATCGGCAATGAGTATTATGAAATACCAGCTGATCCAAGTCGGGGTAAAAGAAAGCCATCACGGTGGTATGATCCGCCAAAGGGCTTAGACTTTCAAGATCCAATTCCTTCAGAGTGGGAGGCATGGCTTCGAATGAGAAGGTTAGGTTACTTGTCAGTCCCATAAATATATTACGCACTTAACCATCACATAGGTGGTATAAATTAATAACATGTATTTTAGAAACTATTAATATTCAATTCCGATATAAATAGCAATGGCTTTATGCCAAATTTTTATTTCATTTCTTTTATATTATTTACAGAACTGAGCCGCCCACAGAAGAGGAGATCACGAAAAATTTAGCAATAGCTGAAATGAAGAAGATTAATGCAGAAAAACTTGAACAGGCAAGATTAGCTGAGGGTGGTGCTTTACCAACACCCGTAGAAAGAGGACCCCAATCTTACCCTAAATACAAAGATTATCATGTTGGAGATGTAGAAGACAAACATAGGAACAAATATTAGTATCAGTGATTATATTTAGTTTTATTTATAGAAATACTGTTGTGATATGAGGTAATTTATTTTCGTTGAATAAATAGTTACATTTTATTTTGTATTTGGATATTATTTGTTGCAATATTGAATTTTTACTATTACTTTATTGAACAGTTTATATCATATAATCCGTGATATTACTTAGATTTATAAAAGTAAGTACTCGGTATGTCTTTGTTGATTTTTAAAATGTGGTTAATAATGACGTTTACTTTAATAATATGAAATGTATGTTTAGATATTTTTTGGCGGTGCTTAGTGACGGGAAAGAAATTTTGATATTCCTACCACCCAATTAATATCTAGGTTTTCAGACGACAGAATAATTACAAATTGATTAGAAATTTTTTTGGGTTCAAAACCAAAACCTGTATAATATGTGGCTCGTAGAGGCAGAGTGGCCTAATAACAAAAAAACATGATTTAAATAAAGAGGAAAATGTTTTTATTTTCCACCTTATTGAAATCACTGTGCTTATGTTATATTAACATTTTTAGACTATGAAAATATAAATAAGTCAAGTCACAAAATTGCAGTTAGGCTACTCTGCCTCTAGCAGCCTCATAGGGTGACACACGTCAAGCCTCATCAAATCGTTCAAGCAAATGTTACGAAGCTTTATTTATCATGTAAATAATGTATAAACTATAGTATTAAACGCACAGAATATTAAGCAACTAAACCAATAGGTAATTAACTGCTTAGTTAAATAAAAAACTTTAAACGGTTTGATAAGAGATAAGGTTGCAAGTTCATATCTCGCGAGATAAACATTCTGCCTACTGATCTGCGTATAAATACGTTTCAAAATTAGACAATTCTTCAGTTCTGTTTATTATTATAGTTGTGTTAAGTGAAGTTATTGATCGTATGAAATAAGACGAGAATAGTCCATCATAACTAAAGAGGTTTTCGATTACAGAATTAATTTAGGTTTCTACTTTCCCCTTTAAAAAAAACAGAAATATATATTTTTTTAATTTCTAATATTTTAGTGTAGTTCGCTACGTTCAAGTAAGTTAATATCGTAAACAAGAGATGAACAAATAATATAAAATTATATATTAAAGAAAAAAAAACTTATAATTTGTTCTAGTTTGGAGCAAATCATATTGGTCTTTTATACCTTTTATATAATTCCTACGGGGAGGTTTTCTTTGCGAGCTTGTTTAAACATTAAACTATAGGAGTATACTATAATGAGACTATAACGATTTGATAACACGTGTTAGCTTGCGAACTTCCAAATAAAACATGTCTTAAGTGTGATGTAAGAATCCTAAATCTTTCCACGCAATAAATGTTATTAAAACAAATTGAAATGTTTATGAATCAGTTCAGTATTCGGTTATCTTTGTAGGAGTTCAAACGTATATTAATAGTCAATACTACGGGTCATTCAGCCAGTTATTAAAGTCAAGGCTAGCAGGTTAGTAGATTTAAACAGAGATGCTTGTTTAAAAATTTAATACATCAAATATAATTTAACTAATATATTACGCGTTTTAAACTGTAATTGTGGTTTATTTAAATATGTACTACTCGCGTAAACTGAAGACTAACTGTCAATAAAAGTACTTTTTTAATATCTACATTCAAAGCAAAGTACTGTGTTTTTAATACAAGATATACAAATATTAATTTTCGACGAATATACATTGTGTTATTGAAAAAGGGCCGCCTTTTTTTTAAATTTTTGTGGTCGTTATTTTAACACAATCTATTAAGCTAATTATAGTTTTCTATAAGAGAATTAAAGGTTCATTAATTTAAAACCTGTTAATAACTGACGTACAATCACTGTTTTAGTAACTTTAATTAAACATAATTTAAATCAAAGCAATATAATATTTATTTTAGATACCAAACAATTGTTATTTTTCAAACAAAAACTATTCTATTGAAATTGGCTTAATAATTTTTAATCTACGCTGAAACACATTTTAGATTTGTTTATATATGTTTTATACATGCGAGAAAATGCACGCAGCTTGACGTAGGTTTACATTGCTACTGAGCTTTTTCACTACCTATTACCTACAAATATCCTTATCTCAAGGTATCGTTCCTATTACCGGAAAATTTCTATTGCCACCGGCTGAAACAAGATAGAATTTTATTGACACCAATAAGAATTTACCACTAGATAGCTAATCTTACAAAATATTTAATTAACATAACACACAAGATGTTATCTACAAGAAGAGTCATATATAAGGCATGTGAAGTACTAAAGTGTACTGATAAGGGTTTTAAAGGATTGACAGGGTAAGTAAACATATTTGTAATATAATTCAGAAAATGTTTACCTTACATGAAACTTGTGCAGACATTTTTCTGTGTTCCTTTCGGCTTAATAGTCAGGTTCAAATGCAGGTTCATTAGTACGAGTAGTGTCTAATCATAACTGCGCGATGCGGTGAATCTATTTAATAAAAATCATGAGTTAAAGGTAGAAAGTAACGTATAAAAATATATTTCTTTATGACAGAGGACAGGCAAGCATGAGATTCAATATGCGAAATATCCCATCTATATATCTAAACAAGATGCGTTATCAGCCTATTTTTCTTTTGGGTAATGGTGATTTATGGGCCCTGGGTCAATGGACGACAAATGTTAAGATTAGTTTTATATTTTATTTCAGAATGGCGGCTCAGAGACAACTATCTTCAAAAGAAATTTTCGCTTTAGAAGATAAATATGGTTGCCGCAATTATGCACCACTTACAGTGGCGCTTTCTCGCGGTGAAGGTAAGGGAATTTAGTTGTTTGTTATTTTTATAAAGCAAAAGGATTGTTTTCCTTAACTTGTTCTTTGTTAGCCTGAAACTACATTTTTTCTCTTCGTTTATTACGCAATAAACAAAAATAAGTTAGGTACCTATACTGTAGGTATATTAAAACTAAAGAAAAGAAAATATATTCCATAACTAGCTTTGCCAGCGACTTCTTCCGCATATAATAGTTATTTTGGTCATCAACATTTATTTTTGCAAATCTACACCTCAATTTTATAAATTATACTTATTACCCACGACGTCGGTTGTGCTGTCGTTCTTGCGAGTTAATCTTAAAATAAAGATATCTATATATAGAGATAGATATACTGTCGAGGACATATTTTTAGATAATTTAATAAGACATCATTCATTCATACATATTTCATAAATCGTGAAACTCAACGGAATTACTCAAAGATAAATAATCTTCTTTGTTTTCCTACATTTCCCTTTAGTTAGATATATTAAGTTCCGAAAATGTTTGTAAAGATTTGCAAAATTACGTGTGCGACCATGCCCATCATTATCAAAAGACAACGAAAACATGTTTAACCGCTTGTGAGGACATTGATAAGATATTTTGAATTTATTGTGACTAGAAATATTTTTAGACCGTCTTATCTAAGGTTAAAATTTTTGCCCTTTGCAAGACAATACATGTTGGTAGGCTCTTATTTGGTTTTATCTAATCAAGATACGCCGATATAAGTACTTTGCTACATTGCAAATAATATAAATAATTGCAATACAATCCTTTGTATGTTTAATATTTACGGACAAAGAAATAAAAAGAAAATAAGATCTCGTCTACTTCATAGGAGGCAATAAAGAAATTAAATATGAAGTATATTTTTAAGTAGTTAAATTTCAAATATCGGACGCAAAATATAAAAAAATGTTTTCTATTATAATGAAATCCCATTGCCCTCCGTAGGGCACTGACCGGTTATTTTACAGGCAAGTAAACTTTAGACTTCTGTACCCTGCCCGACCGTAACGATCTATTGTTTCCCCTTGATTCGAACCTAATACCAGGCAACATGTATTTAGCTTAGGGGCGACCACGTTATATGAATCCTAATATATATAATAAGCCACAGTTACCATGCGATATTGTAGCCGATAAGTAATCTCTTATAGACAAAACACAATCACATTGTACTGCTGATTGCATATTAATGTTTTTACAGGACCATTCGTTTGGGATGTTGAAGGAAAAAAATACTTCGACTTTTTGAGCGCGTACTCAGCTGTGAATCAGGGTCACTGTCATCCTAGGATCGTCGCTGCCCTGAAGAAGCAAGCAGATGTTCTAACACTTGTGTCTAGGTAGTATCATCGTAGTATAATATAATATATTATAATTATAAGCTCTATAGTAGTGTGAAGGACTTTTTTTTTGTAGTCAGGAAATGCACTCCTTTAAAAGAAAAGTAGATATTTGTAATTCATGCCCGTGTCGTAGTTTATTTTCAATTTAATATCGATCCTTATAAGATTTATACTTTTACTTTTCAGAGCGTTCTACTCCGACAAATTGGGAGAATATGAACAGTTCATGACAAATGTATTTGGATTTGATCGTCTGTTGCCCATGAATACTGGAGTTGAAGGTGGTGAGAGCGCGTGTAAGATTGCCAGAAAATGGGGGTACGATGTTAAGAAAATACCAGAGAACCAAGCTAAGGTAATTCTTCGAATCTTTTCTATCGTTAAATTATAACTAATAATACATATATCACCAATATATCACGAGAGAAATCTCGTAGAACGATTTAAAGTGGTTGAAAATTCAATTTATATTGAAAAAATTTGATGACATGGCGGTGACTTGAACCGATATTTACGGTGATGCGTGCTTGCTGCTCTAACCAACTCAATTAAAATGTCACACAAGTGATCATCGAAATTATTTAACACCCAAGATACACGAAATGTAATTTGAACCATAGAATAGCATTTTTTTTTAATTTATATAATGCCATCACGTGTAACACGGTAAAAATTAATACAATTTTCAAGCACTTTAAGTAGGATTTTATTTATTAGAGCTTATTTCTCTTGGCCTTTCTTTTTAGATAATTTTCGCCAGAGGCAACTTTTGGGGGCGAACAATGTCTGCCGTGTCTTCGTCTACTGATCCAGATTGTTACACCGGGTTTGGTCCCTTCTTACCCGGACTAGCGCTTGTGCCGTACAACGATTTACAGGCTTTAGAAGTTAGTATTTCGAACTACATTTCTTTTATTCGTGAAGATCCCTTGGTGGTCGTAGATTCATATACCGCTTGATAAAATTGAATCTAAAAACAATTAGTTATTATTATCAGAACTAGAAAATTAAAGAACTGACCGGGATTCGGGATAAACCGGATTCTGATCAAACAAATATAAAAATTATAATATAAATAATAATTACAAATAAAAGTAATTATAGTACTTACTCATTAATAGTTATATTATATAAAGAAAATAACATGAGGTATTAATTAAGCCGTGTTTAAAAGTCTTAATTTCATGCTTAATAACTCCCTTTTTCAGAAAGAGTTACAAGACCCCAATGTAGCTGCGTTCATGGTGGAACCAATTCAGGGTGAAGCAGGAGTCATCATACCTGATGATGGGTACTTGAAGAAAGTACGAGAGCTTTGTACGAAATACAACGTTCTTTGGATCGCTGATGAGGTTCAAACGGGGCTTGGTAAGGATTATTGAGTTTTTTTTTATAATACAGGAGGACAGACAAACAACCCCAAAACAACATGTTTGTCTGATGGTACCTGAAATACCAGGCGAAATATGACGCGATGTCGACCTATTTCGGCTTTGGATATTACGATAGTCCCGCATGGCATCTGATCATGATTACTTTAGCTGAAAAGTATAGGACATTGAACTTTAATTCGTAAGTGAAGGTTGAAATTACAATGCGCAAGAGGTGCAATACCTATGCAGATCAATATTGCAAACCGGTTCATGTCCCGCCTGTTACATTTTTTTAATGTCAAATAATTCCAAATAAACATGTACTCAGATATATTTCATCATTACTTAAATGATCTTCAGAGTAAAATATACAACATAAATTGGTACAAACCCAACTAACCAACGTTTCCTTAGTTGCTGGAAAAGTTATTTTTGATTGTAACTTATTTTATATACAGGACGGACTGGCAAGCTCCTGGCTGTGGAACATGAAGGTGTAAAGCCAGACATCCTTATTTTGGGCAAAGCTTTGAGTGGAGGAATCATGCCGGTGTCTGCTGTCCTTGCAAACAATAATGTGATGGACGTAAGTTGAAAATTAAATAACAATATTTAGTGTGAATATAGACTATTATCGGTTTAAAACGCGAAAAATATTAGATAACTTATTTCTAATTTTAACTATGAACCCAGGGTTTCGGATGCTTCGAATTTCCCCTTAGTGTTTAGTTCTGTTAGTAAGGAGTTTTGCTATCATTATATTTTTACAGGTAATCAAACCCGGTACACATGGATCTACGTATGGTGGAAATCCGTTAGCATGTGCAGTTGCAACTGAAGCTATCAAGGTAAGATAAAGCATTGCTATATAATAGTGAATTGAAAAACTGTTGATATTATATTGGTTTGTTCGGAAAGTCATTTCGTTTTTTTGGGGAACATGAAAGACAGTTTTCGTATAATGAATAAATATTTTATTAAATTATATATTGGCCATTCTGATCCAACACCTTTTGCCATCTCGTGTGGTTATTCGCCGATTTGCATCAACTAATGCCTTTGTCAGCTTCGACCGGCCTTCCAGACCGTGGTGCATCTTCAACATCAAAATTGCCGGATCAAAATTTTGCGAACCAGTTCTGGCACTGGCGTACTGTTAACACGCCTTCTCCATACACATCCGTCAATTTTTTTCTCGCTTGGACAGTATTTTTTACCTTTTCTGAAGTAAAAATGCTGCTTAGTGCTCTCCATATTTAAAAGGGCACCAACCAAAAACTACTGTGTAGAATTAATAGAACTTTTTCACACACAAGCCTTGCAATATCAGCTCTCAAGACATATAATGGTTATGCGGCTTAAGTGTGAAGTTGGTTTCGAAAAGACGTATTAAGTCCTCTGACGGGAAAAACGAAATTACTTTCCGAACAACCTATTAAAAAGGAAATAATAGTGAAAAAATAGAAATAGGATATTTTTTTTAAATTAATTTATAAAATCACACTTTGTATGAAAATAAATAAAAATGATTCATTTAACGTGTACAGGTATTACTTGAAGAAAAGTTAATAGAGAACGCAGCGAAGCTAGAATCGGTGTTCCGGGAAGAGCTGGAGAAGATCCCAAAACACATGATCACCGCCATTAGAGGCAGAGGACTCATGTTTGCCATTGATGTCCATGACAGTAAGTATTCAGGCGAATTTTATACCAGTTAAATGTGAAAGATGCTTACATGTTGAAATTTTTCTATAAATATGTCATAGAAAAACTTTCTTTTCTTATTGACTTGTCACTGTTTCCTCAATAAATTATCTAAAAAAATGATCTCGCTGGCACAGCTAGTTTACAATATGGTCTTAACTTTTCCCCTTTTCACAGGTATTCCAGCATACGGTGTATGCCAGAAACTCAAGGAGGCAGGTCTCCTTGCTAAGACCACCCATGGACAAACCATTCGTCTTGCACCACCTCTAGTTATAACTGAGCAACAGCTGCGAGATGGCGCTCGCGTCATTCAAAACGTTTTTCAGTCTTATTAATTAAATGATAAGCATTTCACAGAAGTAATCGGACCCTATTTTTTCACAGAGACCGCGAAGGTTTTATTGATAAGTCGCTGGCACCAAAATATTATATTCTATCTCTCTTTACTTTATAAGAGACATTAAGTGTGCACAATATAGTACAGTCATTTTAAACCCCCATCCACAGATAGAACCTAAATTGACTGTACCAATAAATTAAATTATGATTTGTATTTTAAATCTAAGTACGTTACCTTATACATAAATGATTTTGTATTTATACATATTTCGCATTTTATTTATTTATTTTATAAATATTCATATATAAAATATCTAGATCTGGAATATAAGATTGCTACAGAATCTATTGCAGAGTAAATAAGATTCCTGCCAGTTTTTTTTATCCTGGCTGGAAATAAATTCGATGAGATGAAAAAGATATAACTTACATAATAGACAATAAAGTACATGACTGAGTACACACAATATAGCTCTAAAAAGTATAGGAATGCGACTAACGTCTGTAACTTAACATCTTACGTATAAATGACAAGACGAGTTCAATAAATTAGCATATATTTTATTATCAATAGTGTAAATAATTTACAACATGGCGTCAACACGGTCATCATAGCATAAAAATCACAGTTTGTTGAGGTAAATACTGAACGTTACGTATTTTAACAAAGCCAATTACAATTAATAAGGCAAGGTCATTATTAAAAATAATTTATAGCCAGGGTTCATTTCTTAAGTATTAGTGGCCGATGCAATTTGAGCTCTCTTCCAAGGGATTAGATAGCTATATCGAGTACGCCGACTTGTGCTCTCATGGTGTCCATCAATTTAGCAAGCAGAACACTCTCGTCTAAACTCATTTTCGGACTTTCTAGTAAACCTGAAATAAATATAAAATTGTTAAATAAATTGAAAAGGTAAAGCGAGACACCTTCTTGGTACACTTAAAGTACTTACATAAAGACTATATATAATGACCCTTGGCGATATAAGGAGCGGCGATAGTTTCTTGTCAGTTCTTAAAGAACTAGTAGTAAATATACATTTTGAAGTCTTTAGGTTTTAACTGGTGAGTTATTCAAAAGTGTACCTATTTAAATAAATTACTAAACGATGTAGGACTTGACTTTAAAAGAAAATGTTTATTTTGCCGCGCAGGCAGGTGCATATATTTAAAAATCAAAAATCTTTTTGTTTCCTTTATATGGTGGAACAAAAAACTCTTTCCCCCCCACACGGGGAGCCCGTGTCGTGGGGGGGGGGTCTTTTCCCGCAGGTGGGTGTATAAAAATAAAAAAAACCTATCAGATCTTTTTTTTCTTTTTAATTGGTTATTGCCGTCGTATTATCATACAAATAAATTGAAGCCATGATCTGATTAGGTATTTTTCATAAAAGGTTTGTGAAGAAATTTCTGGCGGGGATTATGTTATAGACTTAAGGGTGTTTCTATGTTATACTCATAGACTTAAGTCGAGAACGACGCGTCAAGAGTATATGAAAAGTGACGAAAAAAGCAAATTTTGCTTATGAACTGCAAAAAGTTACCAATTTTTCTGTTAGTACTTTGACTTAATATTTTTTTCATATTTTTCAAAAAAAAAATCCGGTAGCAGCCCGGTGCACAAGTAGGAGGACTTTCCATTTTTATCCTACGCAATTTACTCCAACGGTACCAGTTATCATTACTGATCAACTTTCAATAGTCCTTACAGCCACCATTGGACTGCTCCAATGCTGGCTGAGATGGGTCTGAGCTTTTCTAACTGTGTCCAGCAGTGAGTCATTGTATGACTATTACAACATCATCTCTTCAGACTTACCTTCATTTATACAGTCCCAGCATTCCTGTATTTCATAGCTGAGCCCAGCGCTATTGTGGAAGTGGAATTTGTATTTACCCTTCGGCAGTGTCCATTCAGTGTTATTAGCAGCAGATATGTGCAGAACCGTTGGACACCAGAAATAGTCCAGCTATAAATAACAAATTAACTGATTAAAATTTATTCTAGTCTGTGTTACTCGTAGGTGTGGGCACATATTTGTGTCTGATCGCTTTTATTTTTTACTGACTGCGGGATTCAAACCCAGGACCTTTCTAGCTTAAAGCAATGTGTTTAACATTTTGGGCTGCAACTAGAGCTATTATTTTTAATTTAAGCGTTATTTAAAATTGAAATTATTTACAAATAATAGAATTATCAAGTTTACAATTCTATTAGCATATTCTTTGTTTAGTATCGGTATGTCTTGTCATGTTCTTAAGAAATACTCAACGCTTCGTGTATTTAACCTCTAAAGTATTCGATACATATTGTAATTTTCGCTTATCTTTGTGAGAAAATTAGTTATCTTTGCTAGCGTCACTTAAATGTGAACATGACTTCTGGCTAGTAATTAGGTTTTGAAGTGTTTTACTTGACAGCTTATATTTTTAGAGGATCTTTTTAATAGATTGTATGTGTTTATTTACAAGCAAATAAACGCTGTATGGAGTAAACTACAAGATTTCCGGGACTCGAACCCGGGACCTTTCGAACAAAGTGTGATGATTTTTTAACCGTTCAGCTATGGAGACGGTCTTTACTAAATTAATGATTCTTAAAAATAAACGTTAAACAACAATGTTAGACATTAATGTCAATCTCTTAGTACTAGTAGTAGTAGTAGTACGGATCGTGGGTTCGATCCTCACCGGATCCAAAATTTTTCTTACTAATTTATAATTTTACTGAAATATGTTAAATGGGTAGAAATATCGAAATTCCGTCCCAATAAAAAGTTATAAAGCCTTTGAAAACATTAATATTTTTCACATGTTATTGCACATGAAGGCACTATATAATTTAAAAATCGAAAATAAATTTGAAAAACTTTCGACTCGGGCAGGACTTGAACTCGGTAGCTCAATTGGTAGAGCCACAGCACGGAAAGCTGACGATGCCGGTTCAAGTCCTGCCCGAGTCGAAAATTTTTTCAATTTATTTTCGATTTTTAAATAAGTAATAAAGCCCTCAAATTTAATCGCGTTTCCAAATTTAATCGGTTCCGGTATTGTTCGGTTTTGGTGTGTAAAGTCAAAATGGGTCGACAGCGGATTTTCTAGATGCTATACAGCTCGGGTGTATCATAAAAATGGACCTCGCATCGTCAAAAGATTAATTTTTAACCGACTTCAAAAAAGGAGGTTTCTTAATTCCTGGTATAATATATAATTTATAGTACTCACAGCTATAGTTCCTTTAGTCCCCGTGACTTCCGCTCTATTTAACATAGTTGCCCTTGTCTGAGCGGTTATGGTAGCTGTTCGACCATCCTTATACTTGAGGGAACACGAAATCGACTCGTCGACCCCCGCTTTGCTCAAATGCCCCGTGCATACAATATCCGTCGGAGGCTCCTTGTACACGAATTGCAGGAATTGTAACATGTATATACCTAAGTCTAGAACAGCACCACCGCCTAAGTCTTTCATTCTGGAAGATATAAACATATATTGGTTAGTAAGCAGAGATTGGGTGAAACGAAAGGACAATAAGATGACAAGTTCTATTATTAGTTTAATGTCCAAATCATTATATGACTTCTTTTCCGTCTGGTCGTGGGCGCTGGTTGGTGACCCGGACGGTATTTCGATAGACTTACTACAAATGTAATGTCCAGATTTTCAAGTCTAACATGTGATATAATGTATTATTACTTTTTTTGTAATTGGAATGAAAATGGAGGTGTTTGTTTGAACGCACTAATCTCAGGAGTTACTGCTTAGAATTCAAAAATTGTGTGGAGCGTTTTTCGCGAACATTAGGCTGCGAAGAAACAGTGAAGATTGTGGATAAAATCGGGGTATTCCTCTTTCGAGAGCTTCTATTTCGTGCGCTGCGTAAACGGTTTAAGATATCCAAAAATATGAATAACATTATTATTTTTCTTTAAATAATCTATCTTTTAAGATTTACAATCAAACAGATATAATTTAGAAAGCTAGGGAAGTTGTTTGCCAAGAAGAAACAATATGATGCCCAAAATAAACTATTCCAAACAGACGAAGTCGTTGGCACAGCTAGTAGAAGATATATATATTTTACCAGGACATCAGACATCGGTGAGACATGTAGCCTTACACAACACTGAGTAATTAATCGTTGATAACACTGAGTTTAAAATTACACCGTTATCATTAATCAATTATGTACCCAGATAAATGAAAAGCCCGCAGGCTGTTGCTTATAAGGCAACGGAGAGATGTATATACAATGAAAGATATATAAGGCCGCGGTCTCCAAGAACGCTGCAGGTCGCGTACAGTATTGTTTTTTTCTTTATTTACAACATATAATTAGTTAGGCAGCTTACATTATAAGTATTGACTCTAGATCACATAAAAAAAAATAATACTCTTTACAACGCGAAATGTATGAGATACATTTTCCATGTCCGCCGAGTTATAAAGCATCAGAAACGCTTTGCCTTAGAATGTATGTTACACTACATTAGATGCTATTATTCTCCAATTATCGGTATTTTTGTTGATAAATTTGACATTTCCACAGAAAGTTTTCTGTAAAATTCCAATGACACAGTTCGCGACCTTCAGCGTTTATAGGAAACCAAAGCCTTAAGCTTGACAAGCGCGGAAGCATCAAAAAGGTAGTCTTCGAACAAAGAACTGTCTTGAACCCAATTTAATCAGGAAAATGTAGAACCTTGGATGTATGGCATTTGTGGTAACTTTCCTTATTTGAATATTTGTTTTGTTACACCTAGGTACAATGCTACAATGGTAGTATTGATTTTGTCAAGAAACATTTTACATTTCGGATACACAAATAAGGATGTACACATAATAAAGTTAATGATACAAACGTGAATGATTGTTACGACAAATGAGTTCAATTGACACATATACACATATGTATCTACATATACACTTTAAACACACATATTTATGGGTGCCAGTTGAATATATATAAAGCCAATAATTTCAAAGACAAGTTCAAAAGGTGTTAAAGGCATAAGTATCAAGCTTTACCATTTTCCAAGACTTGGACCAAAGCGTGTGTTAATGTTATTAAAGACAGTTGAATATCAAAGTTAAGGTAATTCATAGTATATTACTTTATAAGCCCTTCCAAAACGTACATTAGTAGAAATATTATTAAACAAGACGAATAAAATTAATTTGAAATATATCTTACAAGTTCCTCTCTACGTCGCTAATTTCCACACCGAACTGTATATTTATATGATAGATGTCCCCAAGCCCACCCGCCGATATATGCTTGTCCAAAGCGTCGTAAGCGGGGAAGAACCGCGACCACATCCCTTCGAGAAGAAACAGTTTCCTTTCGCGAGCCAAGTCTACGAGGCTCTTCGTCTGTTTGTATGTCATCCCCAATGGTTTCTCGCATAGAACGTGCTTACCGTTCTCTAGCATTAACTTACTTATCTCGTAATGTTGCAGATTAAGTACGCTGACAAATACGATATCTGGAACAAACAAGTTTGCATATTTCATCTATGATTGTCCAACTTATCTGTAAGATTAGATTTCGCCCGGGCCTTTACCCGGGTGTCTAAGGCCTTTGACTTTAAGCCATTAAATCAACGATCCCCTCGTTAGTCTAATGGTAGTTAAGTAGGTATAACTACCATTCAACGTATCACTACCAGGTCCAACACGTTTCTACGGCCTTTCTGGTGTTTTCTGTACGGCCTTAGGTAAAAAGGGCTTGAAAAGATCTTAGTATTACTATAATCTTATGTCAATGTTATATGTTCAAGACTAAGACCTACCTATTGAGGTGTCGTGCGCTAGTGCATCATAGCCTTCGTAGGCTGTCGCGATTTTATGGAGCGTGGCTAATCTGTGCACACGATCTAGGTCTTTGCCAGCGACGGCGACCACTCTGTGCTGTTCGGGGTACAGGGAGGACATAGCCGTTAAAAAGTCGTGGCTTATCATACCCACACCGGCTATGCCCCATCTGAGCTGACGACTCATCTGAAACATGACGCTTTAATAGAATAACAGCTTTACATAACACAAAATACAACTAGTTTCGTCATGGAGGGATCGTTAAATTAGTTGTTTCCTACTTGTTTTTTCAGGAAATGCATCTTTAGCGTATTCCTAAAATACTAAAGTGCCCAGTGCACTAAATTGTATTTGAGGAGCAAAGAATTATGTTAACTAACTGAGTCGTAATGGTTCTTTCTGTTGAGTGTTCTTTTATATATATTATTAAATAAAAGACTTAGTGTACTACAAATCTATACTAATATATAAAGCTGGAGAGTTTGTTTGTTTGTTTGAACGCGCTAATCTCAGAAACTACGGGTTCGAATTGAAAAAAAAAATGTGTTTATCAGAACATTTATCGAGGAAGGCTATAGGCTATAAAACATCGTCCTATAAGTAATAGGAGCGAAGATACACCGAGAAATGTAACAGAAATTGAGAAAATTATACATTATCATGGGTTTCTGAGGCGTACGCTGCAAAAACGGTTTAAGATACCTAAAAAATATGTACGAAAGAATGATTCCTCTTTAAATGATCTAAAAAAATGTCCCGGACGCCATTGGTCTATCTTTAAAGATTATCTTGCAAGAACGACGGGAAGGTGACGCGACCGACGTCGTGGGTAACAGCTTATGTTTATAAAGATGAAGTGGGTTGCAAAAACGAATTCGGATGCCCAAAATAACGATTCTCGCGGACGAAGTCGCTGTCACAGCTAGTGGCATATAAACTTTCTTCTTTAATATGTTTATAAGTTTCGATATATTGCTATTTTGCCAATTTAATAATATAACATTTTAAGTAGATCCGAAACTATCGATCGATACCTGTTTATGTATGAGAGAAAAGAAAATTGTTGATTTTACTATATTCTTCGTAATCTTTCCTGACTACGAAATTGAATTAGCGCTTTTCAAGTTTTAGCGAGACTAACGAACAGCTATTGTTTTATATATACTTTAAATAATTTTCAGTATTGAAATATTAGAAGTACGTTATCCGTCGTTGGGTATAGATTTATTTTAGGAGTTTAATTTAAGACTTTAAAATATACTGATTAAATCAATACCTGTACATATTTACAGTTTTTTTTAATTATTAAGATATAACATAATTGAAATAGGTTTAAAGAGAAAGAGATTTGATTTGAGAGAATTATTAATAATTTACGATGAAAAGTAATTAATAATAACCCCACAATACGCTACATAGGTGTACAGATAACACTTATAACCGTAAAAACACAGATTTTTTATCTAATGATGTATTGACAATAATCTGAAAACACATAATTCGCTGATAAATATGAGATAGCAAATAAGAATCTACATTTTTACGTAAGTACCATTGATAAAAGCATACCCTGTCAGATAGAGTAAATTGATGCGTGTTTTAAACGAAAAATAAGTATACCTCCATGAAATTAGATCGTTAATTTATGCTTTAACAAGTGTAATTAGACACGCCATTAAAAACGTTTATCATTGAAGTATTATGTAATACATAAGCTGGTTATTTTACGGAATCAATATCAAGGTTTTAATCATTGGAATGCTAAATTTTGCGTATTGATATGTCTCCTAAGTTACTGTTAATTTCTTCCTAATATACCCTGTTTAGCTGCTTAAGAGTTTGTTTATTTGTTTGAACGCGCTTACCTCAGGAACTACTGGTGGGAATTGAGAAGTTATTTTATCGAGGAAGATAAAAACGCGCTGCGTGTAATAGGAGCGAAGAAAGGAAATGTGGGGAAAACGGGGAAAGTTATCATCTTAACATCTTTGTGGATTTCCGTGGCGTGCGGGACTACAAGTCTATCTTTTAAGATGGACTTGCAAGAACGACGAGATACGAACGACGTCGATGGCAAAAGTCTAAATCTATGAATATATAAGGTGAAGAGGGGGCTTGATAAATTAATTTTGATGCCCAAAATAACTAATCTACGCGAAGTCGCTGGTGACAAAGTATAGTACGTCATAGGGACAGAAGCGTCCCGTTAGGCCTAATGGGTTCTATCAGTGATGAATAAACTTTGTAAGCATTAGTGGGGAACGTTTCCATTGTCTTAATAGATTGATTGCATGATCATGTATCAGGCAATTTACTCTGTTTACAATTGTTTATGGTACTCAAAAGTAGCAATAAATGTTTATGAATGTTCTGCAATCACGTGTGCAATTATGAACAGGACAATTAAAATTGTAGTAGTATACATTTTTGAATAAAACACTTTAACGGTTTTAAACGCGATATATTAGTTAAACTGATTTTAAAATGATTTTTAACTTCGGTCCTACGTTTCGGATGCAGCAGCAAGTTTTACTAATATATCGCGTTTTAAACCGTTCAAGTGTATTATTTAAAGTGTACGTACTACTCGCGTAAACTATAGACAGTATTTAATGTACATTTTATATAATGTTGAAGTGTTTGTGAAGATTTTTTTTTAATATCTAAGTATATGCACTAATATATATACGTAAGTATAATAAAATAACTGACTTATTCAAATATTGCATCTCTAATACTAGATAATCAGGAAAAATACACTGGACTACAAAATATAATGTATAGTAAAGTAATCTTTAGTTTTTCGTAGAAATTTTCAAGAGTATTGTAATAGCAGAACCCTTCAATCCAAAGAGTTTTGAAAATTGAGAGTACCTACCTACCTACATCGCGACGCGACGAAAAATTTGAAATATCTAATGTGAATCAAATATTTAAAAAGTTGGTACTTACAATCGTCACTTCTGGCATTTTGAAGTGTGCATACAAAATCCCTTAAGTTATCTGAAATAATGATAAGCTTGAAACTGACGATAATACCAATTAAATAAACATTAAAATTTTATAGGATGTAATTTTTCACATATAAGTACAATTATTAGATGAAGTCAAATTTATTAATGTAGGTAATTAGAACACAGTTTGATCATTGTTATATAAATAAATGTTAGTTCAATTATCGAAATATATTCGCAAAAGTAGACACAATATTAAGTTTATAAAAAGTGAGATTAGTCGAAACTTACGAGAATCTACAGGTTTAGGTCAGGATCAACTTGCTGCAAAATATTTAAGTTATTTCAGTCAAGGTAAATAATAAATTCTTTTTAGAGCCAGAACAGTCGTGTAATATAAATACTAAAGCACTAGCGATTAAACACAATCACGAGATGCTGAATGTTTTCAATTTAAAGTCTTTTGACAGTAGTCAATATGCAAATGTCAATGTCAACACGAAAGAAAGCTAAAGACACAGATGCTTTGCATTTGTTTTAATTCACATAAATATAAAAAAAATGTTTTATTTTTGTAATTAAATTTATAACCGTTTTTTTTAAATATATTAATTGGTCTTCATTTATTTATTATAATGTAAACATTTTTCTAGTGACAGTGACAGTAGCACATGATTGTCGACATTGTTTGATGTTTGACATTGATACTTGTGAACCTGCGGTTCATACAATGCTCACATATTATATATTTGTATAGATTTTTCGTTGTAAATATTATGTTCTTTGCTTTTACGTAAATTATAATTTCGTGAAATAAGAGTATAAATTTCAACGGCCGCCAAATTTAGTGTTTGCGAGTTTCCCTTAATGGAATAAACTTTCATGTCTCAACAATGTTTGTTTTGTTAAGATCATATACGAACACAAGGAAAACTTTGCTGTCATCAGGAAAATACAACGCAATTTTATTAAACAACGAAGTATTTCCACGACATCAGAGCAATGAAAAAGATGCCGATATCCCCGAGCTAATTAACAGCACCATTTTAATAGAAAATGGTTTTAACGTCACAGAACTTCCAGTTGTTATCAGAAAGCTAAAAAACTTAACACAACTAGAAGCCTCGGACAAGGGAACACCGAGTACCGCTGATTCTGTTAGTTACCATTTGATACAAGAAGAATTTAAACAATGTACTGACTTGCGCGATGTTTTCTCGCTTATCACAAAGTGTACAAAAATAACTCCAAATATTGCACTTGGTGCTATTGAGAGAATTCATGACTTAGAAAGAAATCCCTTAAATTTGCCATTAGATATCAAAGGTGATAACACTCTTTATTTTGCCAAAGGTGCCATTTTGGAAAAGCTACTTAAAGTAGTCATTAAAACTGAAGATACACAAACAATATTGAATATTTTGAAAACAAACTCATTGGTAATAGAGCCATATAAAAACAAATTTTGTGATGAACTTTTATTTCGAGTCACAGATAATAAGCTTAATATTGATCAGTTAATTGATTTAGCAATATTTTTGCTTAGCAATATTGCAGAGGAGCATTATAATGATATGCTTGATAAACTATGGATAGGTTTTACGGCTAATGAAAGTAGCATAGATGAAACAAACATTGTTAAAATATTTACAATATTACCAGGATTAAAAACAAGTAAGAAAACTGTAATTAATTTAGTAGAACAGAAATTGTCAGAATTGTGGCCTCGAATTAATTCAAATAGCATGCAAGAAATTATGAGTATGTTTATATCAGAAAAATACTTTAGCATGCAGTCCTTTGCAGTGTTGGGAAATTGGTTTTATGCACATATACATGCATTGGATGAAGACACATTGCTTGATATCATTACAAAATTTACCAGGCTAAACTACACAGATGATCACATTGAAGCAGCAGTAGAGAAATATATGCGGCTCAAAGGACCCAAAGTAAACTCCTATATTTTAATTGTAGGTATCTTAAACTACTGTATGCAATTTCAGCTACGCAACAAGAAAATACTAGACACATGTTGTGATCATTACTTGAAGAATATGGATAATATACCTCCCAGTTTCTTAAAATCGTTTATACATCCCTTTGGCTATCTCTGTTTTAAACCAGTGACAAATCTCTGGGAGATATCAGAGAATATATTGATTGAAGTTTATAGAAAAATAGGTGTTGATGATTTATGTTCTATAATGCTCTCATACATATATGTTGGGGAATATCCAGTAAAACTAGCTGCTAAAGTCTTTAACCCTGAATATTATACTAAAATTAATAACACATCATTATTACAAAAGTTATATTTAATAGACACAGTTTTGTCAATAGAGTGTAAGGATTATTTAGGTCCTTTGATGCCAAAAGACCAGTGGCCTAAGCCAGTGAAACAAAATCAAAGAGTCTATAATTTAGTTGAAAAGATAAAAGACATGATCGGTGAAATATTCGGTAAGGACAGGGTGTCCACTGGAGTACTTGTCCCAAATTACTGTTCTGATGAGAATTTTGTCATTGATATCATGTTGCACCCATTTGGTTTAGGGAGCGATACATTTAATTGGAAATTGAAGTCTACAAAGAATGAAAATATAGCTCTGCTGATACATTTGCCGGATCACTATTGTAGTAAAAGTGAACAACTTATAGGCCCTCAAATAATGAAAAAGAGACATTTGGAAATATTGGGTTTCAAAGTTGTTAGTCTGAAATACTCTGTTGTAAGTCACCTTTATATGTCATATAAGAATAAGGAGTTAAAGAAGTACTTGATAGAAAGTGTTGAGGAAATAAGCAGTCATTAAGTCAGTAAGGAGAAATATATCATGATTGTTATGTTATATAAACATATTTACGATAAATTTTAATTGTCAATTATTATTATAACTGTAATATATAAGACGAAATTGTCTCTGTCTCTCCATTAATCTGTGATATATTATATTGTAATAGTACCTAAGTGTAATATTTTTCTAGTCTATACATTTTTAAATACAAAAAATGTACACAAATGTTGTTTTATTTCTATATTAATAATGAAATTCGAAAAAAAAACAATTTAATAAGTTTAATTACTTTATTATATTTATAACATTTTCTTAGTATATTCACTGTCTAATTTACTAAAATTATTATTTGAATAGGTATTTTTAATAATTTCTTAGCTTAAACAATCGAATTAGACATTACGTACATTACTTATAATATTGAATGTTTCATTAAAAATAGAATACAGAATTCGGTAGATAACTTCGCGAAAGACAAAATAAATAGAATTACTTACGGATAAGACACTGGTTAAAATAGAGTACCTAGTGTTATTGACGGTAGAAACAAATATCTATGGAATAGATACTTGCCTCGTACGGCAAAGCTATATAACCTTACAGCAGTTAAATCTGCGCAAGAGCTTTAAAAGTTGCATACTAAATACATGAGACAGGTAAGCAGAAGTTACAATATTCATCTAGGATGTATACAGAAGACGTTGATAGTTAGAAACAATAGGAATTCTATAATTTTTAGCCAAAGTATGTATGTATCACAGTGGCTCTAGCTTGTTTGCTTGATTAATTTATCCGTTTAGGCTCACAGCCTGAATCTAATAAGTGATTTTAATATAACAAGACACTCGACAGAAATACAAACACTGATATTCTACTTATCTAGTATGTACGCGACAATGAATTGTGCATTTTCGTACTCGAGGAATTTCAAGCTAGAATGACCATTGACCATGATTAGTTACGGGTGCGTTAGCCACACAAACTAGATCATTCTATGTACACTGTACAGGATTTGATACAATCGCCCAGAAAAGCGTGAATATTAACCGAATTATTCGTGACTGTATTTGGCACACTTATAAGGATTCAAATGATGTAATTTAGACTTATTTGATATTAACTACTAATGTCTCAGCTGACGATAATACTTTTGAATGTAACACAATTAGTAAAGGGAAAACAGCGCAGTTAGATATTGAGACAATCTATACTATACAATGAACTACCTACATAATCTTTTCAATCTTAAACCTTTGCTGCATGATAGTATTGCCATAATTATTAAATTTGAGAATATTTTAAATAAATATGTTTTTATCTGATTGAACATAATATCATATATTTTAATTTATTGTTTAAGTATAACCTGTTTTGAATAAATCACTTAGTGATGTCGCATAAAATAAATTTCTTTGTTTCGTTTCCGTAAATACGCATTATATTACTTAATTTTATTAAGTGAAATCTGATTATAATTTCTCGTTTTATACTCTTCTATTTTAAAGATCACACTCCTATCACTTATTTTAAGGCGAGGTGCCATAAGAATGCAGTAAATTATTCATAGGTAGGTATCCTAAGTGGACATACCTATAAAGAATGTACCTATGTCATAATAAGTAATAACCATTCCGATTTCATTCCATTATTACTACTAATCAATACTTCAATTATATTTAGTGCAGTTACTAAAGTAACAAAAACAATACATTCCTACTTCTGCTACTGCCCCGGTAACCCAAAATAAAACAAGTTACTTTAAAAGCTAATAATAATCGGATATTCTAACATGAAAATACATTTTTTTATTCAAGGTAGGGTTTTACGCATGGATTCTACGATTTGTTCATTATGTCTAGTATATTTTTAATATTTAAGGGTGTGACTAAATAATATTAATGAAATCTAGGTTGATTTATTATTTTTAAAACAATCATTTCTAAAGAACGGCACCTTTAAGATTCGCTTTGAAAGTATTGTTGAAAGGCAAATAATAGTTTTTCAGTTAACATATCTGTGATTGGGGAGTTGGTTATTTTTATTGGTTTCCTAGCTCAAGATAATCTGCAAATGTAGAATAAAAAAGCTAAGCCCAAAAAACACGGTTGCAATATAAATATAACTCAAAATGTAGTTGGAAATAAAATGGCACACAGTAACGTTCTCAATTAAAACTAAATTTGTCAGATACAAAACAGTGACAATAAACGTGAGGAAACGTTTATACTCTGTGGAGACTAATATAAAAGTCACACGTCTTCATTCACACGTTATACGATACTTCTATGAATATGATTACTACGAAACATCATCAAAAGTGATATCATGCACTAGTTTTCACATCTATTCGCTTGAATCTAAGCTAGGATCTCGAAATTTCAAACATTATCCTTAGAGCTAGCTTACATACTAGAATGTACAACATCGATATATATAGTTTGGCAGTCATCTAACGCTTTTCGCAGTGCTTACTAGTATAATTAAGATGTTATTTTAAATAAATTGACGTATTAATTCATTCCCAATGTACCTGCTGGTAATATTCCTTGACTCTGCCTACTATAAAATAGGTAGCTATAGTTTCCTATAAGTAAGAATTATGTGTGACTTAGTGTCCCACCGTTTGAATATGTTTAGAAAATTATCGGAATACTATAACTTGATGCTATGCGCATATTACTGAAGGTAGATTAACTTCATCCATACTTCATATTATGATTATCAAATAATCCAGTTAACTTAGGCTAATTCACTTAAAATTAATCTCCGCTTATAACTAGAAGACATTTTGCCATCGACACGTTCGTGGGATGACAAAAACAGTATAAACGATCACAGTAAGAAATCTTCTAACTACGCGGATGTGCGCAAAAAGTTTACGAGTCAATTACACTAGATTACGTGTATCTATCTAAAGGTAGAGTCCATTATTACACCTAACGAATACTTCACATCGATTTATACCAATGATTCCCAAAGAAAGGTTCTCTTGTATTTCATGTAAAGTTATGGATGATTGCTTAACATTTTCCGCTTAAGACACGCACGGTCTGATAATAATAGAGGTCTTACTAAAAAGATTAATCAGAGTTTTAACTTAACATCATTGTTATAGGAGTTGTTAAATGTTTTAGCAAGACAATACTGTTAGGTTTTCTTTAAATAGTTTGGAGTATAAGTTGTCTGTACGTCTCTGTTCCGATTAAAAATTAAATCGCTGACTAGACGTAAAATATCCAATCTACAAGTTTTGAGTAAATAAAATTTTCTCAGTCCAAATATTAGTAAGTTGAGCAGACGTCTTAAGAACAGAATTAGTATGTACATTAAATACAGAATATAGATTGTAAACTCTAAATCTATAAAATAGCTTAACATCGATAGAAAAAATAAAATCGAAGGATTAGTATAACAATCGTAAAATTAAAATCGATATGGCATTATCTGTAACAAATATAATATAATCTACGCTCACAGCTAATCTAACGAAACGAACTTAGAACTAATGATCTAAGTAAGGCTCTCCGTTAGAATAAGTCATTCAATATAATTACTATACCCATAGACACTACACAACAGTGAATAGATGTCGAAACAATAGTTACGGATGTAACAAAATTTTCATATAATAGGGTATTTGGCTACATATTGAATAAATTGGCGTCAATATTCTGTCTGAAGGATTCTTGTTTTGTTATATGACGCGAGTCACGTGATTCGAATAATGGTGACGTCATTAGCCTGTAAACACAGTCTCTATATTTTGTCTTTTATATATCTGTGCCATAGCCATCATCTGCGTTTTGAAAACATTTGTCTCGGAAATATTCGCTTATTTTGCCTACTTTTAAAAGGATTTCCGAATTCAGTCAAATACCCTATTGCGTTAAATTTACACAGTTATCAGAAATCAAAGCCATGTAGATTATGCGAGAGATAATTTATGTAACATGTTTTTGTAAACGTCCAAAATATGTTTTACTTAACCGAATTAATTGTTGAAATTTCGTGCAACGGATTCTTAGACAATGCACGAAGTATATCGTAAAGTATAAACGCATTCACGAGTAGATAGTAATGACTTCTCGGCCTCCTCCGCGAACCATCAACACTTTTTCTAGGCCCTCCGTCAACACCTCCAGGAATTCCATATCTGAAATAAATAATGTTTTAAATTTAATACAACCACCATTACAAAATTTTACTTCTTCTATTCATCAACAACTACAATTATCAGTTGTTAAAAATATATTATAAGTAACTAGGACGTGGAAACTTGATATTAAAAAATAAGAACAGCAACAAGTGGCGTAAAAATTTGTTTTAAGGCGTTAGTTTTCTGTGCAAGACATTACCTAATCAAAGTATATTTTTCTTCGTAAGTCTTCTCAGATGTTTGTCAGGTATAATAGAAAAATACTTATACGTACAGTTAGACTCTCTCTCTAGTTTCGTGTCACGTGGAGGGCCGGGTAGATTAAGTATGACTAGTTGTGCGTCGTGCGACCGAGATACTATTACTTCGTTCAGTTTCACAGCTGTGTGCATGCGCCGTACCGTACCTTCATCCCTGGAAATTGTAAGTAACAATTTGTAAAAAAAAAATCATCTTACTTTACTTTAAATTTTTATAACTCTTTGATTGAAAATTAAAAATTCCAGTATACTGCTAGGCGGGACAGATTGTCACATATGTTACATAAAAAAAGTAAAGTAAGTGTTTTATTTAATGTGTACCAGTCATGGTCATGTCTTTTGATAAGTATTACATAAAAACTGTAATATTTTTCAAGGCACTATACATTTAAAAAATCGATTATGGGTTGGAAAAAAATAACAAAACGGGTAGGACGGGTAACAACCGGCATCCAGAGACTAACCAATTGAGCTACCGTGAAATAATAAATTAAAAAAGATTATATTATAAAGTATATAAAAAAAACGTCATGATAGCAGAAGGACTTACGGAGTAATAGTTGGCAAGTTAGGTTTAGAGTTGAGCGCGTTTCCATTGGCGTTGCTGTCCTTCTTCTCGGGGTCCGGAGGTGGCGATGGAGCTCCCTCACACTGCGAGTTTTCAGCGGACGAGTCCCACATTGAATCAATTATGTGCAACAAGCTACTTCGAAAGTCGTCCTATTCCGTTCCGTTTCAAGAATTCGTTCGTGCAGCGCCGCGGGGTTGCACATAATAGATTCAAGGCGAATAAAACACGGGATGTCATATATTATTTAAATTGCAAATCAATAGCTGTCTACGAACATCAAAACATTCATTCCTACGTGAAATGAAACAAAGAAAAGTGAAGAAATCAAAGTGAATGAGTCAAACATATGACCACCGTGTGTAAATTCGCTAGGACCCGCTATAGTATTGTGGATGATTAAATTAAAACTGAAGAACATAATGTGCAGATGCTTGCCGCTGATGATGTAAATGCAAGTATTCGATTTTAGACTGAAGAAATCAGTGACGCAAGAATAGTTACAAACGTCGACCAACATTGTATTTCGACCACTAGGTTACCGTGTGTGATTGATATTTACAATTATTTTCTTGTTTATATACAAGTTCTCGTGTGCATTATAAATTTGCAAGTATCAATATTGATGAATCCGCGCAATTTGCACTTACAAAATCAGTCCTTATCACCGTTTCTTATAAAGCAATATTATAAGAAATTGTTAAACGAAAGCGTAATACGAATTAAATAGGCGAAAATTATATATACAATTTTGTATAGCCACAGTACTGATCACCTATTCCCAACAGTCGCCAAAACGTAAATTATAAGTAAAATTAATGTTCATATCTGCTTTGTACACGCAGTATGTACATGCCCCATAAGATGATAGGAAAATGGAAGATCCGTTCTAACTTTCATATTCATAGGTGCTAACGTAGCTTATTCCCACGGGGTTTTCATTATCTTATAAAGCAACAGTATAAAAGCACTGATAAAAAATCGTACGTGAAAGATATTCACCTTATCATCTGCTTCCTTTTCATCGCTGTCAGCCAGTGGTGGTGAAGGTGCGTCGCTGGGGTTTGTTTCACTGTTGGGATCCGCGAATCTGACTTTACTTGCTGTTTTAATGTCAGCGTGGTGGTGGTCGACGATAGCTTGTACCTGATAGTAAAGAAGGGCAGAATTAACCAGTCAATTTATATGTTTTGATAGAAGAGACACATAATTTCCTAACGGATTTTAAAAGTAGCTTATAGCGAGGCCAAACTAAAAGGCATATTTAATATTAGCGTCAGAGTTGATTTGAAAAATGTAATTGTAAAACTAAATATTTTGGTAACATTTGAAATCCAAAATTGAACCAATTAAATTGGCCTTACAGTTATGACAATATAAAATAATATAGCGGTGTTCAAGGACATTAATATCGTGTTTTTATAAATATACATTTCGGGCATCCAAACATGTATGACGACATTGACTTACAAGAAGCAATACACCAAAAAGCAGTCAGTGCTTTGCGAGAGTTGTTTTAATGGTTTCTAAATGGTGGTGGTGATGAAAAACATCGAGAAATGTAAACCTGAACATGATGTAACGATCGCAGAGTAAGCATTGGAAAATATATTTACACAATTTGAAGATAGAAATCTAAAACCGACAATGACAGAAACTAATGAACTAAACTCCAAAAATGTTTAAGAAGTGGCCGAAAGGGTAGGTAGTATTTTACCAGAGGCAACTTCTCCTCGGCGTTTTGTTCATAGTCCACCAAATTTTGCATCTGTGTCAGCAGCGACAGATAAACGAATAATAGTTTCATTATTTGTACAAACACAATCACAGTATAGCAAGTGGTGTAATGAACAATATTACTATTAACATGTTGGCAATAGCTTAGTGTTAGGGAGAACTACTATAAAAGTGAATTAATTACCATTCCCAAAGTTTCTTTCTTGTTCAGTCTCAGTTCTCGAAGCATCTGGTTTCGTTGTTCCATCATGAGTGTTCGTTCGTATGTGTATGCGGAAATGTCACTGTCAGTCTGAAAAACACCAAATTTGTTATTCTTACATTCCATAGACATATGACATAGGTAGAATGGGTTTTAAATGGGAAAGACATCAAACTAAGAATAAGAAAAACAAATTGTTACTTTATGTTACGAACCATTTCTACGACTTCGACTTCAGCTTCTAAGCGCAGTTGGTACAGGAACATCTTTAGATCTTTCTTCATCTGAATAGAATTGTCCTCCATTTGGGCCACAGTGAAAATTCGCATCTTGCAATTTTTCCACGTCCGATGTTGTTTTAATAAGAAAGGTAAGAGCATTAGCATGCCTCCGTCGTGTACTATCCACCAGATATCAATGTTGCCCGATATCTTGAAAAAAAATACAACCGGTGAAATTATAAACATTTAACACGAGATGTTTTGGACAGAGGATAGTTAGGTCAATCAAGCAAATTAAAGGGAAGTTAAAAAAAATATTTCTAAATTCAGTGAGAAAAATAATAATAAAAAAATATATACATAGTTGTTGACTACCCAACCGACTAACTTCAAATAATTTCTATTAAATACCTTTTCAGTTGAATCAGGGAAGAAATTAATGCCTTTAGGAACGAGCATGGCCATTCGTGCAGCTGTAACAGCCCTCACGGTGTGCAAAAAGACTTGCCAAGTGCGATCATCTTCAGATTGTCTCCATCCATAAGGCCAGCCAACTACTACTGTGTTTGGTTTCAAACCTCCTAGACCGGTTGTTTGGACGCTGTTAAACGAAAATATAAAATAATGTCTAAATGTAATAATAATGTCTTACGGCATCTTTTTATGGGACAATGCAGCCGATATTCAAACAATATTTGTTTTACAGAAAAGGGCTACTAGAGTCCCCACGAGTGTCTGTCCGAGATAAATTTAAATCATTAAATATTCTAACATTAGCAAGTCAATATATTTATGAAAATGTTTTGTTTGCTCGCAAAAATGTATATAATTTTAAAATAAATGGCAGTTTTCATCAATATAATACACGTAGTACACAATAAGGATAAAATAAGTGTACCGACCAAAAGGCTCCATAAAACAAGTAATTATTTTCAACGTAACTGTATATGGTATTTTAATAAAATCCTTAGTGAAGTAAAAACACTGTCAATAAATTGTATGTTAAACAAAAACTGCTTGGAAAGGGTTAATATAAGGTAAATTAATATTTAAATGATGAAAATGCTTGGGGTATATTGAACGCGCTCTATTAAGGAAGAAAATATACACATCAAGTGCGTAAGGAATTTTAGGAAATGTAATAAAAAGGAGTGGCGGCGAGTTTCTTGCCAGTTCTTCTCGTTCGTTCTATACTCTTAACTTGAGAACTGGTAGTAACTGTAAATTTAGAGTTTAAAATTTTTATAGCATGTGTACAACAAACAAACACTTTCATTTTATAACTTTAGTATACTTATTTATTTGCTTTACTTCAGCTTTCTACTTACAAATGACTCAGTCCATCTGCAATGCTGTGCGACACAAGGACATCAGTAAATCCTTTGACCTTCTCATCATCCATGCATTTACGCAAATTTTGTTTTGCTGTAGAGGCTTCTCCAGCGCGTCTGGTAAAGTCTCCACCCAGCACAGACACGCACACAGTCAAACCTTTTCCTATATGTGAAATTGGCACATTAGACATTTCTTCATGAACTATTGAAGAAGGGCCATAAGGATTAGAGTCTTACCGGCTTTAAGCTGACTAGCGAAAGCCAACATTTTTCGGTACTTTGGATTAAGGTCATCGTTCAGTTTGGCAAGCACAAGCACTTGGGGCCTCCAGTTCTTGGTGTGCGGTGGTCCTTCTTCGAGACGCAGTAGTGAATATCGAGCAGCGGATAGAGCCAGACCACGGAGACCATCACCCCATTCCTTCTCAGCGCTGTGAAGAGTACCATATAAGTAAATTAGCATAGGATACGATTTATTTAGTAGTTTGTTTATTTTACTACTTGTTGTATCAAAAATACGTAACATTCGTTTTTTTGTGTAAAAACAGTGCTTTCAATAATTTACATTTAACAGTTTAAAAGGCAACATATATTAGTAAACTTATTTTTAGTTTATCACTCCATCTGCAAAGCATCCGAAACGTTCAGCCGTCGTAAAATATGTTAATTATTAAATTTCATGTTTAAAACCGATACAAGTGTTTTATTTAAATGTGTACTACTTACAATACTCAACAGTGCATGTATGTGAAACTAGTAGCTGCAGGTTTATTGCTGAGTATTTGTATAATAAAAGCTACTTCGTTAGTTTGTTATATTCTTAGTTACTGCAAATTTTCATACCCTCGATATTCAATATATTTGTATATCATTCCAGCCATGCCCATAGCGATAAGTGCGTAGAACCATGACGTCATAAACATAATGGATATGCAAAGGACCAAACCAGCAAGAGATAAGGACCTGAAAAGATTTCGTTATGGTATTAAATAGATCCCTATTTAAACATTTCTTACTTCTTCTTTTGATCTATTAATAGTATATTATTTTAAAAATAATAAATCCCACCGAAAACATAAATATAAAAACGGAGAGCCAAGTTCAATGCAATAATTATGCTTGGTTTGTATGCTTGTAATTCTTCATAATGAACAGGTATATAGTAAATAAAACTCACCAATGATAATATTTGAATCTAGGTCTCCAGTTCGGCGTTTTGAGTAATGTTTGAAGGGCACAAGCTAAATTGACGAAGCCATAGCACATAAGGAAGAACATGGATAGCAGAGGAGCCAAGATGTCGACGTTTCCGAGAAGGATACCGCATTGACAGATCAGCATTGTCAGGAGTAGAGCTCTGGAAATTCACATATATTTGTAACAAGCTTTTAAAGTCTCAATTATCGTATTGTGTTGTGTTTTGATTAAATCATTATAATCATCACATTTTAAAATTTGCAAATAAGAGTTTTATACTAAACGAAGATTAATTTTAAGTTCTGACAAGTGAAAAATATAAAGACACAAGTTTTCAATCTTGGTTATTTTACTAGTCGATTACAATCATCGAATTCCCAACACCTAAGCTAAGTATAAGGTAACTTCAATAAGTAAGTGATAAGTAATTACTTAAGAAAGTTGTTAAGTAGTTAGAAAAATTATGATCATTATTGAAATATCCAACTCTCCCAATCTCTATTTCATGAGTGGGTTGGGTCTGTTTGTCTGTGTCGTGGGTTTCAACCCTCATGTCATATTTAAAAACAGCAGCATATCATTGTCTTTCGCGCTGTTTCATGTTTCGAAATATGTAAGTTTTGCATAAATAATTGATTGACATACCGTGTGGGTTCGCCTCTACTTGACGATACTGCAAAGGGTGCAAGAAACGGTATAATTTCATCTTTCGCAATGGCTTGAAGTAATCGTGGTGCCCCAGTTAAAGACTGAAGTCCAGCCCCAAGTGTTGAGAGGAAAGATCCAATAAGAATCACCCATTGATTGGGCCATGCCATGTTGGCAACGACCAGTTTGCCACCAATGGACTGGCCAAATCTAAAAAAAGAAACTAGTGTTATTTAAAAAATAATACATCAATTCTAGTTGGCTTCCTCATTGCAACCAAAATAATGACACATAGATAATTTTTCAGACTGTTTATTTTATTTATTCATAAAATTCACAATGGTAGACAATCTAAACAAGCAACTCTTACTCGAAGGCGTTTTTAAAGGATACGCGAAATTTGGAAATGCAAGAAGTGATGGAACTCAAATTACTCTAAGTAATATTGACAAGTGGCTAAAAGAAGCGGGAGTCATTGATGGAAAGAAGGTTTCAACAACAGACACAGCTATATTATTTCAAAGATTTAAAGGTAAAACCATTGATTTCAAACAGTTTTTGACATTCATAGATGGTTTAGCGAAAGAATGCAAATTGAATCCCGAGGATATACTTGGTAAATTATCAAAGAGTGGAGTCCCTGGTACTTCCTATGCCACGAAAGTAGATAACGCCAATGTCGTTGCTAGAATGACGGATACATCTAAATACACCGGATCTCATAAAGAAAGATTTGATAAACAGGGAAAGGGTAAAGGTAAGTCTGGAAGGGAAGATTCAGCACAGAACACAGGATATGTACAAGGCTATAAACATAAAGACACGTATAATAAACCGAAGACAAAGAAATAACTCACTTATCACGAAGTAGTAGATTATCGACAGTTCCAGCGAAGAGTAGAACTGAAGATAAATACACAACTGATGTTGTCAATATCGCGCATATCGTTCCGATTGGTATACTTTTCTGGGCATCAGCTAAATCTCCTGATCTGTTAGAACCCGCCATTATGCCTATAACAATCACAATAAAATAAATAAGGAATAAAACCTCTTTGTATGTCTATATTGTCTTTCTTTTTTCCTTCATATGTTTTTTTGGATTAAACAGGGAATTCGGGAACAACAGGAAGTCATATTCTTGGTTGTGTGTTCGCTTTGCGTTTAAATCATTTAAAATTACCCTACAGTACAGTAAAATGTGTTTTTGTATATCCAAGGTTTTTTTACCTGTTACTGAAGGGAAAAATATTCCAATAAGTATAGTAAACGTCGTCGTGAGATCTGCGTATATCTGATTGTATGTCGGTCGCTCCATTTGTTCTATATCATCCGGTTCTTTGCCATAGGCTACGTATTGTCCAAGTGTAAGAAAAGAGCCTTGTAAATTGTCAAAGAACACTCCGCTAGCCAGACCCTGTTCAAAATTTATTGATATTATATTTTATTCGAGAATTTTAAAAAAAACAGGGATTTTTGCTGTACGGCTTTTCACAGCTATGGACTTAATATTTTAATGACGGTTTTTCGAAATACTTACACTTATTAATATCTAAATACTTCAGGCGTTAGTTAAACAAGTTTAGAATGATCTGAGAATATTTTACAAACATGCATAACCTGCTGGGAATCGAATCCGTAGTAATCAAATTAGTCGCTAGAATTGAATTAAATATCGCGTGTAATTTCGTTTTGAATATTTTCTATTATTACTCAATAAACGTTGATTATAGTTATCTTGTCAATACAGTTTTTATAAAACAGGACACAATTGATTTAAAAAATAATAGGAAGAGCTGAAAACTAAACTACAAAATACTGTCTATAGTTTACACGAGTAGTACACATTTAAATAAAACACTTTAACGGTTTAAAACGCGATATATTAGTTAAAGGCATACAGACTGATGCAGGCGTTTACAGACTGGATTGTGATTGTGGCCTATCCTAGATCGGCCAAACAAAGCGTAGCAACTCAATCAGAATTAAAGAACACGTCGCGGATATAAAACATAAACGTCTCAAATCTGCGGTATGCCAACACTCATCGGAAGGGCCCAATCATTACATTCGCTTTGACCAGCCAAAAATCCTCGCAAAGGAGAGTCGATTTTTTTCAAAGATGGGTGTCAAAGATGCGAAGCAATTGAAATCAAAAAACACCGAAATTTCAATAGGGAGGACGGCCTCAAATTATCAAACACCTGGGATCCCATATTAAAAACTTTGGATCCCAATAAACAGCATACCGGCAAACGCGAAGTCACCGTTAGTCAATTCTGTAAGGACCCGGTTAGTTTCGCCAAATACCAAGTTGACGTAGCATTTTTTTACTTTGACGTCAGAGACATCCTCCGTCTTTAGTCTTCCCGTGACTACGGCTACTGCAAAGCATCCGAAACGTCGGGCCGAATTTAAAAATCGTTTTCAAATAAGTTTAACTAATATATCGCGTTTTAAACCGTTAAAGTGTTTTATTTAAACTAAACTACATAATAAAAACTACCTAGACTTGTATTATTCATTTTTAACTAGCGTAAACAGACAGTATTTATCATAATTACCTTGATACCCTGAACCACACTGACTCCGTGAGTCTGGTAATATGGATCGCACGTTTTATTGGGGCAGAATAGTTGCTCCAATTCGCCGCCAGGATCCTTAGAACAGTTACTGATATGGATATCTTTCAATAGTCGCTTACCCAGCACGCACATTCTGCGAAAAATATAAATACCTTAATCTATAAACGTAAATGTGCCCTTATTGAGCCATGGTATTGTGGTACGGTAGCCACATTTATATATCCGATATATACCATTATACCTATATTCACTGATTAGTGAAGAATATACAAGATTAAAAAATAACGCATTATTTTAAATTTTGGTAATAGAATTCAAGTAATTTAATCTATATACGTTGGTAGAGAGTTTTTCGGTAAAGTGAAAAAAAAAGCATTTTTAAATGGTGTCTTGTTTTAAAATTATGCTATATTGAAAATAAAAGAGCGATTTTAGATTAAAAAAAAATTACGATACGGGCGGGGCTCACACACAGCGTTTCGTGCTGTTGCTCTCACGCGCTACCGTGTCTTACATGTCATGGTCGGATTTCTTCAACCTATTGATATTAGAACTCGCGTGTACGCTATTAAGACAAAGCATTATAGACACTCACTGTAGATTATCATTTCCATTAAAGTTGACGAAGATACCGACGTAAACAGCTGTAATCGACAAGATGACACACGCGAGGGCGATGGTCGCAAACTTATTCACGAACTTAACCCCGACGAACACCACCATTCCCATGATCAAGAGCAGACCGGTTCCATACACTCGGAAGTTGTTGTACATCGCCTCGGGGTCTTTCGTGAAGTCACCGAAGATGGACAACCAGGGCGCCATGTATGTCTATAACACGAATACGACCACATAATATTGGGTAATTACTGTTAAATTTGACGATAATGTCATGCGGGTTGTGGATGAAAGCCCAATTTCCCGTGAAGCCTATTTCATTAATGACTAACGTATAACACACGAATATACAAGTGTGGCAAATGTAACACACATTTCATTTTACATTTGTGTTTTGTAATTTTACAGGCGTGTGTAAAATCCATATATAGGCCTTGGGCCTTACATCAAAAAAGCTTCTCTCATTGTGATGTAAACTTAAGTCACTGTTATTGTGAAAAATAAACAAAACATGTAAAAAAATCCTCATACAACTTTCACAGTTGGTATAAGGTCAGTTTAGAAGTGCCTCATTTCCCTCGGGAGTCATGGGGTGACCATATTCGTTTCACTGATCGGTTCTTTTGATGACTTCTGTGTCCCGCTCGACCGAAACAATCTTTTGTTTCTCTGGGATTCGAACCCAGGACCTCTCACGCTTAAAGCAATGCTAGGCAATACGTTTAACCATTTGGCTACAGAGGAAGTCGTTCAGTTTAGAGGTAATTTTTTTTCTAGTATAATAACAAATAACATAATCACCAGCCCTTTTAAAAGTCCCGTAGCTGGGACATGTGTACTCTAAGAGGGTATATAGCCATTAATATATGTCCGTAGAGACGTCGTTTACGAGAGGTTCGTTTCCGAAAATATGCACGTCCCAGCACAGAACTCCCGACCTTAAAACCGTAAGTCGGGTGTCATATTACTAGACCCAAATGTCACGTAGGGGTTTAACTATTTTTTAAATTCTATAAATGTTAAAATAGTGTAATATCGAAGTGATATAATATTCTTACCAAGACAATCTCCACTGCACCGACAATGTACATAGCCGCAGCGAGAGTGGTTCCAGTATAGAAGAGCATGCCCACTGCCCCCCCACACTCTGGTCCCAGGGACCGTCCTATCATAAAGTAGGACCCCCCTGCCGGGACCACGCCGTTTGTTGCAATCGCTGACATGGATATTGCGGTAAGCATTGTCTAGAAAAAGATATAAACATGTATATTTATATCGATTTGTATATGATATAGGCAGTGCTTAAATCTATAGTAATGTATAAAGCTGAACAGTTTTTTTGTTGAAACGCGATAATCTTAGAAACAACTGGTTCGAATGTCGTCGAATAATCGTAAAAGTGTTTTATCTTTTATATAGTAAGTATATAATGTTATTTCATGTATACTTACTATATAAAAGATAAAGAATTATATCAATGTTCATTCGATATATTGAATATTTTTTTATAAAATGTTATAAATGGGAGAAGCTATGTAAGCTCTGAAATTCAATACATTACAAGTTCGTGCCGTTTCCCAAGACAAATTGTTCGAGTTATTGTATTCTGCCCCCTATTTTAAGTGGCAGAACGCCAGCGAACGGAAAGCCAACGATTTTGTGAGATTAAACCTTTGCTTAACATCTTGGAAACCTAGTTTCGTGAGAAAATCTTTGGATTGCTTTTTTCCCATTTCAATCGTCATTAAAATTTACAATACTAGACAAAAAAATTAGGACTCATAATGCTTTTCATTATCAAAGCTTTATATTCAAATGTTCATATTACTAACTACGTAACTGGATAGCATTAAACAATAAATAATGTGCAAAACATTTATTTATTTACAAAAATTCCTACCTTAACAGGTTAAACCTAATACGATAACATGATTCTTTTATGTATTGAAGTTTACGAAAGAAGTTCACATTTAAACAAAACACAAAACACACGTTGTAAAATAAATTAAAATCGAATTAACTAATATAATTCGCGTTTTAAACAGGTAAAACTGTTTTTTTTTATTTTGTTGAGAAGGTTTTGCTTTCAAAAACATTTGCATATTTTATAGTCAATTAAATAATATAAATTATGGGCATGATACGAATAATAAACATATATAGAGGTAAATGTATTAAGAACTCACCGTACAACAGCACGTAAGCACGATCAAGAAGCCCTGAATAGCACCAGCGGTTCCGACGACCCACGTCAAACGGATGAAGAGGATCACGCCGAAGATATTCTGTATGCAGGGAAGGTAGACTCCGATGAGCGTTCCCATCCGCGCTGGAGGAGCAGGTTTCGGTGCATCCGGGTCTGCTGCGGAAGCCGTGGGTATGGTGTTGGAATAGTCAGCCAGGGAACTGAGGAATGTAGCCGCTCGTGGTCTGTCTTCGATTTCCTCCTGTAATTGTTTTTACATTTTTAATTTTGTACACATCAAACCAATATACAATCTAAAAACGTATTTTTAAATTGTTTTAACGATTACCTTTTCCGTTACTCGCTTCGAATATAACAACCAACCAATTACCAACCGACAAATTAACTAAATTAAAAATTATAAATAAAATTAATAATGTTATGGTAAGGTTTTATGTTATGTAATATATATGTGTGTGTTTGTACATTGCAAATCTGTCATAATCATTATAATATAGCCTAGCTTATTATATATAAAGAATAGATGTGGACAGGTTCACTCAATAACTGAACAAAATTTTATCAAAGTAAGTCTCGCCATTTCGTCTGGGTATAGACATAATATGTACTAAGTTTAAATTTGATTCAAGATTTGATTTAAGAAATGATTATGTCGAAAATAAGTAACTGCCATTTTTATTTTCGTAACGTGTCAAACTTGTTTTAGGATTTGTACAGAAAAATGAGAGACAAAAACTTTCGAGGGAACATTTTGCACTCATTTGAAATTCTAGCCTCTTAAGTACTTCGTTACGTAAGACCTCTTATTTCACAAAAGTATTTTTAAATCTATCTTCCTTATCTTAAATACTGTTAGCTATAAGACTTTGCAAGTCGAGTACTGACAGAATAAATTAAGATTACAGTCCGTTTTCCGTCGCTTTTACGTAAAGTATTTTTCTTGGGGATAAAGACCTAACATGAGATGAAATAGCGAAATAAATTATGTCTTATTTGAAGCTATGAGACACTTTTCATTGCATTACATATCTATACTAATATAAAAAGCTGAAGAGTTTGTTTGTTTACACGCACTTATCTCAAGAACTACTGGTTCGAATGGAAAACTTATTTTTGTGTTGGTTAGAGCATTTATCGAAGGTTATAGCTAATAGAAGCTAATAGGAACTATTAAGAGCGAAGAATCAACGGAAAATCTTTGTGGGTTTTCGTTGCGTACGCTGCGGAAACAAGATAGATTCCAAAAATTAGTATATAAGAATGATTCCTCTTTAAATGACCTAATAAAATGTCCGCGACATATATGTCAATCTTATAAGATTAACTTGCAAGAATGACGGGACGCGACCGGGTCGTAGCTTTATAAAGATATAGTAGCAACGCGGACGAAGTCGATGACACAGCTAGTGGTTTATGTATAACAAAATAATTATTAATAATAATTACTAATCGCATACAGCGCTTTTCGCGTTGAATACGATACATACCAACGAATTTGACTTGCAATTGTCTAAATTAAAGTTTTTTTCTATTATTATAATCTTTTCTTTATATAGGTCCGACTGTTGGGCATATATCTTATAGAAGATCCACGAGGGTCCTACTTTCAATTTCTGCATTAGCCGATACTAGAATATTGCTATAACAAAATATTTCGAGAAAAAGCGAACACATACTTCCGTTGGGATTTTAAAAATGTGCTTCTGAAAATACTATATGTGAATTAGATGTGTTGACGTGCAATTACATTCGCTTCATGTCGCCTAACGATCGCCTCGTGTAGAGCTCATTACAGGCTGTTGAAATGTTCGACCAATTTGTTATATTCACTCAGCACACTATATTTTGTACACGAGTAAAAGGAAAGATGGCTCACGTCGAGAACAATGCACATTTAAGTGTAACTTTATTAAAAATATTGTCTTTAGTCTTATTTCATCAGGTATATAAATTATATTTTATAAAAAAATGCAAAAATAAAACATTTTTACTCGGATTTGGTTTTATTCTTGTTTGTATAATTACTGACATAAGGGAGACTAAATACTGGCTGTAGTTTAAGCTAGTAGTACACATTTAAATAAAACATTTTAACCGTTTACAACGCAATATACATTGACCACGGCTGCTGCAAAGCACCTGAAACGTCAAGCCGAAGTTAATAATTTTCAATTAAGGTTAACTATAAAGCATTTTAAACAGTCGGTGTTCTATTTAAATAAGCGAGACTCTGTTTATAGTTTCGGGGAACCAGATTTGTAATGAGTTTTTTATTTTTAAGCAATAATGTTTTCTACTTCATCATATTTAGCTTATATTTTACGAGGTGATTTGTATTTATTTCGATCACTGGTACATCTTTTAGGTAGTAAAGTATATACTGTCTGTAGTTTACGTGACACATTTGTATAAAACATTTTAATTTATAATTTAACGAGCTAACACATTCAAGCTTTTGAGGTGTTACGTACGCAGAAATTAGAATTGACCTATCGCTTTGATATGAATTAAACTGGGGAGATCTTTTGAAAAACCCAACATAAGGTGCGCATAATTTAATCAAGACGTCGTTTCAAGAAGTCTTGACCTCAAACGGCGTTCCTTATTGACAGAGCACTCGGGCTTTCCAGCGAACGGCCTCCGCTGTAGGGTGCTTGGACAATCTATTGAGGCCGATCGCAAGTTCCGAAGCCTGAACAAACATTCAGGTAGGCTGGTGACTTTAATTAAACTTCCGAACCGATACTCTTAATTACGATCGCGCGTAATCCAATAATTCACGGAGCGCAGCTTAAGATGTGTCTCCTAAACGCTACTTGGCGTACTATTAGATCCTATCTCCGTGTTATGCTGCATTAGAAATCTATACTAATTTATAAAGCTGAAGTTTGACTGAATTATAAAGATTGATTGTTTGAACGCGCTAATCTCGCTATAAAACATTGCGCTGTGACTAATAGGAGCAAAGAAACAGCGGGAAATGTGGAAAAAACGGGGAATTCATTCTTGTGGGTTTCCGTTGCGTACGCTGCGAACATGTTCAAGAAACCCAAAAAATATATATAAAAAAATGATCCCTCTTTAAGTGATTAAAAGAAAGTCCGCGAAGACTTGCAGGAATGACGGGACGCGAAAGACGTCGTGGATAACAGCTTAAATTTATAGTGTTGAACAGGAGGTTTGCAAGAACAAATTTGATTCCTTAAATTACTACGCGGACAAAGTCTCTAACTGAGCGAGTGTGCTATGAAGCATAAAATTTTAACTGACCAGTAAAAAAGTCGCTTCAGTGAAGTTCTTGGTTCCCACAGAAACATCTGTTGCTCTGTTTAGCAAGTGTTAGGTCCCTTTTTTTATCAATTTTGGTCAAGCCCTTAGTACAAGAATAACAGACATCTAATACTCATAAACTTTCGCGTAAGTAACAGAAGTCCTATAAGTACTAGTATTTTTCACACTATGGCATTATACAAATTTAAAATGTATTTAGATTAAAAAATTACGACACGGGCGGGATTTGAAAAGGCATAAATTGAGCTACCGCGTCCTATCGAACACGGTAGCTCAATTTCATCATTCGTAATCGTCGAATTTCGTCAAACCACTAATACATGCACCTCTCAAACAATTGCTTCGAGTCGCAGTGCGGAACGCTATAGATCCCAAGTCCCGCCGGTGTCGTATTTTTTTTTCAACATACTAAGTCAATTTATATAAAGCCATTAAGTTTTTGAAACATGTAAAAAAATATTTATTGGCCGCATAATCGAATTCCATGAATAAAATATAATTATGATTTTTTACTACTTTTAGAATAGAATAGAATAGAATTTTAAATCGATTAATAGTACGCCATAACACGAAAGCTTCCAAAAAATGTCAGAATGGACAAGTTTAACTCAAAAACTAATGCGTATGAAAACATTTTGTCGAATTCCATACTAGCACTGATAATCCTGCGACCTTCGTCGTTTATAGCAAACCGTAGCTTTGACGTTTTTAATGTTTAATGAAACGAGCTTTTCATTTTCAGTCCGCTTATTGGGCTGAACAATTTTCTTGCGAAATTAAATAATGAACTTCAGAACGACCGCTCCAGCTTTTCACCGTTTAATTAATACACGTGACGGTTGAGTTTTAATGTTATTAAGGAAAAAATGTGTTCTGTGAATAAGCTCTGTATTTTTATATTAAAAAATAAAAATATATGTGGATTGTGTTATCGGTGTAGTTCGCATCAAGATGCGATGTCGACTTATTTTGAGTATGGATTATTCGGAAATAGACTAAAAACCGTAACGCGATTAAGCTTTACGGCTGTTTGATCTGTGGACGGTGGTTCGTATCCCAAAGATTAGACTTAAGAGGCCCGGTTAAACTTAAGAGGCCGTCAGAATGCCCGTGTTCGTTACGCGCTTTTAATTCAGGCTACCAGCATATTCCAGGCTAGTTCCATGCTACGGTACTTCGTTCTACAAGGCTACGATCTACGTAGTCCCGCGTCTACGGATCGTAGCTATCACGTAACTAAATGGATTCCGATAAAGCGCTCGATTTATTTCGATTCCGTCTCGTACGTAATCCGCTGTCTAAATTGGCTGTCGCAAACGTTATTTCGATGTCGTTTGCTTCGTCGCAACGTTTACGAGATCATTTTTGACTAGATTCAAATTATTTTTAGAATTTACCACGTGATAGTGGACCGATACACTTGAATTTACTTAAATATTGTCCGTAGTTTATGCGAGTAGTACACATTTAAATAAAAACATTAAAGGTTTAAAACGCGATGTGCATTAGTTAAACTTGTATGTAGTATTTAACGGCCCGTTGTTTCGGGTGCTTTTCAGCAGCCGCGGTCGCGGGGAGACTGGAGGCATCGCGTTTTAAACCGTTAAAGTTTAATTTAGAAATTAGATTTACTTGATGGAATATAAAATGTCCATCTTATTGGTCAAATATCAATGGGTTGCAGGTTTGATTACTACTGAATTCTACATGTTTTAATAATATCACCATATACCATATAGCTATGTATACGTTACGTAGGTCTATCAAATTTTCGTCCAATTCACGACCTACCGCCCACAGACGAAAAAGTTTTGACTTCAAATTTTGGATTTCCGAATATCAAAAAAAACCCAAAAAAAGTCAACAGCGCATTTTAATAAGAAATTTTAGTACTTTTCAAAGTTATTTAATGCGTAGTAGGTACATAAAATACCTTTGTATACATGAGCACTTGAAATGTACATATTTCGTGTGCTCGTTATATAGAACTTCCATATTAGTGCAGTGATACCTGCGTAAACCGTTTTATTACGTAACGCGTTACAGCTCCATACGCCTGGCTTTCCTTTGTTCTACGCATGTAACTGGTCTTTTGCCCTCTCACTCTAACATACATACGTACTATTCTTGATCACTTCTGTTCTTCTGATTTAACGAATAAAATATAATAACTCACTTCCATAACTCTAATAAAAATACATTTATTAATATCGACCGAACAGCCTTAGATATTTTATTGCATATAAACATTTTGTTACTAAAATCAGACATAAAACAAGTTGTACAGATACAATAAAAGTTCGATATAAAATATAAGTGTTGTTTTTACAACTTTTGTGATTGAGAACGCGAACTAAAAGTATATGGGAAGATGTACTCTGTGGTGTAATGGTATCATTAAATTGCTGGTCGTGGGTGCGATCCCAAATAGGTCGAACATATTTCTTGTCCTTCTATATTTTGTAAAACATCATTTATAAATGTTTAAACTTTGTCTGGAAATCTGAAGTTCGAATCTCATCTATGTAATTTTTTCAGCTTTTGTAATGTAAAAATTTAATTTACATAAGATGTATATTATATTAAGATATACATATTCCTAACTTTTAACGTAAGAATAAATACATACGCATTTCATAATTTAATTTATTAATTAGTTCGTAATTTAATTGTTGAATAATAACCGTGTTATCAACATATTTTTTTTTACTAATATATAAAATGTATACGATAATCGCACCGATTTAATTATTTACTTACATGATACAGGTATAGATTGGTGTCACAGCATTTGTCCTTTTCTTTTGGGAGGCCATGGTCATCGGTGTCACCTGAAACAAAACATGTCACATTTAAAAAGGAATTTAAACCAGGAACTATCACCGTTTATTAGTTTCACCATTCTACTACGGATGTAGTAAAAAAATAAGGTATCTTAAAATAAAGCAAACACACACAACTGTTTAAAACGGGAAATATTGATGTGAATTAGTATTAATTACGGTCCGACGTTTTTTGTGCTTCGCAGCAGCCGTGGTCAAAGGGGAACGGAAAATGGGTGTCCCTAAGGTCAAGTCAAATCTTTACGCAAGCACCATTTTTTGAAGTAAAAGCATACGATACTGCAAAGCATTGGAAACGTTGGGTAGTTCAATCAATTACAAACAAAATTTATTATATTTTAGTTTTAAACGTTAAAAAATGTTTTTTTAATGTCTTCTCTCCGCACAAACTACATACGTATCTTAAGTTTAAAACGAATATACATTGTATAAGTACTTGTTTATGCTACATTTGATAAACATAACACGTTCCGCCACTTTAAAAACTTCGTTCGAATGACAAAGACATAAATAATTTAACATTCATTTTATCATTATTATCTGTCACATATTAAAAATGTATGATGACACGGCATACAACCACACATATAGCTATAAATTCTTAATGAAATTTATACCCATTATGTAATTACTTATTCATCGTATGAAAAATTGCTTTGACGTTAGAATCGGTGAACTAATTTAGCTCAAATTAACGCACGGAATCAAATGCTATAACTACACGTTGCTTTGATGTCAACAAACCGTCAAATCCTACTTGATTTAAGCTTAATTAGTGATTTACCCCTGTGGAGCATGGGGGGGGGGGAGAACTCTATATCTATCATCATTTAGTTTATCAGAGTTCTGACTAACTTTTTTTTAATACCGCCTGTACTTTACGCGAGTAGTACATATTTAATTAAAACACTTTAACGGTTTAAAACACGATATATATTAGTTAAAACTATTTTAACTACGGCCCGACGTTTCGCGTGCTTTGCATCTGAAGCCACGTGACCACGGTTTCTGCAAATTATCCGAAACGTCGGGCTTTAGTTAAAATAATTTTAACTTATATTTATCGCGTATTTATTTATTCGCCATCACTTATTCCTTACTCGATGTCATTTCATTATTTATTCATAATTTGATCAAACCAAAACGTTTAACCACTGAGTCAGCTAGTCTCTGAAACTTGGTCAAATAAAATGTTGCTACATCATTCTCAGTAGTCGTAAAGTTGAGCGAAATGAAGTCTTGTCTTCGGTATGAAAATCGCTTGAAATAACTCGCAAAGTCATCTCGGAAGCCGATTTCCCTCTTGATAAATGGAGGCTGAGCGTGACCATTTTAATCGATACGGGATAGAGTTTAAACTTGTTCGAGTTTCCGGTGGGATGGGCCGTTGCACAACACAAGTAGGTCGTATTTATGACAAAACTTGAAGCTGTTCTGAGCCAGGCTTATACATTTCAATGTAGTTCTTTTGAAGTAATATCTCAGTTGCGTAGTTACGCCTAAAGTATGTTTACGTTTTATTTTTTTCATTATAATAATTAATTATCTTCTGAATTTAAATTATTTACAACCAAATTCCTACAACAAAAATAATTAATTCTTCGAGCTGTCGAAGAGTTAACATCTCCTGATGAAGCCGTCACGTGATGGCAAACGTTGGGAACCTCGTCTCGCTCACGTCGGCCGAACAGCCCGAAAAACAATGATACACTATGATGATATGCTGGACGATGGCCGTGAAAGCCTTAGACAATTTATTATGGGTCATATTATAACCAATTTAAAAATTTAACTAAAACCCTTGACGGTCATTTAAAACGCGATATATATTACTTAAACTTATTTTCTTTCTCTCCATGACCACGGCTGCTACAAAGCATATGAAACGTCGGAAACCAGCGTGTCTTCGCGTTTGCCGGTATGCTGTTTATTGGGATCCAGAGTTTTTAATATGGGATCCCAGGTGTTTGATAATTTGAGGCCGTCCTCCTTATAGAAATTTCGGTGTTTTTTGATTTCAATTGCTTCGCGGACCATTTTCAAATAACTATAATATATCGCGTTTTAAACCGTTAAAGTGTTTTATTTAAATGCGTATCTACTATTCGCGTCAACTACAGACACTTTAAAATTTTTTTATTTACACATACCATTTGCTGAATACACAAAATGGCAATGTACGAAAACATTGTTTCTTGCCATTTTAACACCAAGAAGGCACAAAGCGAAATATATGAAAAGAAATCAATTTACTTCAAGCAATAAAGAGATGACAGCGAGTAAGTATGTATACTTATTATGTGACGCTGATGTCGGCTGAAAAGCAATTAATCATGATCAATCTTGGGATTATAAGCAATCTGGTGAAACGTTACTCACATAAGCGTGAAATTAAGGGCTTGTGTATTTTAGACGTATTTGGAAATGTATTCAGAAAGTCAGCGCCAATAAAATGGGTCATAGATCTGTTATTACAAATTTAGCGGCTTAAGAGTTAAGCAAAATCCCGTTTCCTCTCTTAGGGCATGGGTGAACATATCTTTGTGTCCGTTTCATTGATCGATTGAATGTACAGGCAGTAGTTCAGATATCTGTGCCCTGTAAGACGGAATACAATTATTGAAATTACAACCCAAGATTTGAAGTCAGAATGTTACTTGCTTAACGCAATGCTTGACGACACGTCTACGTATTGAGTTACTGAGGTTAGAGAAAGAGTAAGTACGTCTTTAAGTCAGTCAAAAGTTACGTGTAGTTACGTGACAACCCAGCTTTTTGAATTGTGTAAGGCTTTCACGGCCATCGTTCAGCATATTATTGTTTTTCGAGTGACGTAAGAGTAAGAGAGAGAGAGAACTTCTTCTCGCTTACGCCCGAAAGACAATGACAATCCAACTTTTTGTTTGTTCCTAAATCAGTTTGTACTTGTTTTATAGTTTATAAGAAGAGTAAGAAAGAAATTTCTTATAATCAAGCCAACTAATGCTATTATATTATGTAAATCTGCATTAATACAATAAGAAAAATGAATTTCTTTTGTGTATCAATAAAAACCATGTTTGCGACGCAAAGAATCCAAACACGTTGTTGATACGACGTTTATGTTACAGAAAAGATTTAATATCTTCCAGAACTTAGATTCAATAAAATGTTTTCGAAAATTACATTTAACTCTCAAAGTTTTCTAAAGCGACCATTTAATATTTAATTGGTTTCCTATGTAGACCGCTCTCATAGTGGTATTGCGGTCCTGCAAAAAATATCCAACAAATATTTTCCTCGTGCAACCGACGTACCTAATTAAAAGTTTGAAACGACTTTGTCATTTTCTTGGGAACTATTAAGCGAGGCTAATTAGGGTCGTTATTAGTTTCATTTTAAAAATTTAACATAAGTGAGATAGCCTCATTTATATCGTTGGTAAAGATATAGCAATTGTAAATGTTCATATCTGTACATGGATTATACATTCGATTAGATAAATTAGGTACTGTCTGTAGCTCACGCGTGTAGTATATTTTAATACAACACTTTTAACAGTTCGAAACGAACTAACGATGAAATTAACCTATCTACTACCCCACCGTGACCACGCCTGATGCAAAGCATCCGAAACGTCCGCGTTGGGCCGTAGTTACAATAAAATGTAAATTACCTGTTATTTACCGCGTTTTAAACCGCTAAAAGAGTTTTATTTAATATTATGCAAATATATTCTATTTTATATCACTTTATCATAAAGAGAATTAAGACAACAACTAAGATGTCAAAATGTATCTAAATATAATTAAAGTAAATAAGTTAACTAATTTTGTTTCGCGTTATAATCCGTTAAAAGTGTTTTATTTATTAGTCTACTGATCACTAGACCAACTAGGCAGTGAGGCTTAGCAATATGTTATCATACCTGGATAAAGATTGACCAAAACGCACACAACATGTATTTGTCCCATGATTCAGGAGATTGGAATATATATTTAAATCGAACGATTTCGTCAAAAGTGGAACAGTGTAAATTCGCGTTGCACAACCCAAGTCGATATTTGTGACCACAGCGAAAATAAAAAGCAGAAAACGAATAAAAGTTGGCACAACAATCAAGAGACTAGTTCGAATGTTTCAAACAATTCTGTATCGCGGATGGCGTCGACTGAGGCAAAATTGCAAACACTGTCGCTGTTGTAACTTTACTAATAAATTGATACGACCCGGGTAAGGTTCGCGTTTTAATTATTCAACTCGGATTTTTCGTTTAATTATAACGAAATGTACATATTAAAGGATAAACGGGCTGTTTTTATGAGTCCTTTTTAACACATTTTAATTTAAGATAATAATAATAAAGTAATGCGGGCATTACATACGTCCTTCTGGTTTTCGGTAACTTAATTTTTTCTTGAGTAACATAATTACTTAATCTATACTAATATGTAAAGCTGAAGAGTTTGTTTGTTCGAACGTGGTAATCTCAGAAATTGGTAGGAAGTTAAAAAAAAACTTATATTTCTGGAATTCTGTTGTTGTGAACGAAGATTTTTTTAAAAAATTTCGCGACACTATATGTCTATCTTTTGAGATTAACTTGTAAGAAGATCGGGACGCGACCTACGTCCCGGGCAACAGCTTTAATCTATACAGGTAAGGAGGAGGTTCGCGAAAATAAACTTAGAAGGCCAAAATAACTATTCTACGCTGACAAAGTCGCTGACACAATTAGTCGTAACATGAGTGACATTTAAAGTTCCATAAACAGACAGACATAAATAAAACAATACCTACATACATTTGATAGAAAGCTGTTTTACATTTTAAATAGACACAAAAGAAAATTAAAACTAAAATCTATTTAAGGGTTTATTGAACAATATCTCTTAATTTAAATAAAACACTTCAACGGTTTAAAACGCGATACAATAGTTAAACTTATTTGAAAATGATTTTTAACTTCGGCCCCGACGTTTTCAATTTTAAATAAGTTTAACTGACATATCGCGTTTTAAACCGTTAAAGTGTTTTATTTAAATGTGTACTACGCGTAAATTATATCTTATATGCGTTATATATATAGACCGTATTTAATATCTGTTAAGTTTAAAGATCCATAACGCATATAAATTTTGTACCCAGCGCGTAATTAATATAAACATTTTACGTAAAATACTGTCGACAAGCCTTTGATAGACCACGCCGATAATTTTATTCATAAAATTAACACTAGCCGACCGCTATTAAAAGCTCTGAGGCCGCCAGCAACGCGGCTAAAGGCAATTTTTGCTATTTAGATACATATATGGAATGCGTGCGATATTATATTTTACCAAAGGTTTTGTTAAACATTCTTCTCTTTAATATCTACGATTCATTATATTTTGTAATTTGCAAGATTATGAAGTAAAATTGTAATGAAGGTTTGCGTCTTTAAATTATTCTAAAGCTGAAGAGTTTGTTTGTTTGCACGCGCTAATTTCAGTACCTACTGGTTTGAATTGATTTTTTTAATGTTGGTTAGACCATTTATACAGGAAAGCTTTAGGCTATGACAATCAGGTTGCAATTAAAGGGGAGAAGACACAGAGGGAAATGAAGAAACAGAAATAACGAAAAAAATATTCATCTTTAATCATATTTATCCGTTGTGTGCGCTGCAAAATGGTTCATGATTTCTCTAGAAATAATGTAATAAAATGTGCACGACAGTATATATATCTATCTTTTAAGTTTATTTCGCACGAACGATGGCATGCTATTGACGCCATAAGTAACAGATATAATTTAAGAGGATGGAGTAGTTATGCAAAAAAAAAAAATAAAGACGATGTCATAAATAACTCAAGTCATAAAGTTGATCTACTCTGCCTCTAGCAGCCTCATATGACAGTGTACATAATTTTATCCAACATCTAATATTTAAAATATTTTTTGAATTTCGAATCAAAGGTTTACTTTCTTCTTAGCACTTTTAAAAAGTTTTGTTTAAAATGTTAATATCGAATAAACTATTCTTTATTGATGATATATATTATCAGGCACCATTATCCGAGGAGCATTGAAAATTCAGACTACTTGCACCTCTCCCGTACATCAACAAACAACGATCGATCGGGCAAAATCTCGTAAAATATTAAACGCAAACAAATGGAGTATTGCACGTCGTATCTTTTAATATCGAATATTTTCATGCATTACCACTGCGATGAGATTGATGGATTAAAATGTAATGGGATTGAGTTATATATTGGGGCGTAATATCATTACTTCGAGTCGAAAGACAAAAGCATCCTCAACAGATTTATTAGAGATATCGGAATTCTGTTCGGGTCACTAACCACTATCCATAGATTTGAAAAATTGTGGATTTGTTCGGTTTCAGTCTGAATGCCAAACCTACTTTGTTGCTTTTGGCAATTCTTCTAGATCTGATTATTCTTAAATATAGCGTCAAGAACAAGCAGGTTTTAAACACTATGAAAAGAAAACTATTTATACAAAGAGTATTTTATAATAGTTAGATCCTACCCTGAAAATATGATTATACAAATTGGTCAATTTTGATTTAAACGATCTGAAATTGAGTCATAAAATGATGTCAATAAGCCTGTAACAATCTTTTCTTTATAGTAGAAGAGGACAGACAAGCATGATCACTTGATGGAAGGTGAAATATGTTATATGACATCTGAAGAAGATGCGCTATCGACGTATTTTCAGCGTTAGGTCTTCGAGATATCCGGCATATAATGGCTGGGTAACTTCTAAAATATTCTCTCGAAAGCCATTAGTATTGAGAGGACGTAGATGTACGGGTAATAGATACTGCGAACAAGCAATTCGAAGCCAACTTTAGGTAAATATTAAAACCGGTTTCCTCTGAGTATTTAATTGAATTCTAGAGGAAGTTAAATGTCAGTTCTGTAGTTTGATTGGGTAGCGCTTGAATTATATAAGGCTTGAAGACTGTTCTTGTTATGTATAAGAATATGTTAATATATGAGAGATACTTTTATTTACTACCTACTACTAATATATAATATACTATTATATTGTTGCATATATAAAATAGTAAAGATTTTTACATATATGAATTAGTGTGTTTCGGAATTCAAACCAAAATAGCAAACATCCGAGGTTATAGTACCAACATTCATAGAACACATTATTGAGGTAATCAAATGAATTCTTGGTTTTTTTTTCGTCGTTTCCCCTTAAAAAATTTTCATTTTTTTTTTTTTATTTTTTTTTTTTTTTTTTTTTTTTTTTTTTTTAAAAATTTTTTTCCCCCTTTTTTTCACATTTTTTTTTAAATATTCCGTCTGCTTACCAGTATAGTAACATCGAGTGTAGTATACCTTCTTTTTAAAAGTACGATACAAACCATACTGATACGAAACAAATTATTATTAAATTGTTATTCACATTGTTCAGAGTGATGTTGAATTTGAGGGCTTCAGTACAGAGTCGTATATAACACGTTAATATAATTTAAAATACCCAAAAAGCTAGCCTTTATTCCTTACCACGAGTAATCTACCCACAAAAACTCAATTAAGGCTTCGTTATTAACTCGGGCTTTTATTTTAATAGCGGATGAAGTATTGTGATTGGTTTTATAATGATAGTATTCGGGAAAGCAATTTATTTTATTGTCACACGTATGGAAGGCTACTATAAGCTTCTTGCAAATTCGTTGGTCACATTTGTCCCCAAAGAACCTTATTGTATACCTCACTATTGACGGGATATTTGGACTAATAGTAGCAAATGTCTGGCAAATAATCGACGAGTAGGTTCGATTCCCACCATGCTATGTGAAACATATTGGACTTTGTCTGGAAATTCCGTCTGGGTGACGAACTACTGTCCATTTTTGTGCACTATAATTAGTCTTATAAGACTATCAAAGCTTGAAGCCCCATGAAAAGCAAGTATTGGATCTAACATAGAATTTATTAAAACATTCCTTTTTTATAAAAAAATATCACTACAGAGAAGGCTTGATTTCTGATCAGTAATTATTTTGATAATTGTAGTGACTAAAGATTATTGTCAGAGAAAAAAAGTTATTAGATCTTCTATATAGTTTTTGGGTCTTCTTTTAAACAAAACACTTTAACGGTTTAAAACACGATGTATTACTTGCAAAGCATCCGAAACGTCGGGCCGAAGTTAAAAATCATTTTCAAATAAGTTTAACTAATACATCGCGTTTTAAACCGTTAAAGTGTTTTATTTAAATGTGTACTTCTCTCGAACTATAGACGAGTATCTTCTTTCTTCTTATCTTATCTTTGTGATAGAAGAGGAAAGACAAACGTAGGGGTTACTTAACCCTAGCCTTATATAACATCTTCATAAGATTCGCCGATTTTGTCTGTAGTTATTCAGAAATATATCAGATACACGACAGATACAGTACAGATACATTACCCGAAACGCAATTAATCTTCGCGAGTTTTCTATCTGTAGTTGTGAATCGAAATTGTTCAATCTAAACCAATTTTTAATATATAGAGCGGTGATGTACATATTAATGTGTATCGTGACCACAAAAAGCTGGGAATACCAACAGAGATCGAGCCCACGATATGTCTGTTACTAGTGTATATAATCACTGGAGTAAAAAAGTCGTTAAACTAGTAAATAAGCGAAACTGTAAACGGTTCCTCCCAATGTGCTGCTAAGCTCATTATGAACTAGCATCGGATTTGCATAATTTTGTAAGCTTACGAGCGCTAGCCAAGCGAGTGGACTAAGCTATGTTAAAGTTTAATACTAACGTACTTTTCATCTTAATAGTACTCTTGTCAAAACTTTAATAATTTTCACATGTTACTCATGATGGCACTATATAAATTAAAATTTTATTTTAAAAAAAATTAAATACATTAAGTGTTAATTTTTTCTGTGCTGCGTGGTTAGAACGGCAGCAGGGAACACTTTTGTTGTCGGTTCTAGT